TGCTCGTCCTCATAAACAAAGGCCAAAGTCCATTCCATACAGCCGCCAAACCCTCTGTTTATGAATGAAAAAGGTTTACAAACGACTCACAACTGATGACGTTCGAGCATTACTCGATGCTTCGCTGAGGACACCTCTGTTCGAATCGCAACGCTGTAAATGCTTCACTCACGTACTACAAATACAAGCAATCACCAACAGAATCTAAACATGTAACGTTACCTAACCAATGCCTAAATATACACAAGATGCTAATATAGAACAATATTAATTTATATTTAAGAACATTTATATTTTGAATGAACAGCATGTTAAAATTAGTGAATGCGTCTTTGGGGTCGACCGCTAGTTGGAATAGACTTGGTCTGAGGACAGGTTGCAGTGTATGTTGTGTAGGGTATATCAACATCAGAGGCTCGAAACTGTTCAACACGCTTCCACTACACATAAGGGGCATAACTGGCCGACCCCTCACAGTGTTCAACAGAAAACTCGATAAACACCTCCAAAGGATACCTGATCAACTAGGCTGTGATTCATACGTCAGGTTGTGAGCAGCCGCGTCCAACAGCTTGTCCAGCAACATGGAGGCCTGGGCGATGACTGGCCGCGGGGACGCTAAACCCCGAAACCAACTCAAGGTATACTCCAGGTAGGGTTGGGTGTAGGGAACAGTTTGTTGTTTAGACACAAGATTGAACCTCAGCAAATTTTCAGGTAGTACAAAAGTAGGTGAAGTATGAACTGGATATTCTGTCGCGGTCTCGAGGATAGTAGCATGTTTCTAAGAATAATCTGGCGGTTGATAGTTGCACAAGTGTATGATATGTAGTGCCTCGCTTATGTCTGATCTTTTGTTATAAATGTCTAGTGTTTCAGTATTGTTGGTTAGGATATCTCTGGTGATGGTATGATTATGTATATAAATTATGTGTTCTTTGATAGAATATAATTTATGTACATAATTTGTGAAGCTGGAAAATAGTCTTTGCAAATAAGCACGGAGAATACGCAGTTCACACCTCACCTACTACCCAACCGACATGGACTGGACAACACGTAACGTCACCTCACCAAACTTGGTTATATTTTCTGTAGTCACGAATTGGTATGTACTTAGCTTTTAGATAGTATACTGAATAGTGAGGAATTCTTTTAAAGTAAATGCAGCTAAAAAACAAACTTAAATATTCCTAGGTCTAGTATAGCACACATATGTACTATATTAGGCCTCAGATATAGTGTATTAGGCCTACGAAGTTTAGGTTAGTTTAGTGTGTCAAAGCAACACAAGTAAACAATATTTTTCCGGTTTTCCAACTCAATAGTTCATATTTCTACTTTCTAATTTCATTGTACGTCGGTATATATATTGTACTATGGTCTTCATCGTTACTGTAAGTACTAACAAAACAAGAAGATGGACTGTATAAGTATAACTTACAGCATTTGAAGTCGTCTTTAGTCAGTGGTAAATGACAGGGTTGTTGTATTATCTACCAGCATGTTCCTAGGGAGTGTTGTGTTATGAACACCTTGCATATGGTTTCCTAGGCCCACCAGCTTGTAGATGGCAGGTCAGTCTTCTCGAAATCTTTGTGGTGGACATACCAATATAGGTATGCAGACGAGGAGTCACAGTAACGTGGCTGAAATATGTTGAACAAACCATACACTAAAAAGTGAAGGGACGACGACGTTTCGGTCCGTCCTGGACCATCGACTTGAGAATGGTCCAGGACGGATCGAAACGTCGTCGTCCCTTCACTTTCTAGTGTGTGGTTTGGTTACCAATGTAGGTAGCACGAAGGTGACAGCCTTCATTGGAGCATGTAAATTGGTATATACTTCATTTGCTTTTCGGAGACGGTTATATTGCTTATTGGGGCTGTTCTAGAGTATTAAATCAGTAGTCTTTTTTGTTTCTTAGTAAATAATGAAGTCCAATTTTTGGTCTGGGGCGGTCGGTTTCACTCCATTTGAAATTTAAAATTATATTTTTGTTTACTTAAAATATTTTTTTCATTATTTTTGTATTACGTGTATAAAAATATTCAGTGAAACCGACAGCCCCAGACCAAAAAAATGTTGATTCATACCCCTGACCTTCATACACCCTCCCCCTGACCTTGATCCACACCCCTGACCTTGATCCACACCCCTGACCTTGATCCACACCCCTGACCTTGATTCACATCCCTGACTTTGATACACACCCTCTGACCTTAATCCACACCCCTGACCTTGATCCACACCCCTGACCTTGATTCACATCCCTGACTTTGATACACACCCTCTGACCTTAATCCACACCCCTGACCTTGATACACACCCCTAACCTTGATACACACCCCTGACCTTGACCCACACCCCCTGACCTTGATCCACACCCCTGACCTTGATCCACACCCCTGACCTTGCTCTACACCCCTGACCTTGATCCACACCCCTGACCTTGATACACACCCCTGACCTTGATCCACACCCCTGACCTTGATCCACACCTCTGACCTTGATCCACACCCCTGACCTTGATCCACACCCCTGACCTTGATCCACACCCCTGACCTTGATCCACACCCCTGACCTTGATCCACACCCCTGACCTTGATCCACACCCCTGACCTTGATCCACACCCCTGACCTTGATCCACACCCCCTGACCTTGATCCACACCCCTGACCTTGATCCACACCCCTGACCTTGATCCATACCCCTGACCTTGATCCACACCCCTGACCTTGCTCTACATCCTGAGGCACTGATCTAGTTTGGACAGGACTTTGCTTTTACCAGGTGTTGATCAAAGCCCTCGGGCGCTTTACTGGAATATATTAAGTTGCGTACAAAATACATCAAAGCGCAGGCAGGAGACTGGCAACAGTTGATAAACAATATGGTATATCTTTTTTTACTTCCCTTTCTGACAATGAGGCGTCGTTGGGGTGACAAATGGAGGAATTCGCAACAGCGGGATTATCGTGGTTTATTTTTCGCATGTACTTTAAAAGTACACAAATGTTTTATAGTTATTTATATACGGTAAGTTTTAATTTAAATCATCGTGGTGAAGTGTTAGAAATCTTGGTGCTAGACTGCTATCTATATAGTCGCAATGGCTTGGCGCTTTATCCTGATAGTTCCCTCCATAAACGGCCCTTGGATGCCATACATCAAGATGCATGTAATAAAATAATGTATCCTCATAATCCTCACCTCGTAAACAATGCCCAAATACCCGTTAATTCCGGCCAGGATGAACACATCGCGCGACACGTGGTTTGTATTTGTTTACTCCCATGATTTTCGAATGTCCATACCTTAAGAGTTGCCATCACACGGAAGACAGGCGCGTAGAGCTCATGTCGTATCTTTTTGTCTGCTCTATCTATTTCCTTCATGTCTGTTTACGGTTGGCAGGGGGTTTAAAGGGAAATACACACATATGACCACGTGTTCCTGGTTTAATATGCCTCAGGTTATGCTTATTTAAGTGACAGTCAGCTATTACAAACTGGTTAAAGAATATTTTGCAAATCAAAGTGAAATGAGTGAAAGTTTTAATTTGTGTTTTGCTTCCCGCATCATTCGATTTTTCCCGAGAAGTCACAAAGTAATGCTTCCGATAGTTGAGGTGTAGCTATTTCATCAGGTCTCAACCTTTACATAGAGCCAACCATGATAGAGCGTCGGCCTCACATGCATGGGGTCCACGGTTCAAGACCCATACAGCCCAGGTCATTGGAATGTTTATTTCCACGGAAGTGTGGATAGCAATTTACATCAGCAGGTTCGCGAGTCAACTGGGTCATGTCATATCTGTAGTTGAAACTGTGTATAGAGCCTGCCTGCACCATTTCACTGAGCGCATTCCATTTATTCACTGCTATTTTGATAGTGCATTATTTCTAATATCTATGTGCTCATTTGGGCACTTAATTTTCACCCGTGTCCCCCTTTTTCACGTACCAGAATAATTTTTTCGTCCTTTGTCTGCACTATTTCCTTCAGTATTGTTTTATGTGTTTATTATCTCTCCACGTTTCTATTCTTCTAGTAACGTGGTTAAATTATTTTAACCATAACTAACAAATTTATACCTATCACCACCGGTTCTAGTCCGGTAGCATACCTGAATTTTCTTCAGCTTCATTTTGTGTTTAACGAGATAACGACGCCATGCTGGTGCTGTATATTACATTACTATTCTGGCATATGGCATACAAGGTATACAACCATCCACGTGCAGCCGATGATATTCGTATGAGGGTACAGTTACCTAATTTTTGTACTCTCTAATTCCAGAGCAATTTCCTGAGATATGTATCTTGTATTCGATCTCCTGTTGCCAGGTCATTGTTTTTGCATATATCATTCAAAGTGCACTTAAGTGCACGCGTGTGTATCCTTACCTGTAGGGTGTTGAGCTTTGGCTCTTTGGTCTCGCCTCTCTAACGGTGTAAAGGTTCCTGTGCTTATTGGGCTATATCATATCTACGTTTAAAACTGTGTATAAAACTGTGGTGAGTCTGCCTTTTCACCACTTCACTTCTTTGTGCATTCCATTTGTTCACTTCACTAAGAAAAGTATTCATGTCTGTCTCATTTGAGTATTTCCCCATGTTCGGATATCACCCGTGTAAATAGTCTCTCCTTATCTGCCCTATCAATTTCCCTAGGAATTTTATGTGGTACTCATATCTTCACTAACTCTCTCTTTCAGCGACGTGAGGTTTAAATCTTGTAGCCTTTCCTCGTAAATAGTATATACATACACCCATACACTGATATGTATGTGTATGTGTGAAAAATGTATGTGTGTTTCCCTGTTCCTTGCTCCCTGTGTGTGTGTGTTTGTGCACACGCAAGTTTTGAAAAAGTTTTGAAAAAGATGTACTGTACACAAAATTTAAAATGGCAGTGGGGATGTATTAACAAAAAATCTAATTTGTTTTCAAAAGCAACATCTCAAACTGTTGTCAATCTAGATAGTAACTGACCTGATCATCTTGCTGGGAATGTAGTTGGCCGACACGTAGTTATTGGTGACGGTGTGGGCGGGGGTCAGGGAGGCTTCACACCCACACGCCCTCATGCTGGCAGCACGCGTCTCTACACGCCCTGCACGCGAGGGAGCTCTCTCTTGTTCACGTAACTCCCTGTTATTGTCTTTTGTTATTAATTCCTTCGGTGCTTAATTTGTGCGCTGGGAACCTTGAATGTTAGGTTTGGCTGTTCCTTGGTTGTTGGAGAGGGGATGGGTGGGGGGGGGGGGCTTGGTTAGGCGCCTCGTGTGGGGCACGTGGGTTGTGGGTGTTGATGTGGGCACGAGGGTGGTGCAGCCTACATGTGTGGGCACGTGGCAGCCACTTGCGCGAGGGTGGGGCGCTGGTGAAGATATGAGTGTAACTGGTGTGGGCAAGTGTGTGTATGGGTACTACAAGTGTTGTCACGTGTGGGTACTACGACCAGTGTAGGCACGTGTATGGGTACTACGACCAGTGTGGGCACGTGTATGGGTACTACGACCAGTGTGGGGCACGTGTATGGGTACTACGACCAGTGTGGGCACGTGTGTGGGTACTACGACCAGTGTGGGCACGTGTATGGGTACTACGACCAGTGTGGGCACGTGTATGGGTATTACGACCAGTGTGGGCACGTGTGTGGGTACTACGACGTGTTGTCACGTGTGTGGGTACTACGACCAGTGGGGGCACGTGTATGGGTACTACGACCAGTGTGGGCACGTGTGTGGGTACTACGACCAGTGTGGGCACGTGTGGGTACTACGACCAGTGTGGGCACATGTATGGGTACTACGACCAGTGTGGGCACGTGTGGGTACTACGACCAGTGTGGGCACGTGTGTGATACTACGACAAGTGTGGGCACGTGTGGGTACTACGACCAGTGTGGGCACGTGTGTGGGTACTACGACCAGTGTGGGCACGTGTGTGGGTACTACGACCAGTGTGGGCACGTGTATGGGTACTACGACCAGTGTGGGCACGTGTGTGGGTACTACGACCAGTGTGGGCACGTGTGTGGGTACTACGACCAGTGTGGGCACGTGTGTGGTACTACTAGTGTGTGCGTATGGTCACAGGTGCGGCGCTCCACCACTTTACAACCACCTGATGACACTCCATCCTCCTCCCGCCCCCACCTCTGTTCACCGTGTTCAAGGCTCGACCAACATAACACGTGTGTCACTGTAGGCCAGTCCTTCAGCACAGCACCGAAAGTGGGTAGATTTTCAGGTGAAAAAACTCACTATACACAATTGACTCAAATCACTCCCCTTATGAGCGTGTTATATCTGTCGGGATATTTTCCTCAGCACTATTTATTACTGCTGGCCAAAGTTGAATTATGTTTACTGCCGACTCTAAAACACTTTTAGTTATCAAAGGGGGAAGTATGTACAGCGTGTCTGTTTCTCCGTCGTTTTAATCGTTTAGGTGGTCAGTCATCGTGACACGAGGCTTGATATCCTAGCAAGCGTAGTTTTGCTACCACGTGTTTCCCTTCACATCCACAAACGAATACACTCACTCGCGTTGGTATTAAACCGTATTTTATCCTTCTTTCTGATTGCTCGTTACTTGTCTGCTTGTTTATAGCCCAGTTCTCCAGTTAAAGATTCATTTGTTGAACTTTGTTTCTTCCCTCTTGTCATCCAAGAAGATGAGAGGCTACCGCGCAACCACATTATTGTTCTTCCTGATGTAGGGAGATACGCAAGGTAATGGTAGTTAAATTCGTGGGTTTGAGATACGCGAGGAAATGTAGTTAAATCGGTAGGTTTTCAGTCACTTAGGCGCGGACGTGTCTCTCTGAGGGGTCAAGACGCCAGCTTGGCCTCGGGTGACGGAGTGGTGTGTAAGTCCCACCTCCTCCTGGCGCTCACCCGGCCACACTGGTCTCTCACTGACCCATACACTGATCGCAGCCACGCCCCCCACCACACCTCCCTACGTCACCCCTCTCCGCCCCCCGTCCCTCCCCCCATCTCTCCCTCCCTCTCTCTCTCCTACGTCACTCCACCCTCCCCATTCACACCTCCCTACGATACAATGAGCACAAAAAAAAAAAAAAACTCCTATCAATATCAACCCGCTCCGCCCCCCTTCCCCACACACTTTCCTACATGTCGCACACTAAGAAAGCGTTAGGTTAGGAGTATGGATTGTGGATGAGTTGATTGGGGATGGGAGCATGACATGAGGATGGATTGCTGAAAGGGATGGGATAATGGCTTAAGAATGGATTAGTGGGGGTGAGAGCATGGATTACAATGAGTTGCCACGGGATGGGGGAATGGCATGAGATGGGTTAGTAGGGGATGGGAGCATGGAATGATGATGATAGGTTAGTGAGGAATGGAAGCATGAATTTAGATGTGTTGGTAGGAAAGGGGAACTTGAGGATGTGTTGGTAGGTGCTGTTGTGGTTGGCAAGGGTAACTGACAGGGCCCTGGTAGTGGGTGGGGATGGTAGCACTTAACTTGTGTAATGGTAGATAGGATAATTATTGGTAATGAGGACGAGCAGAGGTGAAGAGGCAGCGGGTGGGGTGGTGACAACGTTTAATATCCCAAGGTCAGAGGGGGCTTGTGGAGGTGATGCAATTGGTGAGGGCGTGACTATGTTAAAAGCGGGGAAGTTTTAAACGATAGATTTGTTCTGAATCTGAATTTGTTAATGAAGAACCAACCCTGCTGGTGGGATGATCTTTATGTCAGGCACCCACACTTTGATGCCTACTGTCATCAGCCCAATGTCAATGGACGGAAACTCACTCTATGTTAGAGGGAGTGAAAACCTTAGAGTCCTGGGTGATGAACAACCAACTCACCGCAGAGGAGGAAGATTAGACTATGCTCTTCTGCTGAATGCACAGGAAACGGATGCCAGTACACACATTGTGCACAGTTTATGTAGTGACCACTGGGCACTGATTACCACCGCCGACATGAACAAGAGAAGGAAAGAGACAAATAAAAGAAAAAGGTTATCACTCAGACTGGATATGAGGCCGCACTTTATAAACAAGATGAGTGACTGGTTCACGGAATACCAAATCAAGATGACATTGATAAATTTGCTGATGACCTTAGTAACCAAACTGAGTTCCGCACCGTACGACTGGGCGAAGTAACCCTCAGTAAAATATAATAAAATGGTATGAGAACGATTACATAAAGATGCTCAATGCAAATGTAAGGAACATGAGTAGAGAGTACCGGAGACATCCCACTGACAGCAACCAGTTGTTTAAAACTGTGTCAAGTAGCCAGGGAAGAGAAGGTTAAAGAGCGGGAAAGACAATGGCTTGACTTCACTAGCTCTATTGGAATATAAACATCTGCGAGACAAGTGTGGGCAAAAATTCAGGTAGCTAAGGGGGGCAGAACTCGGTCTACGGCTCACAAAGACCCCAAGGGTAAGGCCGAGGAACTAATTCACAAGTGGAGTGATACAGCATCACCTTCCTCCCTCCCTGCAGAAATAAGCAGGGAACAGCTCCTCCGACATAATGACAGAAGAATTAGGATAAGAGTACAGTCTAGCGATGATGAGTATGGGAAACCAATCACAGCCCAGGAAGAAAGGGGAGACTATGAAAAAGTGTAAAAGTACTGCACCTGGTGAAGATGACGTCACCTACGACATACTCAATGCACTGTGTGAGTTGGCTGGGGATCCACTACTCCACCTGTTTAATTAATCATTCCTAAGTGGAGTGTTGCCCTCGCAATGGAAACACGCAATAATCGTCCCCATACCGAAGCCCAATGACCCTGGCAATTACAGACCTATCAGTCTCATGTCATGCACTTGCAAGATGCTTGAAAGGATCAGCCTAAATCAACTGTTGCACAAAATAGGCAGGCTAGAGGAGGGGAGTCAATGGATTTGTTAAAGGACAGCGCACAGGAAATTATATAGTAATTACTTGGCTAATGACACAGCTAGGTACTCTGTATTTGTTGACATCAAAGGAGCCTTCGACAAAGCCAACGGATTGTGATCCTGGATGAGCTTGCATGCATTGGGTGTCAAGGGGAGACTCATGAGATGGACTGAAGATTACCTTACAGGGAGGAAAGCCAAGGTCTGCTTTAACAGAACAATCTCGAGAACAATGAGTATGAAACTCGGGACCCCCCAAGGAGGGATCTTAAGCCTTACACTGCAAATATTTAATTTCCGGAAGGAACACAACAAGTTGGGTATGCAGATGAAGTCCTAATACAAGCTCCCACCTTGGGAAAAATTAAAACAGTCCATTGAACTCCTTGGAAGGAAATGGGTTGAACTCGGCTTCACTCTCTCCACAAACAAGACAAAAGCAAACTCTCAACACAAGAGGGGAGAAAATGAAGAACTACAAATTAATGGTGTAACACTTGAATGGGTTGACCACTGTCGGTACCTTGGTGTCACTGTCGGCTCTAACAAGGAAAAGAAAGAGGAGCTCAACCAACTCATAGGAACATGTAAAAGTCGACTCAGGCACTGAAAGCAATATCCTGGAAAGGGCATGGGGCCTCTATTGCCGTCCTTAAAATGATATACACAGCCTATGTGCGCTCTGTCATAGACTATGCCGCACCAGTTTTGTGCACTTATTCCCAAAGCTATATGAAAAAACTTGAAAGCATGCAAAATAAAGCCATGACAATCATTCTTGGAGTCCCACGAACTGCCAAAACATCCAATCTACGAGAGGTGTTGTCCCTGCCGTGTTAAAAGCAAAATTAAGGAATTGAATGCGAAATTTGTAATTAAGATAGCCAGAGATTCCCCATTACAATGATATTGGCAAGAAAAAACTGAGTTCTGTGCTACTTACAGGAAGGAGGGGACAGGAAAAGCAAAAAATGGCATCGCAGATCAGTCTGCTACCTCGAAGAACTTCACCTGCTTGAGCAAGCCCGTGAACTCATGCCTGTAGAGAGATTACCTCCCTGGGAGGATGACTCATGCAGGATTATCATCAATGAAATGACAATGAAAATGTCCAACATGATACCACAATAAATGAGGCACAGGTATCTGGAGGAAATTTATTAGCCGGAAATGAATTAGGTCAAATATACACTGATGGGTCATCTAATACTGTCAATGGCAAGGCTGGTGCAGCATACACTGTAATTAGGAATTTTGCCTTTCAACGCAGAAATGAAGAAAACGTACGTATTGAGAACTTGGCCTCTTCAAATCAAGCAGAGCTAACTGCCATTGTTATTGCGTTGAGATTCCTTGAACGAAACACTAACGGTGCACAGATTCACAAGCAGTGCTACAAAGCCTCAGTAAAAATCGGGCAGAAATCTTGCATATTGGATACTTCATACCAAAACTTTTCAACAAATTAGATGTACTATCAAACAATATCATCGTGACAAGATAACTAAAGAAAGGAGGATAGAAGAACAAATCAGTGAATCTGTATGCTGGTACTATATGGTTGCTGCTGGCAATCCCAATCAATATGAACGAAGAGGAGGTAGTCACGGGAGAGAATCAATAATAGCAAGAATCCGTCTTGGATACAAATATCCATGGAGATTCCGAATGGAATCAATAGCTGATCAGCGGAGTTGCAGAATCTGCAGTGAGAGTAATGGACACCGCCTTGACCACTACCTGAGAGTGTGAACATCTAAGAGTCATTAGAAATGTGTACAATAATAAACCCCACATTGTTTGAGTTAGGAAAACACTATTTGTCAAATATTGATAGTGTTCTTAAGAGATTCCCCCATTTTGCACCCGCAAGATAACGTAAGATTTTAAGGGTTGACAATGTTAATATTCTTGTTTGAGAAGCTGTTTACTTGAAACAGTTAAACAAGTCCCAGCTATGTCTGGGCACAAGTGACTGGATGAACAACCCAGCGGGTTTTCTTCCAATTGAGGTGTGTTGTACATGTTGCTATGATGGTATGTCCACTCACAGGATGAGTGGCGCTGCCCAATAAATTCGCCCCTCGGGGCAAAATTTTTAAAATATAATTTGTAAAGTCCACTATGGGTTCACCATAGCCCGTGCTACTTCGAACTTTTTGTTCAGAGTAGCTGAATCTAAAACAACAGCGAAGGGAGTATATTGTTCTTTGTATAAATATACAAAAGATTATTGAATTTCCTTCATATTCTTTTAAATTTAGCTTAATGTTAATTATAACTTTAGTAATGAAATAACTTTCAATCAATTCATATTATCCAATGAATGACTGGTTTGATATTTATGTAGTGCATCAGGAATGTATGATGTCGCCCAGATTATTCAGTATATACATGACTGGGACAACAGGAGGTTCATGATGTGAATATTAGATAGTTGTACACCTAGGCTAGAGACCTAAGGTGAGTAATTGTATTATGTCTAATTTTATTTAAGCAGATGTATTTACTTCAACTCAGTTAAAGTGAATTACATAGTCAAGTTGAACATTTTGTTCATGTGCGCGAGAAATGTTATTCAAAGTTAAAATGTTGATAAATAGAAAGTTATGATTGAGGAGAGAAGAGGGAATGCATTTTATGAAATAAATATGAATGGGAAAGTGATGGATCAACCAGTTAAAATATAACGATCCAAGTTTCATAACTCGTCCTCACATCAGTTATTGATAGGTTACATATGTTGAATAATTGTATGTTTATATAAGGTAGCAATATAAACAGTTGACGTTTAGCACTGGAGAACAGGCCCGGTCGTCCATCATGTTCATCTGATAAATATATGAATTTAACAACCAACAAGCACAAATCACTTGGAAATGAACGACGACATGTGCAGCAAGCGCTTGACAAGATGCAGACGAGGAGTCACAATAACGTGGCTGAAGAATGTTGACCAGTCCACACACTAGAAGGTGAAGGGACGACGACGTTTCGGTCCATCCTGGACCATTCTCAAGTCGATCAGCTTGACTAGATCTTAAAGCCCAAAATTTAGACAGATTGGGAGGATAAAGAGTCGAAGTTTACATAATCAACGTTAAACAGTGATGGCTTACTATTCAGCTGCAGCCAGCCAAGCTCTCTGGATCCTCTGGATGAGTTAGGTTAGATTTTGACTTGGATAACGGTAGGTTCGGCTATAGTTAGATTAGGTTAGGCTTGCTTTGACTTGCTTAATACTAGGCTATGGCAGGTTAAGTTGGGTTTGGTTTGGAAAAAGATTAGCTTAGGCCATAAATCAAGTTAGATTAGGGTTAGTTTGGGGGTTAGGTTAGGTTAGGCTATGATCAAGTTTGGTCTGATTTCGGTTAGGCTTTATATGGGTACTGCTTATTAGGCTTGGTATTTTTGGTATGGGTGTCTTTGGTAAAGTTAATTTAAGGTGTGATTTGGATACGTTGGATAGTTTAGTAAAGGGCCATTCATCTCGTAACCCCCCATTTGCTGTTTATAAATATATAATTTACAGTTGCATTATAACATAATGTAACATTTAATATATAAATAAACACTTTCTAGTCTAACATTCGGCAATACAACGAAGACTTGTTTATATCTGCACTTCCTTGGTTGCCAGTACACTAATCTGGGTAGTTTGCTTATTTGATCTATAAAGATGGTTAAAACTATATATTTTATTAAATCTAATTAAAGTTCTAATTAATATAAAGTTGAACCTGTTAAGTGATACATCAGTTTTTTTTCAGGGATATTCCTGCGCGGGCCCTAAGCCTCTGGCTGGCCCACTAAGTGTTGCTTGTTTCTGTTTTACTTGGGCGGAGTATGAGTATTTATGACTACATCAGTGTTTTATATCATCCAGTTTTGTTTCACGAAATGCAAAACATCCACCGTTCATAATTTATAACAAAAGGCTGAGTAAAATAAATACATGTATCACAAAGGGGATGATTATGGAACGCAAAATGCTTAATCTTTGCACAGTTGTTTTGGTCAGTCAAGTACACAAATCACTTTCAAATGCTCAAAAACTCATCATATAAATAATAAATACACAGGGAAATAGATCATCGATACTTCGTTCCAATATGATCTGAGACCCTTGTTGGTCCACGGGAGAGAGTGCAAGAAGGTCTTGAGGATCTTGGTTCCAAGCTCACTGAAACTACAAGAGACCCCTAGAACGGCAAGTTTTCTCTTCCAGCGCCAGTGTAGCGATCTAGAGGGGAATTGACCGCTGCATCCTCGGTTCCTGCCCGGCGTCGGAAAGGAACTATCGGGGAAAACGCCAAGCCGTTACGACTATATAGCACTTGGAAGAGATAAGGATTTGGGATGGGACGGGGAGGGGGGAGAGAAATGGTGTCCAACCACTTGGACGGTCGGGGATTGAACGCTGATCTGCAGAAGGCGAGACCGTCACTCTACCGTCCAGCCCAAGTGGTTGAGCCCAGCGTCAGAGGATTTCGAAGAAATCTAGAAAACAAACTTGCCTTTATTTCCTCTTAATGTCCACTTTTTGTAACCAATCAGACATGTGACTGCGTAACCTTGAATAATAAAGTGTACAACACGAATAATAAAAAAAGAAGTGGTAGGAGAAATGAATATTCATATGTAAACGTTTTTCTGAATGCTCTGTATTACCTTCTCCGAGACTATGGGTCCCTACAATTGCACCAGAGGTGGTACCCTATTATAATACAGTATTTAAGACAAAATAAAATAGTTATATATATGCTCAAAAAATATCTTAAAAAGTATAAGTTACGTAAAATAATTTTTAACATATGACTCGGCTTCGTTCTATATTCACAATCTGGGATCCAAAGTTCGATTCCCGGGCAGGACAGAAATGATTGGGCGCAAATATAGAACGTTTAGGCGAGATTGCTGGGAGACAACATACGAGACATATAGAACTGAAGAAGAGCCCCAGGCTTGCGTTAAGTATTAGAACAATGGCTAAGATATTCAACCATGGTAATAATAATGTTGGCAACTGACCCTCGCAAGAATAGTGCATACAAAATAATTAAACTTGACAAAGTCAATATCATTGATTTATAACTTCTTGGCGCCAGTAACCCAAAATACCAAGTTTCACTAAGACTAACCATTTACTACCAAGCTAACCATCACGGGGCGTTGTTTGCTAATATATCAAAGCATTACTTTATATTTCTTTAGCACCTGAAGACAGATGAAATGTTCGAAGAAGACAACGAAAAATAGTTCCATGAATGAACCCACAGATAAAACAAGAAAAATATATGCCAAAATACAAGAACCAGTATGTGTATAAATATATATAATATAATATATATATAATATAATATATAAATATATATAGAATGCAGGATCAGAAACTGATATGCAGATGATGTCACATTTAACTCCTTACACGACTTTTTAATGGTCCAGGACAGACCTATACGTCCTCAATTCTTATTTTTCAGATTTATGGGTTGGATGTCAGATACAGATAGAAAGATACATACTAAAATGCTTATACTTTTCATGAACATATACCGCATTCAATAAATTGCATAAAAAATGTTACCAGAGGTAAAAAACCTCACTCAAGTAATATTTTTCATACATACATAACAATGAACTGGTTTAATATTAAGGAAAACATTGACATTTATATATGGAGAGCACCAACTTTGTTATGTTTTACTTGCGTTTAAAGCCAATATTACCCATGATTAGATATGAGTATCATGCTGCCTACTTCTGAAGGTTGTTGTTGAGGAAAGTGATGGTAATATCTTGAATAGTTATGTTGCCCAGTCTAGCGTAGTCAGCAGCGGAGGTGACCACAGCATCTTGCAGGCTAGGCGGAGGGCGGCGGTCGAAGGGAAAGCCCATAGGACGTTTGTCAGGGAACTTGGCGTCCAGGATCCCGCAGAAGGACACAGCGTCGGCACATCTGCGTACTGCTGGCTGATCCACCTGTCAGGGGCCGCAGTTGGTCACTATCTGTTTATTGTCTTCACTCATTCCCAGCCCCAGGAAGTTCACTGACAAATTAATCCCATGAAATAACACTAATGATAATAATAAAGTTTGAACAAGTTGTAACACCAACATTTAAGGTTCCTCTTCTTGCACGTCAAAACAGATTACGTACACTCAGTGAACATATAGTCTCAGTGAACTCAGTTTCGATTATATTATGATAAAAAGGAAACGTGGAAATTGCGCAGAAGATACTGATATTAATAGTAATAAATCGTATTGTTAATTAACATACAAATTTAAACTAATATAATACAACAGTCAATTCCAACGACTCATGAAAAAATGAGAAGTTTCATTGTGTGTTGAAGAGCTGTGACAAAAATGGTGAGGACAAAAATGGTGACTGACCTTATCCTTGTCCAGGTCGGTGAGCATGAAGAAGAGCTGGTAAGTCATGCCCTCTGGTTTACTTCGGGGCAGCAGCAGGTGGTCAGGCCACCCACACCCACAGAAGTTGGCTTCAGTATTTTGTGGTGCTCCTGAGGTGAAGGTGATTATTTCAGTTAGTAGGAACATTTTGGTAGTGTCCTATTGCCACATTACTCCAGTCGCATGCGGCATCATAAGCTAGGTATTGCTACTTTTAAAAGATTGTAATTTTCTAACCACTGTGTATATGATTTATCTTTGTCGGAAGTAGGGAGCTTGCTAGGCTGATCAAGGTCCACAACAGTTACGTAACACGAACTTTTTCAGTGTCAGAGTAGATAATAAATGGAATGCATTAGGCAGTGATGTGGGGAAGGCTGACTCCATACACAGTTTCAAATGAAGATATGATAGCGCCCAGTAGACTCAGAAATTCACACCAGTTGATTGACAGTTGAGAGACGGAACCAAAAAGCCAGAGCTCAACCCCCGCAAGCACAACTGGGTGAATACAACTTGTTGAGTACACGAATTCCTTATTTACTGTTGGGTAAACAAAGGCAACGGGTAAGATGTGCCCAAACATCTCGCGCGGCATGTGAATCCAACTGGAACTTTTGGTTGTAAATCATCTGCGCCGACCTCTGGCTGGCTTTTGATCACTGATCATGCCACTTATCCAGACATAGCAAGATTTCAGCAACTACACACAAACCTATTATTAAACAGATCAAGCAATTACGACATAGTCTCCAGATCCAGCTTTCTTAATGTAGACTCCCACATAGCCTATGTAACTATTAAGCTCGGTGATTTCACGATGGACATCATCCTCCCCTACATCACCCTAGTTTTCTTATTTTGTCAAAGACGTAGGCTGATGATGTCTATGTGTATGGATGAAAAATTACTGGGGTAGAATTTGTTTTGAACTCGACTCGAACCCTCGCCAGCACAGATGCTTCACAACACCTGACATAGCTAGTACTCACTAAACCCACTCTGGGGTTCTAATCTGGGGCTTAAATACCCCGAAATTAAAAATTAACTGTGTAAAATCTGTTTAGTCTTGAAAGCGGTTATATTTTTATCTTTTATGAAGGCCACTACTTCTCCCTCACCTGGCATAGCGGGGTTGACAGCCTCCAGGCTCCTGAAGGTGAACTCGCTGGAGGTGGTGATGGAAGATTCGCTGGAAGGACGCACAATCTGGTTCTTCCCAGGCTTCACTGTTGATTAACTAGTGCATTAGTTCTGGTAGTCCATATAGCTTACGTGAACACGTCAGTATATTGTACATAATAAATATGGGATCACTTAGACAAGGCCAGTGTTTACATTTGTCATCAGCAAATCATATTTATCTATATGTTAATTAATCTAAATAGTAACAACAGTCATGTCATTCGACAGTAATTACAGCAGTGCTGAGAATAAATATTTTTTGTTATAATCATACAAAATTGAAGTCACATCGACTGTCAGTGTCATTAAGGCAGCAGTCTTCATACTTCATGGATCTCAAACTCAACTTATCACCTAATAAGTAAGGATGCTGCACTGTGGCACCCCTACGGTTAATTGTAGAATGGGAGAGGTTATATAATTGATGGATACATAATGGTGTCCGACACTAAGATAGGATCGGATATAGTTCAGGGCAAGGCCTCGGATTCCATAATGGTAGAGTTTAAGTAAGAGGAAGTTATGGTTAACAGTATCAAAGGCCTTTCAGGTCAATGAAGAGTCCAATCGGAAACTCATTTTTGTCAAGGGCTGAGTAGATTATATACAGCAGACTATTAATAAAATCGTTGGTACTCTTTTGAGGGCGAAAGCCAAACTGACAGGTGCTAAATATGTCATATATATTACTGAAGGAGTAATATATAATAATGAGAGTGTGACGTGATTTACAGTAATACATATTACTGAAGGAACAATATACAATAATGAGAGTGTGACGTGACTTACAGTAATATATATTACTGAAGGAACAATATACAATAATGAGAGTGTGTGGCGTGACTTACAAATCTCAGTGAACTTGTCCATCTCAGCCCAGAGGAGCCGCTGCTCCATGAAGCCCATCTCCAGGCCACGCTCGTTGTGTTTAGGAGCCATGAAGATCCTCACTGTCACTGACTTTTGCTTTCCTGTGTTGTTTGTTATCTGCAACACACAAATTCATTTTAATTCACCGTATGTATTTCGTCTTGCAAAGAAATTGGCAGTTTTAATCGAGGTATTGACTTACAAGAATGATAAAGCTATTTTAAAAGCAAATTAAAATTTGTAATTCCTGTGAACTTACTAAAAATTATAGCAATTCATCTTTTGTGACAACTGGCAGTATTTTAAGCAAAGATAAAATATTTCAGCAATAGTTCAGGTTTCGCACCAGTTTCACAGTAGCTTGAACTTGTCGCATTTGAGGTTTTTTGGGCAACGGCTGACAGAATCGCATCAGCGCACATCACTGGTGAGTAGTCTTTCAGAATAGCGATTGGTTTCTTTTAGTATAAACCGTAAACCGAGCCCAACCTCCTGTTTAGATAGTACTTATAGTAACGATGAGGACCATGGTACATATATTGACGTAAAAATAAATTAGGAAGTAGAAATCAGAACTACTGAATTTGCACAAAACAAACGTTTTTGTACTGATGTTGCAAAGAAAACTTAACCAAACCTAACCTAACCATCCTAGGCCTAATACACGCTGTCTGAGGTCTAATATAGTACATATTATATATGCTATAGTAAGTCAAGGATTATTTAAGTGTCATTTGCCCCTTGACAGAGTAAGATAGCATTAACATAGCTCGTCTGAAATCTTTTTGCTATCTTATTGGACGATATTTAAGCCCTTTTGATTATTCTGTGACACAGAAGGTGCTAAATAGTCTCCCGGGCTTCGCATTTTCTTTTGTTTTCTTACTTACAGACGACATCCACTGCATTAACGATTACTTAAGGGACACACCGACACAATGCACTGACCCACCAGACTACCATAATGATACCTATTTTCTAGTATCTAAAGCATACATAGGATTCTACCTTTGGGAAACAACGCCAGGCAACATTATCTCTTTTCAATGGAGTCCAACTTAACGCTCATTCCTTTGCACTAGGCTAAATTATGATAGGTGGCTTTGCTATTCAAATCATATAGGCATTTTCTTATGCGTCGTGTAGCGTGTTAGCGAAGGCGTGCTCATCGCCAGGAGTAAAAATATAATCTTAAACTATTGTTGACCAGACCATACACTAGAAGGTGAAGGGACGACGACGTTCAATCGTCTCACAATCGACTTGAGGGTTCAGGACGGACCGAAACGTCGTCGTCCCTTCACCTTTTAGTGTGTGGTCTGGTCAACATACTTTAGCCATGTTATTGTGACTCATCGCCTGCATCTTAAACTATTGTTTTGCTATGAATCTCGCTCTTTTAATACGATAAAGTTATGTCGTAGGTTTTTAATACCTACACATGTTAAACGTAGCTACATGTGACCTTTCAAGTAGGACAAACCATGTTTCTTGTTGATACGGTATGATTTGCACCTCACTTTGAATTGCAAGTTCCATGTACATAAAGTACTGTAATGCCACAGCCAACAACCCACCACACAATATGCAACACAACACACACCACAGCATACTAAACACCGTGCACACCATGTCACACTACACAGTGCACCACATCAACAGCTCACCACACAACACACTACAAGTGACAGTACCCAGTACATCATCAAACAACACAACAGCTCACTACGCAACACAATATACCACAACACAATATAGGAAAGCTGTCTGGTGTCCTAGTAGACACAGCCAACAACCCACCGCACAATATGCAACACAGCACACACCACAGCATACTAGAGTGCACCACATCAACACCTCACCACACAACAGGTGACAGTACCCAGTACAACATCAAACAACACCACAGCTCACCACGCAACATAATACAGCACTTTTAAAGCTGTCTGGTGACCTGGCACAGGCAACCTTATGGGACCTCAGCAATAAGTGTGCATTTAATTATGTATGCCTTGATATTCTCTGTATAGGAAGGAATACGATAATTTGTTCAGTCTCATTAGCATGCGTCCCTCCTTCGTGAATGACATCGTGGGTCATATCTCAATTTACTTTTGATGTCGTGTTATTGGTTAACGTAAGCACCGTTCCAGACGTATAGCGTCAACGTTTTAGGGAACATTATTCATGTATCAGTCCGCTAAAGCAGCTATTTTATTTAACAATGAAACTTTAGAAGAAAGATTTACTCTCAGGCAAATTCGTAACTTTAGTATTTTATATCTACAATCATTTGCCGATTTGTTTTATAAATACCGATAAATCTCTTACACAGTATAATGGATTTCAACACCAGATTGTTTTTCCGGCATACGAATAAAGCGACAAAAACGTGGAAAGAGCCATTACACTTACTGGCTATACAAGAAATATATAAAACTCAGAAGAATTCATACCTGGAGATGATAATCGAAGGGAGCATGGTCGAGATGGGTGATGCGCAGCTGTACGGCGACAGGAGAGTTGAAGTCCAACCCTCTGGAAGCCTCAAACTCACGCACGTTCCAGCCAGTTGTGAGTTTGTTGAGCTGGTTCTGCCTCACAACACCCACCTTGTCAATCACCACGCCCGGCAGAGTCAGCTGGTGTGGAAATACAAGTCAATATACAAATATGCTTACTACAAAGTTTCTCCCATGTAACTCCACACACACACATCCCCCAATGGAACTCCACACACATATATCCCTCATGGAACCCCAGACACACACATCCCCCCATGGAACTCAACACGCACCAATATCCCCCATGGAACTCCACACACACACACATCCCCCATGGAGCTCCACACACACACACACATCCCCCATGGAGCTCTACACTTACGTCCTCCATGGTGTAGGGCGGCTGCGTCAGCTTGTACTCCTGGAAGACGTCGTCCACAAACTTGTGCCAGCGGTAGAAGACTGGGTCTCTCAAGGCAGTCGCCGAGTCTCCCATTATTCCCATCTCCTCCTGAGGCGGGAAATACAAAGTAGTGTGGAATTTTATTGCCACTGTTGTCATTGCTACACCACAATGTTTCGACTACTATATAACTTAAATAAAGTACATATTTTTATTATTTATAACAAGGAGTAATTTGATTTTCACTGTTGTACACCTGTTCAGTCAGAAGCGATCTAATTACTTGGTATATTAGGATTTTCATACTGTGGCACGAGGTCATTTGTGAGGTCGCGTTTCCTTTCACCTAATGGGCCTGTTCACTAGCAGTAAATAGGGACCCAAGAGTTACTCAGCTTGTTGTGGGAATGCATCCGAAGGGGGTGGGAGAACCTCGATATAAGCCTAACACGTACTGTATGTATAAACTTGCTGCCTGTTATATGTGCCCGCTTTTATTTTGTCATTTCTTTTCATCTTGTATATTATGTGGCCTGTGTTGTTGTACTTATACTAGCCACCAACACCGGCCTGTGTTGTGTATGGTCAGCCTGTGTTGTTACGGTCGCGAGAACACCTATATTAGATGTTATAACTGTGTGCATAACATCTAGGTTGCTGTGACTTATGTTTCAACTTTATTGTGATGTTACTGTACCGTTTGGAATAATAGAGCTGAACCTTTTAACTCCGAATTGTTTAACAGATGGTTCTTGTTCCTGAATTAATCGTTAGTAATGGATTTAGAAAACTGTATATCTTGGAGCTGGTGATGTGAACAACATGGTTTCAGCAGTGGTAGTCGTAGTGGGTGGTTAATCATTTCCATAATTATTTCATTGGCTCATCGCAGTCTCTCCAAGGTATCCTCATCTGTATATGTAAACAAACTCATTAAGAGCATCCTGGCACATCAACCACCCTGGATAAGCACCTCCAAAGGATACCTGATCAACCAGGCTGTGACTCGTACGTCAGTCTGCGAGCAGCCGCGTCCAACAGCCTGGTTGATCAGTCCGGCAACCAGGAGGCCTGGTCGACGACCGGGCCGCGGGACGCTAAGCCCCGGAAGCACCTCAAGGTAACCCTGCGTCGTCATGAGACTTAACTGGAAGCTTTACTAATGCGAGCTTGGGCGTTGATCGCCAGAGCTACTGCAGAAACTGGTAGCGTGACAAATAGCTGGATCAATGAACTCGAAGCCACCGACGTCGATGTAGGTGGGTTTGCGATATTGGTCAGTACACTTTAAGTGTGTCAGATACGTATTTCGATTCTTCTTGTCACTATCGAGTGAACGGACGAGTTATACCACCTGTTCCGAAGGTCACGATACTACTTTCTGCAACGAGCTAAAGTGAGTAGGAGATTTGGGATGTGATACAATCTCTCTATCACAGTGTAAAAACATCCCCAAAAAATCAAAACTGAAAATATTTATAAAAATAAAAAATATATTTACCCTATGTGCGTTGTCGAAGTCATGACAGAATGACAGCATCACGTGGCCCATGTTGTGAAGGTCGCCATAGAAGAGGTAATGTGGGCTCAGCCTATCATCTGCCTCAAATGCGTCTCCTAAGATGTCAATCCCTCGCTTTCCTGTCGTGACGTTATCAGAGAGTTGGATGCGCTCACCATTCGGCTGTTGGCAAGTTAAATTGTTTGATCAGTGAATATTTTGCATTAATTACTAAATATCATATTTGTTTCATTAGTTCTTATTCATTGAATATTATTTTTGTTTTAACCTTACAGAAAAATAAATCTGGATCAATGCGTTATGGAAATCTGTTATGATTCATAGCAAATTTAATAAAAATCAACCAGAAAGATTTCTTGCATAGCCTAGTTCATAGGCTATGACCTGGGAGCAGTTCATAGGCTATGAATTGTGAAGTTATCATTATACTTGATATACCTACATTTAGCATATATCCTTGGTGGATGGCGTCCATCAGTCGGGACCGCCAGAGCTCCATATCACTAATGTCCAAAAAATCAATCCCGGCATCGTTACGTCTCAAATCCTGAAATAAAAATAATAAAATATATAAACTCTACAAACTTTGATTATTTGTTCTGATCTCTTGCCATATAATAATATTGACCTTTCACTGCCTTAACCAACTTGATCATGGGTGTATCTCGCCGCTCCATGGTACTTTCCCTTCCGTGTCTAGCACTATATAGAGGACTATAAAATGTCTTTAAAATTAAAACAGACTTAAGAACTAGTATCTTCATTTTCCGTGGGTAAACAATTTTGTCCCTTGGCACACTACATGCAAGTATGGTGATCAAACCACTTGAGTTTTGTTGACCAGACCACACATTAGAAGGTGAAGGGACGACGACGTTTCGGTCCGTCCTGGACCATTCTCAAGTCGATTGTGTATCAGATTTGCACAATCGACTTGAGAATGGTCCAGGATAGACCGAAACGTCGTCGTCCCTTCACCTTCTAGTGTGTGGTCTGGTCAACATACTTCAGCCACGTTATTGTGACTCGTCGCCTGCACTTGAGACTTATTGTTCATGTGGAAACTTTCCCCACATGTATTTTACCTAGCCCGTCCTCGACTCAAGTCCATTACATTCAGCGGTCAACCCCACAGACGCATTCATAAATTTTAACATGCTGTTTATTCAAAACGGGAATTTTCTCAAGTATAAATTAATATTATAATATATTAGCATATTGTGTATATATAGGCATAGGATAGGTTAGGTTAGGTGTTTAGGTTCTGTTGGCGATTATTTGTATTTGTAGTACGTGGGTGAAGCATTTATAGCGTTGTGATTCGAACAAAATTCGTCAGTGAAGCACTTGTTCCGGATATGTTCGAACGTCAGCAGTTGTGAGTCGTGTGTAAACCGCTTTTCATTCATAAACAGGGGGTTTGGCGGGTGCATGGAATCACTTTTGGATCTTTGTTTGGAGGACGGGCTGATTTTACCTGCAGTAAACAAGCAGTCGGTTTCGAGTTTTATTATCTCTCGCTCTGGTAAGCTGTTATTTTGATGGGTATCTGTAAGCCTGACCTCCGAGTATCTTAATGTATATGTTATGCTATATGTATCTCGTCTACTTTCCAGTGTTGTAATTTAGCTGCTTTACTGTGTGCGAGTAGTGCATGTTCTAAGTATTCCTTGTTTCAGGAATTTTTACTGCCTTGATAGGATGTGGAAGTTCCGAACAATACTGAAGGCGGCAAGGCACTAGTGAGTTGAAAATTAGGACCATTGTAGTGAATTTATTGGTTTGAAAGTTCTCATAATCACCCTATCATTGTCGTGGCTGATGTTACGTGTGTATGGTTCTGTTCTTTCCTCGGATATTACTCCCAGATACTTTGCAAGTCATTTTCCTTCTATGGGGAGATCTCATTACATCTTGCATCCCGTATTTTGTCTAGGTTCTTCATTTTTTCCCATATCAAAGTACTGTATCTGGAATTTATCTCCAGAAAATCATGTGATTTTGCGTTTCTAAGTGGAAGCCTATTTTAGTGCCTCATTCCGAGATAATTGTTATGCTGATATTATTATCTTCTGTAAAGGATGTCACAAAGCTGTGATTTCTATTTACAATATGTTTGATGTGACGACTGGAAAGAGTATTTACGAAAAAACAGTAACTGGTGCCCCATACACTCACCTTCAGGAAGGTACCGTCCTGACGGATGCCCCAGGGCCGACCGGAGTTGTTAACAGTAAGCTTGGAGAAGTAACCATCTGGGATGGGCTCGCGCCAGTTCTCCAGCTTCTCCACACGTTTGAGGTTAACGCTGAGCCGCTCCATGTCGTACCTTGAGTTCGGACATCATTGTAGGCAGTGTGGGCTTGTCTTACATATAGATTATTAATAAGCATTTTATCGTTACATTTGGAAGATTGCACATTTCCCAACTGAACTCTATACATCAAAAGTATATTAATTCGACTACAGAGTGTACGAATGGGTAGCAACATTGCTATTTCACGTTGGGAACTATTAATGTTGGATGTCCCCGGTACTATCATCAAGAGGGTGTGAAAGAGATAAGGTAAAGAGACCTTATGAGACTGGTAAGATCATTGGCTTGGCTGTTAGAGTATCTTACCTGATCAACCAGGCTGTGACTCATACGTCAGGCTGCGAGCAGCTGCGTCCAACAGCCTGGTTGGTAAGTCCAGCAACCAGGAGGCCTGGTCGACGACCGGGCCGCGGGGACGCTAAGCCCCAGGAGCACCTCAAGGTAACCTCAAGGTATCTTTTGGAGTGAAGCGGTAATATGAGGGTGAAAGAGGACCTTGTGCGTACCGAAGAAGTCTGGGAAAACTGCGTAATCTCTGTTGGGTGATAGTTTAATGTGGGTGTTGGTGTTGACTAATGTGGGACGACGACCGAGGAATGGGATGCGCTCGTAACCAGTGGGTGAATGAGGCGTATGTACAAATCTCATTATTTGGACCAAGGGTTTATCTCATACCCGGAGCTGTCCACGAAGGAAAGTCCAATCTGATTTGTATGCAAACACCTAACATAGGTGAATGATTGAAGTCATGAAAGATTCAAAGCCTATTGTTGTGTGGCAAACATTAACATAACTGTTATTGAGCGCCGCTCTGCATAACGGACATCAATGTGATTCAGTATTACACATGTCAACTCTTACACCAAATGATGACTATGAGTTATGTGGAATGTATTTGCATGTTCATTTGTGATTTTCCAAGTATCCGATTAGAACTCCATGCGCAATGTGCATCTTTGGAGTACTGCAGTGATTAGGTAGCAGTATTAATCAAGGGAGTTATTTAGTGTTAAGATAGGTAGTTCTTGTGAGCGGTAATTATCTTTCACTTGAATTATCTGATGTCCCTCTGATTGACTGAAGCTCGTATGGTATTTCTTAGAGTAAACGAGTAATCCCAATCATATAAAGTAAGATTAATTATTGCAATAACTATTTTTAAGTGAACCCGTACGTATCAGTCATCTTTTCTCGCTCAAATCTAAATACTTAGATTATTCAATAAATTGTTTTGTTTTTTAAAGTTAGGTTAAAAGAAAACTGTTGGAAAATAAAAATCAGACACCTATTTGCCCAATTGAAAATTATAGAACAATTGTATATTATGGAAAAAATTACAGCAATAATCGTAATTGCTATTATTTGGGTTTGTAACGTCCGCCCCACTCCGGCCCAATCAGGAGGAAGCCTCACCCCGTTGCTATGTTCGTAAATACAAGAAACATATTCACCACCATCACCCCCACAAAAAAAAAAACTAATATCAATATTTAGAAAACCTCTATCATCGATATTTAAAACACAACTATTATCAAAAAGGTAATGAATATCTACTTTAAGCAAATGCCGGAGTTAAGGGATTCAGGCAGAGTAACACAGCAACAAGTGACACGTTATCTCCACAGAGGCATTACGGGCTCACCATAGCCAGTGCTATTTGGAACTTTTGGAGTCTGGCCCTAGCTTCGGTAGGGGGCAGACGTGTTGCCTCGGCACTCCGGCAGTTGGTGCTTGTTTACCAGTTTGGCCGGTTGGGGGCGGGTGTTTTTCTGCCCGCCTGTGCTGACGTGGCGTTACGATGGGGGTCCCTCTGCCCCCTGTCGTCCGGGCTCAGTCTGTTGGACTCGAATTCTCTGTGCGTGCCGGTTACCCGGAGATTGCGCTGACTTGTGATTTGCTATCTGCCCCTGTGTTAGCAATTTATGGGGTCGAGTTGGTAACGGCCCGTCGGACGATAGTGAAATTCACGGAGGAGATGGCGTATCGCGATTTTCTCCGGCGATACGAGGGGCGGACATTACTCCTGCCGGATAGTGCGGGCACTGTGACCCTCTCTGATCAAAGTGGTGCCCTCACTTACGTCAGTGTGCATGGGGCTCCCTTGGAGTTTCCGGAGGGTCTGCTACAGCGGTATTTCGGCCGGTTTGGCGCAGTGGTTAGTGCGCGGGTGAACGTGGTGTCTTCCAGTCCACTTAAGGGTGTGAGGACTAACATTCGCACCCTGGGCATGAGACTCCGGGCAGATATTCCGTCCTCTGTGGGCCTTATGGGGTACAACGTTCGGGTGTTTTACGCCCGCCAGATGCGGACATGTTATCTTTGTGGCCCTTTGGGCCATCAGGCTGCTGACTGTTCTGCACCTGCCATTGCGCCAGTGAATCTCTTCAATGAGGAGGATTTTCCGCCGCTTCCTGTGGGGGATGATTCGGTGGATGTGGACGTCTCTTCGGCGCCTCCTCCCTTCAGAGGAGGTGCCCTGTGTCAGATGTTGCTCCGCCTGTTGCGGCCCCCTGTTGTTGTCGCCTATCCTCCGGAGGTTGTGTCCTCGCCTGGTGCTCAGCCTGCTCCGGCTGGTGTCCCTGAGCCTCTTCCGACTGCCGTTTGCTCGGACCCCTCATCTTCCAGTTCTTCCTCTGCTGTGTCTGTCCTGGTCCCTGCACCCTTGCCGTCTGTTCCGGCTGTGCTGGGAGCTGGGGTGGATCCGGCGCTTCCTCCTGTGCCTGTCCTGGTGCCCGTTGAGGATGCTGCCGTACTGCGGCGTGCGTCAGTTCGCCCGGCTAGTGTTGCGCGTGTCGCTGAGTTTGCCTCCTGGTCTGATGATGTGCGGCCCAAGCCTAAGCGTTCCCGGCATTCTTCTTCTGCGTGGGCTGACGTTGGTGACTTCGACTAGTGTGGTCCTTCCGGTGACGGTGGAGTGGCTCCGGTTGTGGTGCACACTACGGTGGTGGCGGAAGTGCACTTGCCTGAGGATACCGGTGCCGGTGTTTCGGCCTCCCCTTCTTCTCTGGTGTCCGAGGGTCCTGCTTCAGGTGCGTTGCCTGCGTCGGATGGCTCCGGTTCTTCGTGGGGAGTGGTTCCCCCTGCTGAGGTTGGTGATGTGCAGGGTGGCCTGGTGATGGTGTTGAGAAAGGATGCTCGCTCTGGGAGTTCTGTGACCCATTCCTCGTTACCCGTTTCCTCGGCAGCGGTCATGCCGCCTCTTCCGTCTTCTGCAGTCTCTTCCGTGTCTCCTGCGGTCTCCGTGGAGGTGCTACCGTCTCATCATCCGGCCCCTGCTCCTGTGCGTGCGACGGCGAGGCAGTCTCGGCAGCCCTCGTCTGCTTCTCCAGTGTCGTCTGCTTCCTCGAAGGGCATGGATGGCGCTCCCCGGCCTCGTTATGCGACTTGCGTCAGTGACTTCGGGCGTTGGCCGTTGCCGCCCAATCTGGATGTTCCTGAGTTTATGGTACCCCCTCGGCAGCGGAGGATCAAAAACCCTACCGACCTTGAAGATTTGGTCTGGGAAGCTTACAAGAGGAAATATCCTTACGATTTTTTCCCGGAGAAGTACATTTCTCACATTGTTCCTCGCAAATGATTTCTGTGTATTCTGTGTTTCCTGTTGTGTGCATGGTTGTGGGGTGCGGATGGGGTGTGTGTGTGAGTGGGTGGGGGTGGGTTTTGTTTCCCGGTTCCTGCGTGCTCCGGTTTGTGTTGTGGGTTTTCTTTGTATGGCTGGTGGGGGGGTGTGCGGTTCCTGTGCGTTTGTGTGTTCGGTTATGGATGTCGTGTGCCCTTGTTTATGTCATACTGTGTGCCCTTCAGGCTGTTGGCATGTGCTCTTTGTTCTGTTTTGCCTTCCATTTGTTATGGCAGATCTGTTTCCTTTATTGTTATTATCCTTATTATTGTATGTTTCTCGCCTCTCCGTATGTGTTTGAGGTGTTAGTACCTGGTTGATGGGGTTCTGGGAGTTCTTCTACTCCCCAAGCCCGGCCCGGGGCCAGACTTGACTTGTGAGAGTTTGGTCCACCAGGCTGTTGCTTGGAGCGGCCCGCAGGCCCACATACCCACCACAGCCTGGTTGGTCCGGCACTCCTTGAAGGAAACAATCTAGTTTCCTCTTGAAGATGTCCACGGTTGTTCCTGTAATATTTCTGATGTTCGCTGGTAGGACGTTGAACAACCGTGGAGGCTTGTTTTGTAGGCTGTAGGAGGCTTGTTTTGTGTGCATTTTGTTCTGGGGTTTTCCCCTATGTTTGTCTTCCGCTGTGTTTATATTTGTGTTATGTTTGTATTTGCATTTTTGTTTTGTGGTCAGCCCTTCTAGCTGGTCTTCTCTTGATTTGTTCCTTTGTCCGTGTACATATGTGTGCTTTGTACCTTTGTTCTATGTTATATTTGTTTCTGCTTTTATTGTAACCTATACGCATGCTTGCATGTATAAAAAAAAAAAAAAAAAAAAGTTCCAAGTAGCGAATCTTAAACAACAACAATCCACAATCCACAGAGGCTCTGAGGGCTGAAATAATTGTCATAACGTGGCCAATCTGTCTCTATAGACTCCAGAGGCACCTAGTTATTGTCGTTGTGTAAACATCAGGAAACCGAACAGGCGAGTTGCTTACCTGGCAACAATCTGCTGATGCATATAATAGAAAAGTTCTCCTTTACGGTCCCGGTTGACATTCATGCCAGCGGGGTAAACAAGATGCCAGTGCCAGTGGTGGGAGTTGATGCCGTAGTCCTCCCTCCAGTATGACACTCGGTGCTCTGGCTTCACGGTGGTGTTGGCAAAGTCTGGTCCGTGTTCAATCACCAGCGGTGTTGTCTGTCAAAGACGGAAATCATATATCAAGATTTAAATCATTTATCAACTCGTTACATTATGACAGTCTGACTAAAAAGTTTTACTCGGGGGTGGGGGGGGGGGAGGGAGATTGGAAGGTCAATTCAATATAGTCTAAAATATATTTTCTTTGTTTTCATCGGGTAACGGGGAAGGAGGATAGGATGAAGAGAAGGGATCAGGAGAAAGCGCCAAGGCATTACAACTATGCAGCACTTGGTATGGAGGAGTGAGGATGACAGTGATTATTATCACTATCACATTGCAGCCAGGGCGGGCACGTTACCGGGCAGGGCAAGCGTGGGTTTATATGCGCTATTTGCATAAGTTTAAACCAATTACTTGGAATTAGAAGACAGTAGGCAATATAATTAAAAATCAAAGTTAAGTCTTTTATTCATTATCAAAATATGTCTATTTTAGAGATTAAAGACATAAGGTACTAAAAGAGGTAGCAGATCCGCTGAGTAACCTCCTTGCTGAGGTCTTCAACTACTCACAAGCCCTGCTGTTCCTGGTGGTGGGGACGTGGCGTGTTTTGCGATGGGCAGCCCTATTCCCGCTGTCGTGCGGTTAAACTCCATCGGATTGGAGTTTACTGGCTGTGCTGGTTACCCGCTGGTGGACGTGGTATTGAGTGACATGCTTCAAGTCCCGGTTCAGGACGTATATAGTGTTGAGCTGGTCACTGCTCACCGTGTCATCATCAAGTTTGTGGGTGAAGCGGTGTACCGTGCTTTTCTACGGAGGTACGAGGGCCGTACTTTGCAGCTGCAGGAAGGAACCGGGTCTGTGACCATTTCGGACCGTAGTGGTGCAGTGACGTATGTCAGTGTCCACGGCGCCCCCATGGAGTTTCCTGAGACACTCCTACGGCGATTCTTCCAGAGGTACGGCTCCGTCATCAGTGTGCGAATGAACTCACTTTCGTCTGGCATGTATTCGGGTGTGAAGACCAACATTCGGACCCTCGGGATGCGACTGAGGTCGGACATTCCGTCCTCTGTCCGGCTGTTGGGGTACTATGTGCGGGTGTTTTATGCCCGACAACCCCGTACTTGCTTCCGGTGTGGCTTGTTGGGGCATCAGGCTGCCGGGTGTACTGCTAGTCCGGTCGCTCCCATGAACTTGTTCCGCGAAGAGGATTTCTTGCTGCTCCCTCTGGAGGAGGACTCCTGGGGTGAGGAGGTGAGCGTCCCGTTCGCTGCTGAGGCTCCCCAGCGTCGCCCGACGTTCCCCTGGTTGTCGCAGACCCTCCTCCAGGTTTTGTGGTGCTGTCGGATGTTCCTCCTTACCATGTCTCTGGCCCTGCCGATCCCGTGGACCTTCCTGGTAATCCCTGTGTAGCGTCGCCGTCTGCTTCCTCGTCTTCGGATGCGAAACCTGGCCCTGCGTCCGCGCCTCGGGTCCCTGCTGTGCTGGGTGCTGGGGTGGCTGCGAAGCCTCCTGCTGTGTGTGGTCTGGTTCCTCCTGTGGTTGAGGCTGCTGCCTTTCTGCGTCGGGCGTCAGTTCGTCCGGCTAGTGGTGCCTGTGCTTCTGGATCTGCTTCTGGCTCTGACGATATCCGGCCAGAGCCCAAACGTTCCAGGCGTTTGTCTACTACCTGGGCTGATGTTGGGGACTTCAGTGACTGTGGGTCTTTAGATGTTGACGGTGTGGCTCCGGATGAGTCGTTGTCTCCACGTTGGTGGTGGCGGAGGTACATGTGCCTGCTGGTGCTGATGCCTGTGTCTCGGGTGTGCCTCCTCCCTGGAAACACAAACCGAAACTGTCTGTATTTTCCGCTTGTTACAACTTGTAATAAAGTTGTTACATCTTGGCTTAACGTGTTTATGACGTTTTAGAACGTTGTTACAACGTGCTATATTGGTTGTTATAACTGGTTAGGAAGTGTTAAAACTTGTTTGAACGTTGTACCAACGTCGTAGTTTCGGTGTGTGTTTGGCGGGCTGTTCCTTCCCCGCCCGGGGGCTCTCCACAGTGGGGTGTGGTGGCTTCCGACGCCGGGGATGGTGAGGGTGCTGGTGCTGGGCGTGGCCTGGTGGTAACTTTGAGAAAGGATGCGCGCCGCCGTGGTTCCCTGCAGTCGTCTGGTGATGTGCCCGTGGCCGCTGGTGCCCCTGTGGTGGTGCCCTCTGTCAGGCCCCCCTCCTGCGGTGTTGTGCCTTGAGGACCTGGAGGCCCGGGTTGCCGAGTTCCTGCTGCTTGAACGGCCGGAGGATTTTTCTGATGAGCGGGTTCCAGGTGTCTGGGATAGGGTGGCAGTTACTCGCGTCCGGAGGGACACCATATGGGTTCCCTGTCTGCGGGTGTTTGTTGCCGGGGTTCCGGTTCAAATGGCGCCCCTGGTGTTGGGTCAAGCCTCTTGGGGGAGGTGACTGCTTTGGGAGGCGTTTAATGTGCGGTATCCTCGGGACGTGTTCCCGGGCGAATATGTAAGCTGATTTTACTTTGACATGTATGTTATCCTTCTGCTTTGCTCGCGTGTGTTTTTATTCTTAGCTTGTTGTGTACTGAGGAGGAGGTGAGGGAGCCGGTCGGCCGAGCGGACAGCACGCTGGACTTGTGATCCTGTGGTCCTGGGTTCGATCCCAGGCGCCGGCGAGAAACAATGGGCAGAGTTTCTTTCACCCTATGCCCCTGTTAACTAGCAGTAAAATAGGTACCTGGGTGTTAGTCAGCTGTCACGGGCTGCCTCCTGGGGGTGGAGGCCTGGTCGAGGACCGGGCCGCGGGGACACTAAAGCCCCGAAATCATCTAAAGATAACCTCAAGAAGATACTGTGCGATTTTCTTGTTTTGTTTCATGATATCCTTTTTATTGTGTTTTGTTCTCGGTCCTTCAGGCCGATGCGTGTTTGTTGTTGTGTATGTACCTATGTTTATTTTCTGATTTGCATGGTTTGCTTGTTTATTATTTTTGTTTCATTTGGCCTCGCCCTTTGTTTGTTGCGGGGCGGTTGGTTTGGTGTGTGTGTTTTTTTGTTTCATTTGGCCTCGCCCTTTGTTTGTTGCGGGGCGGTTGGTTTGGTGTGGGTGTTTTTTTGTTTCATTTGGCCTCGCCCTTTGTTTGTTGCGGGGCGGTTGGTTTGGTGTGTGTGTTTTTTTGTTTCATTTGGCCTCGCCCTTTGTTTGTTGCGGGGCGGTTGGTTTGGTGTGTGTGTTTTTTTGTTTCATTTGGCCTCGCCCTTTGTTTGTTGCGGGGCGGTTGGTTTGGTGTGGGTGTTTTTTTGTTTCATTTGGCCTCGCCCTTTGTTTGTTGCGGGGCGGTTGGTTTGGTGTGGGTGTTTTTTTGTTTCATTTGGCCTCGCCCTTTGTTTGTTGCTGGGCGGTTGGTTTGGTGTGGGTGTTTTTTTGTTTCATTTGGCCTCGCCCTTTGTTTGTTGCTGGGCGGTTGGTTTGGTGTGGGTGTTTTTGTATTCCTTTCTTGTTTCTGTGCTGTACGTTTGCACTGGTGTTTTTTTATTGCTTTACATGTTGTACTTGTTTATTATTTTTGTTTTGTTTGTTGTGTATTGTGATTGTCCTGTTATGTTTCCTGTTATGCATCTTGATGTTTGTTTTGTTTTATGAGGTTTTGTTTGGAAATGTTACTGTAGCTTGCTTGTTTGACATTGTTTTCTATTTTGCATCTTGATGTCTGATGTGTTTTTCCCTGCATTTATCGTGTTTGTATTTTGTTGTCCTGAGCTGTCAGCCCTTCTGCTCGGTGGTCTATTGTATTGTTTTGTTTTCTGTGTTTTGTTGTTTTTATTGTATTCAAATTGCATGCTTTGCTTGTAAAAAAAAAAATAAAAAAAAATAACTACTCACTACAAAGTAGTTAACTACCCGAGGTGTGTATGCTACGGTAGCTACAGTTAAGAAATGAGAACCCCCAAAGCCACTTATTTTCTTTCTGGCTGGTATAAGTCAAAATTATAATATTAATAATAAAAATAATAATTTATTCACAAAAGGTACAATGGGTTGGTGAGATTACATAAGATTGGTATTTTTACATTCATGTAAAGCCACCACTAACACGCATAGCGTTTCTGGCAGGTCCTTAATCTTACATATCAGGTAAGATTAAAAGGTACATTATAACAAGGTGATTACTCTGGTAGGGATATATGTCTTAAGTACTAATGTTGGGGAAGTTTTAGCAGTCTCGGTGGTGTAGTGGTAAGACACTCGCCTGGCGTTCCGCGAGCGCTGTCATGGATTCGTATCCTGGCCGGGGAGGATTTACTGGGCGCAATTCCTTAATTGTAGCCTCTGTTTAACGCAACAGTAAAATGTGTACTTGGATGAAAAAACGATTCTTCGCGGCAGGGGATCGTATTCCAGGGACCTGCCCGAAACGCTACGCGTACTAGTGGCTGTACAAGAATGTATGTATGTAAGTGGGTAGTACAAGATACAGTGTGAGTTTGAAGCACAAGGTAGGAAACTATGAGGAAGAAATTAGATACTTTTTGGTTTTACTTTTGAAGAGGGCATAGGTTGGACAATTCTTTAATTCGTCAGGAAGTGTGTTTCAAAGACTGGGTCCTATTATTTGCACAGAGTGTTTGCACAGAGTGTTTGCACAGAGTTAGTTTGACTCTGGGGATATCAAAGATATATTTATTTCTGGTGTGATGCTCATTGGTTCTATTACACCTATGAAGGAAAAGTTCGTACATGTAAATAGTGTCTTTAACAAGAGATACTTCTTCATACCAGCAACAAGTGTTGGGTATTAGATAAGAGAACGCATACACTTACATTCAGTGGGTAATACACTGTCAGTAACATACTGCTCGAAGTGTTCTGTGACAGATTGAACCCATTCTAACTAGGGCAGACGTAAATGTATATATGTTGGTTAACATTTTATTTTGTTACTGTAAAATGTCTTAAATCACCTGTGGTCAAATGTTCAGTGACCTACTGCATTACATGTTGTGTAACATATCTCTCACACGGTTAAAAGAGAACATGAACATTTGTTTATGTGCTGGTTCACATTATAAATTAATATCCACGTCTGTGCTTGAAAAAGAAAAAGAAATATACATAAAATATATATATATATATATATATATATATATATATATATATATATATATATATATATATATATATATATATATATATAATGTATGTGTGTGTGTGATGGGAGTACCACCTCTGGCTCGAAGAATAAATACACATAACGCATTAGAGGGAATATTTGGGTCCCATCCAATACAGTTTATATATTCTTTTTTTTCTACCACCCCCTTCTTTTTGTGTTTATATATATATATATAATATATATATATATATTAGGAGACGGAGAGATACACATATAAATAGATATTAGGTAAATTCTTACCGCAGTAGATGGAGTCCGATTCACTTCAATCTGCATTTTTGTCAGTTCTTCCTGTGGTATGAATTTGTGAGGGAAGACCTCCACGACTGCCGGCAGGCGAACATTTCGCAAATCCTGTTGGTATAACAAAATGAAGCTTATAGATTCCCCAAATCCTGAACTTAAGACTGAATCGACATTACTGGACCAAGTCTGCAATGTGAGTTAACTTACTGCCGAAAGGAATTCAAACTTGTGTGACCTCGTCATTCGTTGTATTGCTCCGATACTTACGGCGGAGGATTAAGAAGATACATAAAATGGGAACATACGAGGTAGTGAGGGAACCCCTAGATGAGAGAAAGGCCAACAAGTAGGTAGTTGAAGCCTAGGCTCAGGACGATGGCGGTCATTTGTTGACAGCGAGGCTTCAAGATGGATAATTACATTGGAATTATAATCATTATTATAGTAATCAAAGTATTAATTTTAAAATGTATTTCCATTTAAAGTACATAGGATTTATACTTTTGTTCTGAATATAATGTATATACTGTACTTGTAGTACTTTTGTTCTGAATATAATGTATATACTGTACTGGTAGCACTTTTGTTCTGTATATACTGTACTGGTAGTACTTTAGTTCTGTATATACTGTACTGGTAGTACTTTAGTTCTGTATATACTGTACTGTTGGTACTTTTGTTCTGTATATACTGTACTGGTAGTACTTTAGTTGTGTATATACTGTACTGGTAGTACTTTTGTTCTGTATATGATGTATATATATTGTACTGGTAGTACCTTTGTTCTGTATATACTGTACTGGTAGTACTTTAGTTGTGTATATACTGTACTGGTAGTACTTTAGTTGTGTATATACTGTACTGGTAGTACATTTGTTTTGATTTGTTGTGTTGCTGAACCTATTTCTAAGATGCTAAAACAGATGGTTAGATCTCGCCAAGAAAAAGGAGAGTGGCAAAGAAAATCAGTTGCAGGTAGCAACCAGGTGGACAAGAAGCCCCCCCACCCCCAAAAAAAAAAAAACCTTACCTGCTTGTGAAGTATGGTGAAGGAGAGGGCGTAATTGTAGAGAGACTGATTGACCTCTTCCCTCACTTTGGCCGCCGACTGCATCAGTTCACTGGCGTTTGTACTTTCTGAGGAAAGATGCCACAGGTCATGTTAGTATACCTATGTGCATTGTAGCACGAAGATATATTGTACACCTTATGAATACTATTAAGTGATCTATTATGCATATGCAAATGTTGATATTTTTAACTCGAGAGGGGAAGTTACTGTGTGATCAAATTATGAAAAGTGCTGAAGTTTGTTGGATATTCAGTACTTCATTAATTGTTGCACGTGTGTTTTCGTTGAACCCACTTCTAAATACATTACTCCTACTTGTGCCTAAAGCATTGCAATAGCTTCGATGTCTTCAATACCATATAGCCTATTGAGACACCAATAAACAAATTCTTGATGAGGTCTCTATGAGAAGTCATATAGAATGCGTTATGTGCATTAAAGAGATTCTCACATGAAAGTGAATCTAGACTGTAAAAGCCTGTCTGAGGAAGACTACCCACAGGACTCCTTACTCTACTAGTGTCTGGTATGCATTGCTCTCATAGTTATTGTATCTTGATAGCTTTACTTGAGACGTTGCGCGCAGTTGCAGTCAGAAAAAGTACTATTCCACAGATGCACAACGCTAGTTGCACTCCTCTCTCATTCTGTGGTAGAGTTGATTATGGCTGCCCCGCCTATACCTCTCCCAAGTCGTCGTGATGCTCTGCACCATTCAGGGTTACGCCTCGACTCTAGTGCCTTTCATCCGTCCCCTATCTAGAGCTTGTATGTTGAACTGGCGTCCTGTCTAAAGGATCGTCACGTTCCTTACATCCTTCACTTCCTCGCACGTTCCTTACAACATTCTCACCGACTATTATCCCTCAAGAGGGCTTTGTTTCTTCTTCCCACCTTCCTTTCCTTGTAAGAATGACTCTTTTGCAAGATTTCCTCTCGGTTCATATTAGCAATATCCCTCCTCGTGTTCCAACCTTGCTCCCATGGAGGGTCCCACTTGCGTAGTTTTGCAAGGCCTTGACCCCACATAGTGAAGACTTATATCGCTCCAACTGTTTTGAAACTCCTTTTTCTTTAATACTTTTTCCTCTCACACTCCATTACGCTGTTCACACATGTGTCCAAGTCTGCTGACGGTATTGGTTACTCCGTTGTCTTTTCCTAACCAAACCTTCATGTGCCGCCTGCCCTCGAAGACAAGCATCTTCATGGGAAGTTTTATACAATTTTGTATACTCTGTCAACTGCTTTTCCGGCATCGTCATTCCTTTGTCATTATCGTTGACTCGCAGTGCCTTCGTGGCTCTGGAGTCCTTTAACCTTTTGCATTGTGTGGTGGTCGAAATGTAATACTGGTTGTGTCTTATCTCTAACATATTTAAGACAGTCTAATTTTTTCTGGGTTTTAGCCATATTGGTGTTATCTTAAATGAACGTGCAAAGACTGCTGTTAAGAAGGTCATTCGCTCTCGTCCTATTTCCTGAAAAGAGATTCCTTAATCGGATTTCTACCCAGTCATTCATCCCGCAGTCCACGACCGTCGGCAGGATCGTTGGTCTGGCGTTACAGGTAACAAATTGTGCACTCTTAGAGGTGACCGAGCCCCTTGATCTTACTCCTATCACCATAATATACGGTTGGATTGATTGATGAAGATTAATCAAGATGTTTGTGGTGGTAATCATCTTATGATTAATTAAGATGATTGTGGTGGTACCACCACTAGAGGTGGCACGGGCGTGAGTATAATCCGTAGGTGGTAGATGTTTGGAGTGAATGTGATCTTTGGTCGTGTAACATCTTGAAATGTCTCTGGATTCTTAGTGAAACGCTGGGGAAACCCCTCTGGTTAGGTAGGGTATCTGCCACATATGCCTAAAACATGAGCCCTTAATAGAACACAAACCCTGCTCCGTATTGTCGCAACTGCACTGTTCCACTAACAGTCGTGCAGCCTTGTTGAATGTCTCCTTTTTTATGATGAACGTGTGTCTTACTTTCCCTAATGTTCCTCGGGGTCATTTGTCTCTTTATAGAATCCTTGGTGAACCCGATATCTTTGATAACACTTTAATTCCTTTTGTTCTGGTATTGGCATCTTGAGTGATATTTAGCGATTTGTGAATATCCAGCTACACAGACAGTGCTACAGTCTTCTCAGCTTTGGCGCTTACTTTCTCACATTACGATAATAATACTTTAAATTGTAGGACAAACTATTGGTTTAGTTTTTGCTATGACTTGACGTTGGTTCGGGTTAAGGTCTATCAACGTCTTGAGGGGTCATTAAGGACACCACAGTGGCAAGTATAATTAAGTATGCTAAAGTATAATTCAGCCCATCTTCCTGTTTTGGTAGTACTTATAGTAATGATGAGCACCATAGTATATATACAGACGTACAACTAAATTAGAACGTAGAAATCTGAACTATTATGTTAGACAAACAGGAAAACTATTTTTTACTTGTGTTGCTTTGAAAAACTAAACTACTCTATCCTAATTTCCCTACGCCTAATACACGCTATCTGAGGCCTAATATAGTACATATGTGTGCTATACTAGGCCTAGGAATATTTAAGTTTGTGTTCTAGCTTTATTTATTTTAAAACAATTCCTTACTAGTCAGTATACTACTATCTAAAAGCTAAAAACCTACGAATTCTGACTATTGACGATCGTCACAATATGTATTACCTAAATAGGAGGATAGGTTGGTAAAATCTCAATGTATATACACAGGGAAATGTATTTTCTCATAACTGTAACTCCTGCAAGGAAAAACTTAAATTATTATTTGTTTCTTATTATTTTCGGATTTGAGCATAGAGGAGTATTGCCCTTGATAAATTTGATAAGCCCAAGAGGGTTAAGTGGTTATCTTGAGATGATTTCGGGGCTTTTAGTGTCCCCGCGGAAGCAGGAAGCAACCCCCAGGAAGCAGCCCGTGACAGCTGACTAACACCCAGGTACCTATTTTACTGCTAGGTAACAGGGGCATAGGGTGAAAGAAACTCTGCCCATTGTTTCTCGCCGGCGCCCGGGATCGAACCCAGGACCACAGGATCACACGTCCAGCGTGCTGTCCGCTCGGCCGACCGGCTCCCTTAAGGTCAGTTAAACGGAAGTTAAAGCACAGGTACACTTAGTAGGCATCCATCAGTCTCAGGAGACTATGGAGTTGCGCTCTGGTGTCGCCTGGTCTGGAGTGGCCTCACCAGGGCGCAAAGCCAGGGTAGGTTGATTCGGGGGAGAAGCTGTTACCCAGGCAGCAGGTCCCCCCTCTCCAAGGCGCTGAAAGTCTCCAATGGAAAGGCACAAACCAATACTTACTCATCAGGAAAGCACAGAGGTCCTTGGCGGCCTCGCGATGGGACCGTATGAAGAAGGAGAACACGCTGCCGCGAGGGACGGAGAGAGCCTTTCCCAGTTGGTTCTTATCAGCATCTGAAAGTGATGGGACCGTCGCACCACCGAACCTGGTCCCCACGGTGCCCTGTTAAGTACACACGACGCTCTTACATTATTCACTTTGCATTATTCATTATTATTCATTCATTATTCACACTCTAACATTATTCTCCTTGCCCGAAACGCCATGAGTACTAGTGGCTTTAGGTACTGTAGGTACTAGCTCTATCTATAAATCAATCAGAACGTTTGTAACTCTACATCTATGTATGTACTTTTCCTAAATAAAATATTATTATTATCATTATTATTATTATTATTATTATTATTATTATTGTGTCACTTACTGTTATTGAAGACTAAACCACACTTCAGAAAATGAGGAGACGAAGACGTTTCGGTCCGTCCTGGACAATTATCAAGTCGATTGTGTTATTTACTGTCTATAGGTCATTTACTTTACCAGTAAACTTGGTTAACACCTAGAGCAAAAAAACCTGTGGTAGCAACTTCGGCAAAATAAATTGATGAATAATTGTACACATCTCTATGTGATAAGGGAGCCGGTCGGCCGAGCGGACAGCACGCGGGACTTGTGATCCTGTGGTCCTGGGTTCGATTCCAGGCGAGAAACAATGGGCAGAGTTTCTTTCACCCCATGCCCCTGTTACCTAGCAGTAAAATAGGTACCTGGGTGTTAGTCAGCTGTCACGGGCTGCTTCCTGGGGGTGCCTGGTCGAGGACCGGGCCGCGGGGACACTAAAGCCCCGAAATCATCTCAAGATAAAGCTTTTTATGAAAAATAAAAATAATAAAATTAAGTAGAGCAGTCCATAATATAATTTTGTTCTCGTATCTGCATGAGGAGTGATCAGTAGTGACGTCATACTAATATGTATCAACATAAGCTTATGTTAAAAGAGATTATGTGTTAAGTATAACACATTAAGTATAACATGTTAAGTATAACATATCATTAAGCACCTAATAATGTGCTCTATCTAACTTTATGAACATATGGAGCTTGTGTATAGTTTCTTATATTTTTTAAATAATTATTTAATAATCGGTATTTATTTTAACTGTCTTTCTAGGGAATGTTATGTTCCATATGGTTGTGTAAAACAAGCCATATTGGAAAACGCTATATGCTTTTGGAACGGTAACTTGAGAATCTTATTTATGACTCCTTTCCTTACCTAGGTATTGTAGATACCTAGGTAAGACCACAATCGACTTGAGAATGGTCCAGGACGGACCGAAACTTCGTCGTCCCTTCACTTTCTAGTGTGTGGTCTGGTCAACATACTTCAGCGACGTTATTGTGACTCATCGCCTGCATAGGTATTGTAGATGTTGCATATGGCGACACTATTTAGACAGTTTAAATTAAGATGAAGCTAAGATGAAGATTAAGATGAAGCAAAGATAATAGTATAGTTTTCGTTTCCCAGTTCGTGTAGCCAACCATGGACTTGTACATCAAAATAACCTCATCAAAGGTTTAGTATTCTACGAGTGCAACACCTAATGTGGCTATATCTGATACATGCATGAGGCAGAAACCGCACGAGGCAGAAACAAATGGGCAAAGTTTCTTTCACCCTGAATGCCCCTGTTACCTAGCAGTAAATAGGTACCTGGGAGTTAGTCAGCTGTCACGGGCTGCTTCCTGGAGGTGGAGGCCTGGTCGAGGACCGGGCCGCGGGGACACTAAAAAGCCCCGAAATCATCTCAAGATAACCTCAAGAAGATGCACAATATTTAGGTTTGATGGGTAATTGTGCATAAGCCTCAAATCATCACAGAGTGCTATACTTTCTCTGACAGGGTTTGCCAGCGAATGAAACCATTAATGCTGGCAAAACAAAAAAATATACAACAGATGACAAAGTTTGCACACGGCTTTAGGCTCGTACTGTTTAGCCAATGGTAAAGAAATAATACTATTTTCTGGTGTTATCACCGATCTGTACAATTTATTGAATTGCTTAATTTTGTATTGGATCACCTACTTTTATATATCTTTTTCCTCTGTAATTTATGTTTTAATAATATTTAGTTTAAAAGTTACATTATTTGTTTTTGCTCAATGTATACAATTTTTATCCTAAGGGGTTATTGGAGAGGCCTATAATGCATGAAATTACTGTTTTAATGTAATCACTTGTAAATCATGTATATAGATATTTTTATTCATTAAAAAATCGGGTTTAGGGTTGAAGGTAGACAGTTGCTAGATTGGAAAGCTTTATCAAAGACTTTGCAGGACGGGTTGAAAATGACTGGTGTTCAAGTTCAAGTATGAACTTGAACTTGAACTGGTGTTGCGGGAACTTACTGCTGATCCTGTGGGAACATCACTTCGCCGCAAGTTCATAGGGTCGTACGGCCGCTCGAACAGTTTAAGCATTTGCGCCTGAACGTTAGCCATCTTTGCGTCTCTCTTCTCGGCAACTTGTGGGGTCACCTGAAAACATTTAAATGTAACATGTCATCTTGAGGTGGGTAGAATCAAGACTCCGCTCCAATATAGAAGCATCAAGAAATATAGACCAATAGGCTTTCTACAATCACTTCCATTTCAATACCCATTGTTTCGTGTTCTGTCTTGTGTTGATGAAATTAATACCCTATTAATGCCACCTCTTGTTCTGTCTTGTGTTGATGAAATTAATACCCTATTAATGCCACCTCACCCCATCCACCTCACTCAAATGTAGATATAAACAAAATCGGAGATGTGTAAGTTCTATTCAGTTGTGTAATTGTAAACTAAAGTCTTTGAAAATGTAATAAGTTTTACGAAACGCGCTCGTGTCGCGTCAGACTAGAAATAAAAATGAATTTTGGAGAATTGATTTTTGAATTACCTCCAACAGTGAAAAGAAATGTACGAAAGATTGAGAAAATTCGTGTTAGAATTATTAATCTTACTTTTCCGGTCATATTTAATAATATATATAATATCTTCTCTGAACACTATTTATTTTCTTCTTCGAGGATGTGGGTCCCTTTAATTAAACCAGTGGTGGTACCCCTATATATATACATATATATATATATATATATTATTAAATATGGCCGAAAAAGTAAGATTAATAATTCTAACACGAATTTTCTCAATATTTCTTATATTTCTTTTTACTGTTGATGGTAACTGAAAAATCAATTCTCCAAAATTCATTTTTATTTCTAGTCTGACGCGACACTTGAACGCTTTTCGTAATAACTTATTACATTTTCAAAGACTTTAGTTTACACACACACAGCTATAACTTGCAAACACTAAACAGAGTTTAAACAGCTTTGATTTTATACCTGCATTTGGGTGAGGTGATATGTTACAACAGTTTTGGATGAGGTGAAAACAAACTTTCAACACAAGACAGAACACGAAACAATGGGTATAATATTTTGTAAGTTAAAGGGAAGAATGGAAGTAACTGCAAAGGGCCTATTGGCCCATATTTCTTGATGCTTCTATATTGGTGCGGAGTCTTGAAGTGGGTAGAAGTGCATTATTTGGCTGTTGATCGCTGGTGTCGACTTCTTAATGTGTAGTGCCTCGCAGATATCAAGCCCCCTGCTATCGCTGTATCTATAGATGATTTCCGTGTTTTTTGTTAAGACTTCTCTGGTGATGGTCTGGTTGTGGGAAGAGATTATATGTTCCTTAATGGAGCCCTGTTGTTTATGCATCGTTAATCGCCTGGAAAGAGATGTTGTTGTCTTGCCTATATACTGAATTCTTTGAGGCTTACAGTCCCCAAGTGGGCATTTGAAGGCATAGACGACATTGGTCTCTTTTAAAGCGTTCTGCTTTGTGTCTGGAGAGTTTCTCATGAGTAGGTTGGCCGTTTTCTTGGTTTTATAGTAAATCGTCAAAATACAATTGACGATTGTATTTTGACTCAACACATATATAGCAACTATGTCCTACACTTGAACACATACATAGTAACTGTGCTCTACATCTGAACACATACGTAGTGACTGTGCTCTACAACTCAACACATACATAGTGACTATGCTCTACACCTCAACACATACACAGTGACTGTGCTCTACACCTCAACACATACATAGTGACTGTGCTCTACACCTCAACACATACATAGTGACTGTGCTCTACACCTCAACACATACATAGTGACTGTGCTCTACACCTCAACACATACATAGTGACTGTGCTCTACACCTGAACACAGCTCACAGGTACAGTCAACTCTCACGAAAGTACACAAAGAGGATTGCTACAGTTCACGGTGAACACATTTTTCACGTGAAGTGAGGACTAACCTGTATGAAAGGATTCTCCTGCAGCACTGGGTGGCGCAGAGAGGAGCGTCGTGTCTTTATGCTCTCTGGTCCAAGGTGCCTCCAAAACGCTCCCTCTCACAGCTTCCGGAAAATCTTTATTTTTTACACTAACGACCTGAAAAAAAATGTCTGCAGGTATTTGTGAGGAAACAGCTTTAGTATCATTATTTTACGTGCTATTGGTTGTCTTCAATTTATTAAGAAGAGATGCTGTAGAATACACAAGTAGTTATGAAATGTGTGGCAATGGACAAGAGTGGTGTTTCCCCACTCAGGGGTCCACGGGTCTCGGGTAGCAGCGGATATTATCAACAAATACACAGGATGCTTGGGTGTTTCCAAGAAAGATATATCTTGGAAATAGATAAGAGCAGTAGATCACTGAATGGGAAGTAATACACACATTACCACAATAGGAGGGTTACCTGATAATGTCAGCGATAGTCTATCATTCCCCTATTCTACCCTTATTTTCCTCCTCTTCCCTCCCATCTCCCTCATTTTTCCCCTTCTCACCCTCCCCGTCTCCTTACCCTTCCCTCCCTCTCCCCCTTCATCCTCGAACATATAGACATTTATATACTGTATATGGTAAATCTTACGGATACTACGGACAACACATCCCCAATTTCATTTCAGAATTTATGATAATCGCACAAGGGCTTAGGTTACCGATTATATTTCATAAAGCGTTTAACTTAGGCCTACCCCAACCAGTTTAAGTCCGTCCCGTACTCCAGACCATTCCTCCTGCAAAGTTGGGTGAGACTATAGCCCCAAGCGTCTGCCCTCCACCGTTGTACACACAGACAGACATTCTCTCTAATAGTACAGTATAAATAACTTTTATATATGATACACAGCTGTAGGTCTTTGTAATGCTTAGATAATTATACAAAACCAGAACTCCCATTATTCCTCTTGGTAATGGGGATCAAGACTAACCAAGATTCTGTTCTGCCTCCTACAGTATACCATTCCTGGTGTTATTGATTATCATAAGAATAAGACCAGTGCTGCCTCATAGCAGTTAAATGTATCACCACACCAATCCCACAGTTCCTGCAGGAGCTCCGACTAATTCATGAACATTATGCAACCTGTTGCCTCCCATCCCAAGGTAAAGACCTCATAAAAACACGTAATTCCTGTTCTTAAGAAGTCTGTACCTAGGCCAGTTACTGACTTTCTGCAGGATGCAACACACAACAGATACCTAACTCCTAGGTACCTATTTTCTGTTAGGTAAGCAGAGGCACTAGGAGAAAGAAACCGTGCCCAACCGTTTGTGTGCTGCCTATGACTTGAACCCAAGACTCGGTTGTGAGGCGAGAACGTAGACCATGCTGCACTTACTGGGATGTACCAGTAAGCCAATGGATGTCCTCAGTGACCTTAATAGGACACCGGAAGCTCGAAGCTTGTGAAGGCTTCTCTTCTTATCTGTTAAGTCCTCCAGGTGTGTTGTATTTTTAACTGTGATACGGTCTTGCTTCGGCAGCTTAACACTTCACTGGGGTGAGAATAGCTTGAGCTACCTCATCCCTTTGTGTGTATTTTACCTCAATAAACTTATTTCAATTTCAATTTCAACACGGTACACTGTTCAACAGGTTTGGTACTCTGGCAGACAAAATTTCATGCGCTTTCTGCATTTGTTTATCAGTCTTAATAAGGATGTTGCTTCTCATATGTGTTATGTAGAACATTTTGCAAGAAGACTGAGTTTAGTTTATTTATTATGCAAGCCACGCCCATCTTGTGAGCGATGGTGTGACGGTTGCAGAACCGCATAATGTGCCCCAGGAACTCGGGCCCAATATTCATGTTGAAGTTCTATCAAATATATTCATAGTCTGGTCAATGAGATGAGAGCTCTCGTGCCATGTCTGAAGGGTCGACCTTCGGGGTCAGCTGTCCCTTGAGCTCAGCTGTCCCTCGAGAGAAACCCTGATGGATCAGATACCATTCATATCGCTCACCTGATGTCTTTCTGTCCCCATAATGGCATCCTGAGTGATATTTAGTGGATTTTAAATATCCAGCGACATCGACCGTGTGGCTTAGTCTTCCCGGCCTGGCTAAGTACTTTTGATAAGTACTTACTTGTTTGAAAAATTGGCAGGCCATTAGCCATCAGCTTCTGATACTCAACTGATTTATTATTGTCAACGACAGTAGCTGCACCTTCTTCCCCTCCAAAGATCACATTCACTCCAATCATCAATCACTTACCGTCAACTCGTGTCTGTGCTACTTCTTTGGTGACTTAATCTTCATCAATCAATCAATCTGCAGCTGCAGTTTATTATGCACTCACAGCTTGGGTAGTGAGTGAGAGTGCCATAGTCCTAATTAGACTCCAATGATTAATCAATATAACTTTGGGTATTAAGAGTTGACATTATAATCAGTTAATATAGTTAGTGGGTTAAACTAGGTGTCAGAGGTGAGAGTTGATGATGTAGTCCTCCCGTTAGGTTCGTGCTTGATAATTTGGGTCCATATACGAACACCAGCTGTGTTGAGTACGAAGGACGGGAATCATGTACTGTTATATATACATGACCCAATACGCTTCTTATCTTGAGGTTATCTTGAGATGATTTCGGGGCTTTAGTGTCCCCGCGGCCCGGTCCTCGACCAGGCCTCCACCCCCAGGAAGCAGCCCGTGACAGCTGACTAACACCCAGGTACCTATTTTACTGCTAGGTAACAGGGGCATAGGGTGAAAGAAACTCTGCCCATTGTTTCTCGCTGGCGCCTGGGATCGAACCCAGGACCACAGGATCACAAGTCCAGCGTGCTGTCCGCTCGGCCGACCGGCTCCCTAATTAGATAACTAACATATGCAAGACAGGTTAAGTTTGCACAGATATTCTCAGTCGTGTATCTCCTGGTTGGTTTATAACGTTGCAAAGATGTGCCGTCTTGGTTTAAATGTTCCTCAATGAGTTATAAGGCGATAATTGTTATGAAGATAATGAGAAATATTAGTAATTATGATGACCAAAATTAACAGAGAGAGAAATGCCGTATTAATATTCTAATATAGAAACAGATATTCTAGTTACTGATAGCCACTTAATGAGTGTTAATGAGACAATGGAGAGATTTGTCGTATATCTACCATGTGAGGAGATACCCAGAGCGAATGCAGAACTGCGTCCTATGACTGCGACCTGGACAGGAAGTTAGGATTAAGGAGACCCAGGCCTACAATATCTTCCTGTGTTCAGGTTTTCTCTTATTTTCCCAGCAGCCAATCAGTGTTGGCGTGTGAGGAATGCCGTTGCAAGCAAGGTCACCAGGCGGTTGTCCAAGTCTGGCCACTCAGGCACATGTATTTTGTTGCAGTCAGTCCTTACTTGCATCTGTGGATTATCAAAATCTTGCACCAACTAATTCTTCAGCTGCTGATTTGTAAAACTTTGTTCTAAGTCTTTTGTGATCTTGTTTCATTACTAGTACTTCGTGACGACGGTCTGACATTGTAACACAACAGTAAGTTTACTCTGAATAGATAAGATAAATAAGGAAGCGAGAAGTGTTTGACTGCAACAGATGCGAGATCCTGCAAGCCAAGGTGGTGAGGTGGCTTACATCAGGTGGCGTTGCGGAAGAAATCTAGGAGTCGGCCAGAAATTCTGCTTGGAAAGTAGATCTCCCAGAAGTAGGTGTAAAAGCTAGATTAATTAGTTAGCAACGCCTTAATCACACACAAACGGGATCTTTAAGGTTTAACCAGCAAAACATAGCAGTAGACAAGTCATCACCGCACTATCCCACCCCATTCATCGCAACGGGAACGAACAAGCCTAAGAATTGTGCGGGTTGTTGAATTCTGCGGCCGGCACGCGATGTAAAGCCATCCATGTTAATTTATTTGCTGTCATCGAACCTGTGGGTAACGCTGAAAGAATGGGTGTCAGCGGCTGGACCGGAGGAACTGGGGAGGGTTCCTAAAGAGAGAGACGACGGGGAAAGACTTGAGTAAGTAATTATCAGAAGAACGCACTAAGCCGGGAAGACTAAGTAGCACCGAAGGTGAACTTTGCAGTTGCTTCACCTCAGTCTCGATGCTGTGTCATGGCGTTCACCTAGTAATCGATACGGGTGGACTTGGAGGATTGACCTAAGGCTAGGACGAGAGTGTATCATCATCGCTGCTACCTTGACACGGACCATGTAGGTGGTGAACTGTACGATACACCCACCCAGGTGGTGGGTAATGCAAGGAGAGGGGGGAAACAGCTCTTTGATAGCCATGTCGTACATCAGTGTCGGTCGGCGAAAACAATGGACGGGAGACATCTCCCGTCCACGAGGCTAACCATAGCCCGTGCTTCTTGCCCCGCTCCTGTGCCAGGTAAGTTACGGGCTCACCATAGCCCGTGCTACTTGGAACTTGTTCCGAGTAGCTGAATCTATAACAACAAACACCACGAAAACAATGATGACTTGAGCTTGATCCTGAAACTCTTATTCATAAACTATTGTTATCCTCTTCAATTATTTATAATTTTATGTCATATATATATATAATGTCCTAATACTCGTATTTGGTAGATGAATTGACCTCATAAGGGAAGTTGTGGCTGCGAGTGGGATCTGAAGCATCAGAGTACTCGTACTCAACCTTTCCTCAAGCACCTTCACCTTAGTCCTCGATGTTGGTGGTATCAACATTTTTGTGGTTGATTTAGCTACATATGTTTTTGCACAAATATATCCAATCATAATTTTTGTAACTTTTCCAAAGCAAAATCTTTAAGCGACGAATCTCAACATAATAGTTACAAAGTAAACAGACAACGTATTTTCTTATCAGGGTCATTGTGAAAGGTAAATTTTGGAAAATCCCAAAAGGCCCAGGTGTTCTTGTTTACAGAATTGTGGGAAATACAATTTTTTTTGGGGGGGGGGTGGAAACCCCAAATGCACTAATATACTCAACACTTAATGTGTGTTGTTGACATATCCTTTGGAAATAGTAGGTTATAGTTTTGACCCCGCACTGGGTTATCTTGAGGTTATCTTGAGATGATTTCGGGGCTTTAGTGTCCCCGCGGCCCGGTCCTCGACCAGGCCTCCACCCCCAGGAAGCAGCCCGTGACAGCTGACTAACTCCCAGGTACCTATTTACTGCTAGGTAACAGGGGCATTCAGGGTGAAAGAAACTTTGCCCATTTGTTTCTGCCTCGTGCGGGAATCGAACCCGCGCCACAGAATTACGAGTCCTGCGCGCTATCCACCAGGCTACGAGGCCCCGTGTGTGGGTAACACATTTTTGGATTATAAAGGAACTTTCGGCTTAGAGAGTGAAAACTTCTAATAATACGTATAATATACATAAATCGCTTTATCACGGATAATTGGTGACGTTTTCCAGGACGATGGTAGCTGGATAGTCTGGCAGCGCTGAGAGGACGCATCATGGCGGCATAACAGGATCATTGAGGGACGCACCCTGGAGCGTCCGTCCTCCAAGGCGCGCGCGGCGCAAGAACTGCTCGCAGTTCCTCGTATACAAGTTAGTCTACCTTGATTTGCGCTATGTTAAGTAGTTTATTCACAATTTAGTGTGTTTAGGCAGTAACATATACAGTGTAGGCATTTTAGGAAACAAATCAGAAGTACTGTAATTTTGTTGTTGTTGGAGGAACGAAGTAATGAGTAATGAGGAAGAATTTAATATTCTGCCGAATATATGATATAATTACATGTTATTAGAATTAAGATCACTAATGAAGCGTTTCAACCGTTAGATAGATAGAGGTTAGCGACTACCTGCTCTCAAATGTGACCAACCTATCCCCCGTGGCCATTGTTATGCCACAGTATTGGTCATACACCCTTAACTCTCGGGCACTTCGTGGCACGGTGACCTCCACCTTACTGCCAGAACTTCCGCTGAGTGGTGCACCTCCTCGTAGCATTTCTTGATCTTCAACATGATCGCAAATCTTGCTTTTCCAGTGTTCCTTTGATTCAAATGTCTAAAAAAAATCTTCGGCGAAGCTGAAGCCATTAATATAGTTCAAGTTATGGCCTTTTACTCGCAAATTAGCTTCTGCATGGTATCATTTTGTTTCGTTCACTTGAACAGCAGATCCCAAAAGTAGCAGCCCACAGTTCTACTTTTGTGGTCTGCGGTTCGAGGTTCCAATGGTCCAAGTGAATCTTAAAAAATCTTAAAAATCGTTAAAAACATTATATAATACAGGTAGAAGGGAGGTTTTCTCATAAGAACATGCTACTGCTCTCGTACTCTGAATAGTCTTACAAAATTCTTCCACGCTAAAAGATTTAAACAAATCGACTCTTAATTCTGACCACTATCAACAACTTTGATGTTGTAGAACACTTCACACTGATTGATTCATAAAGATTAAGCCACCCTAGAGGTGGCACAGGGATGAATAGCCCGTAAGTGGAACAAATTTTTGTTCAGTACATATTTTCAGTGTTCTGAAGCTTGACAGTATTTATGAGGGTGTCCAGCTGCTGGATACCTTTTTTTTTTACCAGGAGAGTGGCTGTGTTGAAGGCTTCAGGGTGGTTACTGCAAGATTTGGGGACTCTTAAAGCTCTTCTAAGGTCGTTGGTTGCTTCACATTCCAGGAGATAGTGAAGTAGTGGCTTTTACACACCACACTCAACGTGCGCGGTTTATATACGAAATGAAAGGTGTAAATGGTGTAGAGGAATGTACACGTTGGTCAAACAGGGAGATCTTGAAAATAACGTAAATACAGCAATCAAACTGGCCAGCTATATAATGCACGGTTAATGGGTTAATGGCCTCAAGTGTTAATGGCCTGAAGGGCTAATGGCCTCAAGGGCTAATGGCCTCAAGTGTTAATGGCATTTTAATTAAAGGAGAATTATTAAAAAAAATTATTAGTGATTTATATATAACTAAATCATGCAAAATAAAATAAAATTACAATTCTTGTACGAGTCGACAGACATGGATGTAAAAATAATATCTCGTATAGCATACTAAAATGCAATAACAAATACAGATAAAAATACATTATCAAATGCAGGATCAGATACAGAAAATCTTTAGTACAAGAAAGAACATATATTTGTCCAAAGGTGGAGGCCAAACGCTTGAGGTTAGCCTCATCCAAATTATCAGGGTGACTGGTCTTGGGTACGGAACGGACATAGGCTGGTCGGAGTAGGCCTAAGGTAAATGCTTTAGTAAATATTAACAATTAAAACACCCCTAAGGCATTTTTATAGTCAGGTTTGAAATTTAGCATATGAATAAATGCCATAATAATATAATTTATTAGACCTATAAAGTTGTTTCAGTACTTCTTAATGTATTTTCTGAGATAAAGGGAAGGAGGAAGAGGATAGATTGATAGATAGATGAAATGGATGGAAGGCAGGCAGACAGACCTGGGCAAAGCCTGGTAATCCTTCTAGTCAAGTATATAATCAAATGTTTATATCTTTATAAAACATATCACTGCATGTATTCATTCACATAAAATAAATTACTATGTTTATTTAGGAGGCCTGGGCCGCGGGGACGCTGAGCCCCGAAATCATCACAAGGTATATTAAAAAGCCCCGCCCCCATGTATCAGTATTTTCATATATACCAAAAAATAATTAACTGGTTTCATATTGAGACGAATAATTATTCGAATGGCCCTGAAATTTATTATTTTGTATTCTTCATCTTGATTTGTTTAAGACAATATTGGCAGTGAGTAAATACCACTATCATATCCACTATGTTATTCAGAGTCCGATTGTCATTCGTTACAAAGATAGCTCAGCTATTACAAATAACAAATTGCGTCAAAGGGATGGACAACCAGAGCGTAACTCCATAGTCTCCTGTGATTGATAGAAGCCTAATACTACTACTACTACTACTACCGTCAGACATATTCGCTTCGGCTTCCTATCACCGAGAAAGATTAAAAACTATAAAGTTGGGAACGTTAATGGCAAGGTTAGGTATCAACTACAAGGTAAGGTATCAACTACAAGGTTAAGACGCTGGTGTTACAATGTAAGAGACCTGGGGCCAGATTCACGAAAGTACTTACACAAGCACTTACGAACCTGTACATCTTTTCTCAATCTTTGGCGGCTTTGTTTCCAATTATTAAACAGTTAATGAGCTCCGAAGCAAAAGGAGGCTGTTTTTAACAATAACAACAGTTGATTGGGAAGTTTTCATGCATGTAAACTGTTTAATAAATGTAACCAAAGCCGTCAAAGATTGAGGAAAGATGTACACGTTCGTAAGTATTTGCATAAGTGCTTTCGTGAATCCGGCCCCACTGAACCTTATTGTCAATTGCAGTCTTCCTCTTTTCTCCTAATTGCATGTCCTGATTTGTAAATTGTTTGTTTCCACCCACTGTTCTATTACGCTACATATATCAAGGTAATTGATATATGAATCTGACCCCTTTTGACATGGATCATCTTACGACCATCCTGAACGATAGCTAGAAATTCTTTAATATTCTGGACAACACAAACAGCTCTATATAACCTAGTGGCTTAGCACATACTTTTCTTAATTGTTCGACTTCTGAAGGTTGTTGTTGAGGAAAGTGATGGTAATATCTTGAATAGTTATGTTGCCCAGTCTAGCGTAGTCAGCAGCGGAGGTGACCTCAGCATCTTGCAGGCTAGGCGGAGGGCGGCGGTCGAAGGGGAAGCCCATAGGACGTTTGTCAGGGAACTTGGCGTCCAGGATCCCGCAGAAGGACACAGCGTCGGCACATCTGCGTACTGCTGGCTGATCCACCTGTCAGGGGCCGGAGTTGGTCACTATCTGTTTATTGTCTTCACTCATTCCCAGCCCCAGGAAGTTCACTGACAAATTAATCCCATGAAATAACACTAATAATAATAATAAAGTTTGAACAAGTTGTAACACCAACATTTAAGGTTCCTCTTCTTGCACGTCAAAACAGATTACGTACACTCAGTGAACATATAGTCTCAGTGAACTCAGTTTCGATTATATTATGATAAAAGGAAACGTGGAAATTTCGCAGAAGATACTGATATTAATAGTAATAAATCGTATTGTTAATTAACATACAAATTTAAACTAATATAATACAACAGTCAATTCCAACGACTCATGAAAAAATGAGAAGTTTCATTGTGTGTTGAAGAGCTGTGACAAAAATGGTGAGGACAAAAATGGTGAGGACAAAAATGGTGACTGACCTTATCCTTGTCCAGGTCGGTGAGCATGAAGAAGAGCTGGTAAGTCATGCCCTCTGGTTTACTTCGGGGCAGCAGCAGGTGGTCAGGCCACCCACACCCACAGAAGTTGGCTTCAGTATTTTGTGGTGCTCCTGAGGTGAAGGTGATTATTTCAGTTAGTAGGAACATTTTGGTAGTGTCCTATTGCCACATTACTCCAGTCGCATGCGGCATCATAAGCTAGGTATTGCTACTTTTAAATGGGAGACTAATGCTTGTAATTTTGCAGGACTAAGCTGTCTATTTATAGTTAGATGAATGTCTGATGTGTTCCCGCCAAACACACACCGAAACTACGACGTTGGTACAACGTTCGAACAAGTTTTAACACCACCTAACCAGTTATAACAACCAATATAGCAAGTTGTAACAACGTTCTAATACGTCATAAACACGTTAAGCCAAGATGTAACAACTTTATTACAAGTTTTAATAAGCGGAAAATAGAGACAGTTTCGGTTTGTGTTTCCAGGGAATTGTGACTCCGGTTATGTCTTTCTTGAGAGCCCAGGTGACTCTTTGCTCAAGCTCGGGTCTTGTAGTACGCCGGTCTACGTTTTCGACTCAGGGATCCCGGGTTTGTTAACCACGTAGGCAGAAATAGTTTGGCATGTTTCCTTTCATCTGATACCTCTATTCACCCAGCAGTAAATAGCCCCCTAGAGTTAGGCATTAGGCAACTGTTGTGGGTTGCATCCTGGTGAAGAAGCAGTAAGTCGAGCTATCCGGACCTCAATACAAGCCTGAGTAAAGTCCTTATGTCCGTGACAATGAAAATTATGTCTATATAAGAACATATCCGAAGTGCTACACATGAAATAACATAAGAACAAAGGTAACTGCAGAAGGCCTATTGGCCCATACGAGGCAGCTCCTCCAACTCAAATACACTCATAAAACCCTTTAGTACTGCCAGAACACACCTCACCTATTCAACCAATCGACCAATGACAATGAAAGACATGAGTACCCAGTGCCTTGGTTGGGCAGCACCTCACCTCATCCTCAAAGACATGTATACTGTCACCTCTGATAATCTGTAATCACTTTCTTCTGCCTCTAAGGACGATAAAGTGAAACGCGTCCTTTAGCGACACTTATCACTGAAGAGTAAATTGAAGAAATCACTTCCTAAGTAAAGAATATGAGAACTATAGAAAAGATTCATGCTAGAATTATTACTCTAACCTTTTTGGTCATATTCTCTATCACATTACAAAGAGCATGGGCCGGGCTCGAACTGGTGATCACCAGTAAGTAGATCCGGTCAGTTGCAACCTGTCCTCTTAAAAAGAACGTCGCTTTTGGCCGTTTGCCCGTATGACCGAATTTGGACGTAATTTGAAATTGAAAAAAAAAAATGAAAATAAATGTGGGATTTTTTTTTCAACAACAGTAAGTTAAGGGTCCTCTGATAGGTTAGGTGGGCAGGAAATTCTCATAAAGTTTCAAAACGTTATGAAAAACGTTAATTTAAAGTGTCCTCTTATAACCTCTGCGCGTACGCCAGACGACTCAATAGAAAACGGAACAGAACGTCACTTTTGTGAGTCGATTTCATTTCAAATTACGTCCAAATTTGGCCATAGTGCGCATACGAGCCAAAATTGACGTTCTTTTTTAAGAGGACGGGTTGATCGTCAATGAGTAGGTCCGGTCTCTAACTAGTAATCGCCAGTAAGTAACATATATATTAATGGACTCGGCTTGAAGTAAGAGCGACTTGTCCAATCACAGTATAGACAATTATACTGTATTTATGTTCACCCTTTCTAGTTCAATGCCCTCTACTTCTCCCTCACCTGGCATAGCGGGGTTGACAGCCTCCAGGCTCCTGAAGGTGAACTCGCTGGAGGTGGTGATGGAAGATTCGCTGGAAGGACGCACAATCTGGTTCTTCCCAGGCTTCACTGTTGATTGACTAGTGCATTAGTTCTGGTAGTCCATATAGCTTACGTCAACACGTCAGCACATTGTACATAACAAATATGGGATCACTTAGACAAGGCCAGTGTTTACATTTGTCATCAGCAAATCATATACAGTATATTTATATGTTAATTAATGTAGTTAGTAACAAACATCATATCATTCGACAGTAATTACAGCAGTGCTGAGAATAAAATGGTTGTTAGAATTAAAAACAAATTTAAACTCCATTTCCCCCAGGATTCAGTTGAGCTCGTTCTTGCCTCACAATCAAGAATCCCGGGTTCGGATCTCTTGCAGGACACAAATGGCTTGGTTTCCTATCACCTAATGCTGTAATTAACTGTCACCTAATACAGTAAATAGCCACAAAGCAATAAAAGGTACCTAGGAGTTAGTCAACTGTCAAACCTACACGCAAAGTGAAGTCTCGCCGAGATCTTCACACCCCCAACACCCGACAGGACGCGTGGTATTATTAGCCACAGATATTTTATCAAATCACTTCAACATGCTGATGCAGCATGAACATGAACTGTGCATAAAGCTTGATGAAATATCAGTGGTCAATAATGCCACGAGTGGGGTTGGGTGCGTGTAGGTCTCAATGACACTTCCAGACACTCTTTGACAGTCGCTGACTGAGTGGTTACAGCACTGGACTGCCGGGGGCATGGAGACCTTGGGCCAGATTCACGAAAGAACTTACGCAAACACTTACGAACGTGTACATCTTTCCTCAATCTTTGACGGCTTTGGCTACATTTATTAAACAGTTTACAAGCATGAAAACTTCCCATTCAACTGTTGTTATTGTTCTAAATAGCCTCTTGGTGCTTCGGAGCTCATTAACTGTTTAATAATTGTAAACAAAGCCGCCAAAGATTGAGAAAAGATGTACAGGTTCGTAGGTGTTTGCGTAAGTTCTTTCGTGAATCTGGCCCCTTGACTGTCCGGGTTCGAATCCTTCAGAGGTCAAGAGTTTTCAGATGTTTATTGGTTTGGGGACCATTCAAGCTTTACGCACATTTGATGCTCATGCGACGTAACTTACAGTAATATATATTACTGAAGGAACAATATACAATAATGAGAGAGTGTGACGTGACTTACAGTAATACATATTACTGAAGGAACAATATAAAATAATGAGAGTGTGGCTTGACTTACAGTAATATATATTACTGAAGGAATAATATACAATAATGAGAGAGTGTGACGTGACTTACAGTAATACATATTACTGAAGGAACAATATATAATAATGAGAGTGTGTGACGTGACTTACAGTAATATATATTACTGAAGGAACAATATATAATAATGAGAGTGTGTGGCGTGACTTACAAATCTCAGTGAACTTGTCCATCTCAGCCCAGAGGAGCCGCTGCTCCATGAAGCCCATCTCCAGGCCACGCTCGTTGTGTTTAGGAGCCATGAAGATCCTCACTGTCACTGACTTGGACTTTCCTGTGTTGTTTGTTATCTGCAACACACAAATACATTTTAATTCACCGTATGTATTTCGTCTTGCAAAGAAATTGGCAGTTTTAATCGAGGTATTGACTAACATGAATGATAAAGCTATTTTAATATCAAAGGTATGTTAATTATGCGTAGAAATTTAACGTACATTTGTTATTAAAATACTGTAGCTTTATCCCTCATACAATTCATTTTCTAAAAAAATATATTGCGATTTATTATATATTCATAATTTTACAAGTTTCGTAGTTATTTTAATTTTGCGCAGGTGCGCAATGTTTCGGGAATTCATCGACAGAAGAGCTTCATCTCTTCTTAAAGGAGATGATTAACACCTTGTATTGCTATTTAGCAGCCAAGGCAATGCAAGGCAATTTTAGGGAAGTAATATACCAAGAACTTCAATCAAATTTAGTCGACCAGAGACACGGCGCTATATATATATATATATTATTCAGTAGAGAGCCATCTATGTGGCTCTTTGGGTCATTCAGTGCCGTCAGCAGATTCCTAAACTTTTATTTTTATTTTTTATATATACAAGAGTTCTTACATTCTTATACAGATTGATTGATATAGATTAAGTCACCCAAAAGGTGGCACGGGCATGAATATCCCGTAAGTGGAGGCATTCTTGTACAGCCACTAGCACGCATTGCGTTACTACGCGTGTTACTATACGTTCCTACTGTTAGGCTCAGGCTCGGCTATAAGTACCTCTGGGAGTTTACACCGCCTGCTGCAGTAAATCTGACCAAATGTAAACTCAGCACAACTATTCCCATACCCTACGTCATTATGTAATTGAATGTGAAAACCTGCAGAATTTAGAGATTATTCTATCAAAAATATTCAAAAAATGTGGAAGTATTTAAGCCAAAATGATGTACTATCAGAAAGCTTAGCCAAATATTCCAAGTTTGCTTACTGTATAAAGTAAAACTTATCTGATGGTAAATTTATCTGATGTACCTAATGGCCAATTTTCTACCGCCGCCCATCAGATGGGTTGTAGGTGTATGATTAGTAAATCAAATCAACGTATATGTAACTTGATGACCAGACCACACACTAGAAATTGAAGGGACGACGACGTTTCGGTCCGTCCTGGACCATTCTCAAGTCGATGAGAATAGTCCAGGACGGACCGAAACGTCGTCGTCCCTTCAATTTCTAGTGTGTGGTCTGGTCAACATACTTCAGCCACGTTATTGTGACTCATCGCCTGTATATGTAACTTGTTCATTGCAAATGTAAATTGCTTAACTTAGAGACTGTTGTGGTCCAGTTCTTGAACATTATGCTATGAAAAACAAACTTGATATATACAATAAATTCTATAACTAGTTTTTCAAGATTGTAACTTGCTTAGTTAAACGAATTTTGGTATTCAGATCCTGAGCCTGTATGTACCTCTGTAACCTTTTTCGCTACCGGCAACAGGATGGGGTTTGGGGGGTCCACTACCGCTCACAGGATGGGTATGGGGTCATGTACCGCTCACAGGATAGGTTTGGGGGGTCCATTACCGCTCACAGGATAGGTTTGGGGGGTCCACTACCGCTCACAGGATAGGTTTGGGGGGTCCACTACCGCTCACAGGATGGGTATGGGGTCATCTACAGCTCACAGGATAGGTTTGGGGGGTCCACTACCGCTCACAGGATAGGTTGGGGGGGGGGATACACTACCGCTTACAGGATGGGTATGGGGTCATCTACCGCTCACAGGATGGGTTCGGGGGGTCCACTACTGCTCACAGGATGGGTATGGGGTCCACTACAAGCCACAAGATTGGGTTGGGGTCTACTACAACCCACAGGATGATCTATGGAGTCCATTGCCATTTACAGGATGGCTATGGGGTACATAATAAATGAACTAAGCTAAACTGAAACGAAGCTCTTCATTTTAATTATATTATGCTGCGCTTAAATGAGCGGGTGCATGTGAGCGGTAATGATGGCTTCGTTATTACCATTTAATATATCTCTTCTGTGCCGCCTTGCCCCAGAGACCAGTATCATTACTGCTGAGCTTTGTCAAAATGGTATGTTCTGAGACATTCATTTCACGTGTCGATGATCGTTTGTTATTGTAGTTGAGTGTCTCACAGGCTGTTTTATTTATTTATTTATTTATATATATACAAGAAGGTACATTGGGATTGTGAGGATACATAGCATAGTAATTACAATCTTGTAAAGCCACTAGTACGCGCAGCGTTTCGGGCAGACCATTTTCCATATGGCAGACCAGACCATAAAACCATTTTCGGGTTTTAATGGCCCCCTAAGTCTTTAATAAGATCACGTATCCTACTTGGTAGGAATTCAACACTGGCTGCATCTAATCTTTAGCAGGTGTAAGGCTCTACGAACTCTGCATATTAATGGCATTTTATAAAATACATTGTGTACCTATGAATGCTCTAGCACTACTGTATGTTCTATCACATGTATTTAATAATAATAATTTGTATTTTATATAACTTGAGTACCCAGCCATATTGGTGTTGCATCCAATAACCAAGCAGACTTAGGAAAGCTTATATGTTCTTATATGTTACATCACCTAGAAACCCCACATTTTACTCTGTCATTCACAATGTTATCCGCAGCCGTTGAAAAAGATTGATTGCTAGCTACTACACTTAACCAAATTTATGTGCCACTAAATGTGACCTATTCCCGTAGACTTTCTCCTATCACTGAAATAGTCTGACCGTCTGAAATTCTTCCCCTTTTTGAGTTTTTGGGGCCACAAACGTGCACCAACTTTGCTTTCATTCATACCTGGAGATGATAATCGAAGGGAGCATGGTCGAGATGGGTGATGCGCAGCATTACGGGGTTGGTAGAGTTGAAGTCCAACCCTCTGGAAGCCTCAAACTCCCGCACGTTCCAGCCAGTTGTGAGAGTGTTGAGCTGGTTGTCCCTCACAACACCCACCTTGTCAAGCACCACGCCCGGCAGAGTCAGCTGGTGTGGAAATACAAGTCAATATACAGATCTGCTTACTACAAAATTATGGGTGCTTCGTAGTTAGTCACTTTATACCCAATATTTCATGGACGTTTACACCTATATTATCCATGGTGCTGGATATTATTAATTTACGTCCAAGTTACTCCAACCGTACATCCTCCATGCAGCTCCACACACACTCATCCTCTATGGTACTCCACCTATACATTCTTCCTGGAGCTCCACACACACACACACGCATCCCCCATAGAGCTCCACACACACTCATCCTCTATGGAACTCCACCTATACATTCTTCCTGGAGTTCCACACACACACATCCATCCCCCGTGGAGCTCCACACACTCATCCTCTATGGAACTCCACCTATACATTCTTCCTGGAGTTCCACACACACACATCCATCCCTCGTGGAGCTCCACACACACACACACTCATCCTCTATGGTACTCCACCTATACATTCTTCCTGGAGCTCCACACACACACGCATCCCCCATAGAGCTGCACACACACTCATCCTCTATGGAACTCCACCTATACATTCTTCCTGGAGTTCCACACACACACATCCATCCCTCGTGGAGCTCCACACACACACACATCCCCCATGGAGCTCTACACTTACGTCCTCCATGGTGTAGGGCGGCTGCGTCAGCTTGTACTCCTGGAAGACGTCGTCCACAAACTTGTGCCAGCGGTAGAAGACTGGGTCTCTCATGGCAGTCGTATTGTCTCCCACCACTCCCATCTCTTCCTGTAGCGGTGATATTTGTGGGTTTTCATTATCATGTCTTAAAGACGCCCTCTTTGTATCAGTAACATGACATTTTCACATGCTTGTAAAGTGATCACTAGGTAAAAATAATTTAGTTCTAAACTTTCGTAAGTCTGTATGGTAAGTAATTGTAAGTTGAAAATTATTTGCTGTGTGCCCTCGGCATCTCCAACTATTCAGTGTTCCTGTAACTAAATGTTGGCTGCCTTTCTACATTAATATTAGGCCCATCCTGTTTATACTTATAGGAACTTATACTTATACTTATAGGAACTTATACTTATAGGAACGATGTGGACCATTGTACATATATTGACGCAATGTACAATTAGAAAGTAGAATTTGGTACTATTGAATTTGGACAAACCGGAAAGTTTTTACTTATTTATTTTGTATTTTTATTTTATTTGTATATACAAGAGTTCTTACATTTTCGTAAAGCCACTAACACGCATAGCGCTTCGGGCGGGTCTTTAATCTTTCTAATCATTATGTTTCTGATAAAACTAACCTAACCATCCTAGGCGTAATACACGCTATCTGAAGCCTAATAGAGTACATATATGCGCTATACTAGGCCTAGAAATATTTAAGTATGTTTATTTAGCTATATTTCTCCTGGACTATAAAGTGAACAGTACCAAATTCTGTTAATTGTCCATTACGTCAATATATGTACAATGATGCGCATAGTTACAAAAAGTACTGTACTATCTAAAGAGGATTTTTTTTTTTTTGAGATATATACAAGAGTTGTTACATTCTTGTAGAGCCACTAGTACGCGTAGCGTTTCGGGCAGGTCCCTGGAATACGATCCCCTGCCGCGAAGAATCCTTGTTACAACCAAGTACACATTTTACTGTTGAGTTAAACAGAGGCTATTAAGGATTTGCGCCCAGTAAATCCTCCCCGGCCAGGATACGAACCCATGACAAAGCGCTCGCGGAACGCCAGGCGAGTGTCTTACCACTACACCACCGAGACTGGTAAATTATAGATTGATTGTAATATTAGGTGTAGCAGGTTATATTATATTACAATATCAATATCTCCACCTTATATTACAATATCTTTAGATCTGTCACTCTGGTTACCGCCTCTCAGTTTCTTGACGATACCTTGAAAATCGCTCTTTGGATTTAAATTAAAATTTAAATCATTAATTAGTCATACAACGTACATTTCTTTTGCAAAAGCACGATGTCAGGACAACGATTAAGTGAACTTTGTAATTACTACACACATTCCATAACACCATAATCAACCATTTTCAAGTATACCTAGGTCATAAAAGTATTTGTGTGTACGTCTGATACCATACTACTTGTGAAGGAGGAAATGTGTATGTTTATCTCTCAGAATGTTTGGTAATATGTTTATTGTTTGTGATGTGTGTCTATGTATGTATGTATTAACACGATGTACTGAACGGGGTGAGAATAGCTTGAGCTACCTCATCCCTTTGTGTGTATTTTACCTCAATAAACTTATTTCCATTTCCATTCCATTCCATGTCCAACCATTTTCAGGAATGGTTCAAGGTACCTATTTTACTGCTAGGTAACACAGGCATTGGGTGAAAGAAACTCTGCCCATTGTTTCTCGCCGGCGCCTGGAATAGAACCAAGGACCACAGGATCATAAGTCCAGCGTGCTGTCCGCTCGGCCGACCGGCTCCCCCATATCTTGCAAATAAAATTGGACTGAAAATACTGATAACAATTCATAACAAATGTGTTACTTTACCCTATGTGCGTTGTCGCTGTCATGGCAGAATGCCAGCATCAGGTGGCCTATGTTGTGAAGGTCGCCATAGAAGAGGAAATTTGGGCTCAGCTGACCATCTGCCTCAAATGCGTCTGCTAAGATGTCAATCCCTCGCTTTCCTGTCGTGACGTTATCAGAGAGTGGGATGCGCTCACCATTCCGCTGTTGGCAAGTTAAATGGTTTGATCAGTGAATATTTTGTATTAATTACTAAATATCATATATGTTTCATTAGTTCTTATTCACTGAATATTATTTTTGTTTTAACCTGACAGTAAAATCTGTTATGATTCATAGCAAATTTAAATCAACCAGAAAGATTTTTGCATAGCCTAGTTCATAGGCTATGCAGTTTACTACCTGGGAGCAGTTCATAGCTTATGAATTGTGAAGTTATCATTATACTTGATATACCTACATTTAGCATATATCCTTGGTGGATGGCGTCCATCAGTCGGGACCGCCAGAGCTCCATATCACTAATGTCTGTAACATCCAGCCCGAACTCATTACGTCTCAAATCCTGAAATAAAAATAATAAAAATATATAAACTCCACAAACACAATCCATTCTACTTATCTATAATATTTTTGTAGTATCTCCCTTTAGGCTTTATTTTTATCATAACCTGATCTCAGTATCTTGCTGGTTCAAGTTACTTTGACTCTTCTTAAGCATTTTTATCTTGATTTCCATTGAGATAGCAATTGTGTCCCTTCACTTTCCTCCCTCTCTACCACTTCTGAGCAGTGGTTTGCTTGTAACAGGGATGTAGGTTACATCCAACAGCCTGGTCCAACAGCCAACAGCCGGGTTGATCAGTCAAGCAACCAGGAGGCCTGGTCGACGACCGGGCCGCGGGGACGCTAAACCCCGGAAGCACCTCAAGGTAACCTCAAGGTAACCTCAAGGTAACCTCAAGGTAGGTGAGTAGAGGAACGGAGGGAGATAGGAAAGAGACAGAACGGCAGGAAGGAGTTAGAGAAAAGCGAAAGGGGAAGTAGTGAGTGGTAGAAGATGAGATGAAGGGTAGATTGCATAAGAGTGATAGAGGGGTAGAAGAAAATGAGTATAATGAGTAGGAAGCGTTAGCACTACCACTGTTGTAACGTTTGCTTTAATCATTCGTAACACTTCTAATTAATTTAACCGTAATAATTATTATCTTTAGCACCAATGTACATATATACATGGTGAACTAAAAGTCACAGTCACCCTTCCAGTGACAATCCACAGCTTATTCCACGGGAGCGGAAGAATTAGAACACCGTACGGGAGAACTGTCTCAGTGTTATGACAAAAAGGGGTCACTGATATATAAGGTCCATTAATTATACTGCTTCCCAGGAGGCCTGGTCGACGACCGGGCCGCGGGGACGCTAAGCCCCGGAAGCACCTCAAGGTAACCACCGTCTCTCAGATATCTCGGTGCGTTGGTCCTTATACCGAGACTGTAACTTTGTTGAATTGTCAGAATGTCTACTGCAAATTGTCTGTGTACCTAGTCATAAAAGTATTTGTGTGTACGTCCTGGCTGTAGAGACTGGGCCGAGGGGACGTTGATCCCCGGAACCACCAAAAGGTAGCCTGGTGGGTGCCTCATACATTCACCTTGATGAGTGTTATCCTGGCGGAGGCCTCATATACTTACCTTGAGTAGGGTATTATCCTGGCGGGTGCCCCAGGGCCGACCGGAGTTGTTAACAGTAAGCTTGGAGAAGTAACCATCTGGGATGGGCTCCCGCCAGTTCTCCAGCTTCTCCACACGTTTGAGGTTAACGCTGAGCCGCTCCATGTCGTACCTTGAATGGGTATATCACTATTGGCAGAGCGTATTTTACTTATTTTACGTATTTTACTGTCCGAAACGCTTTGCGTAATAATGGCTTTAGGCATTGTATGTACTAGCTCTATCTATAAATCCATCAACGTTTTGTATCTCACCTTGTATGTATGTACTTTACCTGAATAAATATTTGATATAATTTTATTTGATTTATGCATACAATCTTAACCCTTAGACTGCGCATTTACCTCAGTCCTCGAGTTTGTTTCTTAATGAACAAATCCACAAGGGTCGTGGCGAGGGTTCGAATCAGTGCCCTTGTGGATTTGTTCATTTGATGCATCATGCTATTGTGATTTTTGTGTGTAACTGTTTCTTAATATATTCATGAAACAAAAAGTTTATGATTTCTCTACAAATGAAAATAAGAAATACGGGAAGTATGGTAATAATATTTAAAAACAAAAATCCATCCGTTTCTTTGAATAAACAGAATTTAATACTAATTTAAATCTGAGTTTGTAAATTCTAAGTTCCGAAATCTGAGTTTGTAAATTCTAAAGTTCCGGAACATTAATGAAAGAATTCTCCAAACTTTTACGTTTTCTCGTTTAGAATTCAAAGAAAACTGTACATATATGATAAACTAAAAAAAAACTTCGAAACAACTCTCCTAATTTATATTTATTTATTTATTTATTTATATATATACAAGAAGGTACATTGGGTTTGTGAGGATACATAGCATAGTGTTAACATTCTTGTAAAGCCACTAGTACGCGCAGCGTTTCGGGCAGGTCCTTAATCTAACAGATAATTTTAGGTAGATAAATTCTAGCAAAATTTATAAAATGATAACAGGTACATTGCAAGAAAAAAAATGAAATGAGAGAGATTAGTAGGAATATTAAAGCACATCTAACAGATAATTTTAGGTAGATAAATTCTAGCAAAATTTATAAAATTTGATTGCATTGCATTGATTGATTGCATTGACAGCTTGATTGGCAATTTAGCAAAGATTAATAGGCATAATACAGCATATAGACAGCACATATAAGACAGCAATGATCACAATGGTAAAGTTGTTTGGATTAGGTACATAAAGATTGGGAGATTGAGTAGCACTAGATACAGTGCAATTTTACAGCACAAGGTAGGAAACTATGAAGATGAAATTTGGTACTTTTTGTTTTTGTTTTTGAATAAGGCAAAAGTTGGACAGCTTTTCAAATCATTAGGGAGGGAGTTCCATAGACCAGGTCCCTTTATTTGCATAGAGTGTTTACAAAGATTAAGTTTGACTCTGGGGATATCAAAGAGATATTGTTTCTGGTGTGGTGATCCTATTACATCTGTCCAGGGAGAGTTTCAGAGCATGGTTTGCATTTAAGAACAGGGTTTTGTAAAAGTAACTGACACAAGAGAATGTGTAGAGTGAGTTTATGTTTAGCATGTTTAGGGATTTAAACAAGGGAGCTGAGTGTTGTCTGAAAGCAGTTTATTATTCTGATAGCAGATTTCATAAATTTCATAAATTATTATTCATAAATTTATTAATCGGCGATTATGCCACATGGACCAAGATTCTTCTAATTAATGACTTACGTAATGCCAATGTTTACTCTTTATAAGGTAAAAATAGCCAGAGAAATGTCAATTCTTGAAAATTATAGGGGTATTAAAGCAAAAATTATCATAAATTTCAATAATAACAATTCTAATTTGGCTCAAAGCTAAAAAAAAATTGTTTGGCTCAATCCCTGAGCCCATTACGTGCCTCTGTAACCCCCTTTCCAATATCGCCCACAAGATGGGTATGGGGTGCATAATAAATGAACTATACTCAAAATTGTGTTTATCATTACGTTAACATCAAGAACTAGAACAAGCATGGTTCTTACCCCAGTCAGTCTTCTGGAGCGTTCACAACGTCACTAAACTGATGTACTAACTGCCCGAAACTAACCGAAGATCCTCGAATAAGATGGGACATCACGTCAATTTTGCGAGCCGCTATGATTTTTAGCATATCAGTTTTGGCCTTAGGGGTGATTTATACGTCAAAATACGATGTACTATTTGAGAGAACAGGCGGGTTGCTTACCTGGCTATCATCTGCTGATGCATATAATAGAAAAGTTCTCCTTTACGGTCCCGGTTAACATTCATGTCAATGGGGTAAACAAGATGCCAGTGCCAGTGGTGGGAGTTGATGCCGTAGTCCTCCCTCCAGTATGACACTCGGTGCTCTGGCTTCAGGGTGGTGTTGGCAAAGTCTGCTCCGTATTCAATCACCATCGGTGTTGTCTGTCAAAGACGGAAATCATAAATACTATTTAGGGTTTCGGTAGTACACTTGGGTTTCTGTTGACCAGACCACACACTAGAAGGTAAAGGGACGACGACGTTTCGGTCCGTCCTGGACCATTCTCAAGTCGATTGGGTTCCTGAATATACCTGATGGGCACTAACATTCTAGTGGCCTCAACGAGGACAAAAAGCTTGGCGGGTCGTCAAAAGTCCCCCTATTTGTCCTGATAAAAAGTTTGTTCTCGTCTTTACCTACACAACCTAGAAGAACTAATCGATCTAAAAAGTCATCTAGAGAGATAGTCGGGACTTTGATGCGCCCATGAGAATGGTAACAACAGTCTGTCTTTCCTGGATGTATTAATAACAAAAACCTTTCCAAGTACTAGCATATATTCCAAGCCTACAAACAGGATTATGCCTGAACGGTAGGAGTTAGTGCCCCCCAAAGATATAAAGCCAGTGTTCTCTACGCTTATATTCGTCGAGCCCTTACCCACTGCTCTGCATGTAGCAACGTGAGTAGGGAATTTGAAAGGATAACACAACTACTGGTGAACAATGGCTACAGTAACCACGAAATCAACATAATAATATAATAATATTTTATTACAAGAAGGTGCAATGGGTTGGTATGATTACATTAGTGATATTTTCACATTCTTGCACTGCCACTAACACGCATAGCGTTTCGGGCAGGTCCTTAATCTAACATATAATTAAGAAAGTCCATTGTAGCAAGGTTTTATATCAATATAAATTGACAGATTTGATTACACTGGTAAAGATTAAGTGCTTCATTAGTCTTAAGTACTAATATTTGGGAAGTGGCTAGCATAAGATAGAGTGTGAGTTTGAAGTACACGGTAGGAAGCTATGAGGATGAAATTAGGTATTTTTTGGTTTTACTTTTGAACAGGGCATAGGTTGGACAATTTGTTAATTCATCAGGGAGTGAGTTCTAAAGACTGGGCGGACTGGATAGGGAATCTATCCCTATCTTACATACGGTATCTGTGCATGGGGGTTCAACTACTGCAAATTACCTCAAGCCAATCATCACCCAGCAAAAATCTATTGCTGGGTGTATTCCCCTATCTAATAGGAATTTGCATGGAGTGTTCGCACAGATTTAGCCTGACTCTGACGATATCAAAGAAATATTTATTTCTGGTGTGGTGCTCATGGGTTCTATTACACCTATCAAGGAAAAAGTTTCAGATTTTTTCAGATTAGCATTTAGGAACAAGGTTTTGTACATGTAGAACGCACATGAAAATGTGTGGAGTGAGTGTATGTTTAGCAAGTTAAGGGACTTAAACAGAGGGGCTGTGTGTTGTCTGAAGACAGAGTATGCTATAGTTCTGCTGAAGACAGAGTATGCTATAGTTCTGCTGAAGACAGAGTATGCTATAGTTCTGCTGAAGACAGAGTATGCTATAGTTCTGCTGAAGACAGAGTATGCTATAGTTCTGCTGAAGACAGAGTATGCTATAGTTCTGATAGCAGATTTTTGCTGGGTGAAGATAAACTAGAGGTAATTTGCAGTGGTTCAACCCCATGCACAGATACCGTATGTAAGATAGCGATAGATTAGTGCGCAGTATAATGAGAGGAGAGCAGAGTGGGGAACATAATATCTGATTTTAGAAAGTATACCAACCATTGTTTTACTTGTTTTGTTAAACCCCTGGAAACACAAACCGAAACTGTCTTTATTTTCCGCTTGTTACAACTTGTAATAAAGTTGTTACATCTTGGCTTAACGTGTTTATGACGTATTAGAACGTTGTTACAACGTGCTATATTGGTTGTTATAATTGGTTAGGAGGTGTTAAAACTTGTTCGAACGTTGTAGCAACGTTGTAGTTTCGGTGTGTGTTTGGCGGGACACCACTATAAGACAACACTTGAACCTGTGGAACAATTCAGAGCCAAAAATATAAACCACAACACCTCCACTAAAATTATGCACAGTGAATACAAGAGGAAAGAATAATGAAAGAAATAATCTGTAAAGGAGTAAAAAAACACAACCCCTAACCAAAACAGACGTCATCATAAACTATAAAACAAAGATTATCACTGACCTCATCATGTAAAACAGTTCAAAGTCAACCGAAAACCCTTTACAGCAGTTGAACAAGGTATATTATATTATATTATATTATATTATATATTATATTATATTATATTATATATTATATTATATTATATATTATATTATATTATATATATATATATATATATATATATATATATATATATATATATATATATATATATATATATATATATGTACACCTGCCCCCATGAAGGATGTAGCCTTCAACAATCTAAGTACATAGGTATGACGCCGACCAAGCTCACGAGGCGTTTAACCTGTCACTTTCAATCAGGAATCCCAAAAAATCACATGAGAGAAGCCCATAACATCACACTAGTTTAGTTTAGTTCATTTATTATGCACTCCATCGCCATCTTGTGGGCGGTAGTGGAAAGGGTTACAGAGACACATAATGGGCTCAGGGACTGTACCCTACTTAATTCATTTAGCTAAGCAAGTTATAATCTTGATGAGTTAGTTACAAAATTCAATGCACATCGTCACATCAACAACGGCGAAGAGACCGACCACAAGTACAGTCTCTAAGCGAAGCAACTGACATATGTGGAGAACTAGTGTCACAATTGATATGTTTACAATGCACCCCGTCCCCCATCCAGTGGGTAGCGGTGGATAGGTTAACACTTAGTTACTACGTACAGTTAGCAAATTGGGAATATTTGGCTAAGATTTTTGGTAGAACGCTAGGAAAAAGATGATAAACGAGAAGATTATGTATCGCATCAGGTACTGTAAGGCTAAGACACCCAGACATATACACACCCACCTGGCTAGCGGGAGTCCTGTTCATCTCAACCTGCATCTTTGTCAGATCTTCTGTTGGAATGAACTTCTGGGGAAAGACTTCCACGATTGGCGGCAGACGAACACTTCGCAATTCCTGTTGACACAACAAAAAATGGAGCATAGATGCTGAACATTGTGAAAGGTGAATGTAAAGATTTTGAAGTCATAGAAGTTAACGAACTAAGATTTATATTAATTATCGCGTATATTGGCCTAATATTTGTTGGGAACATTTTTCCCTTAATATGTATTTAATTGTATATATAATTCGATTACATGCTATTATAATGATTGTGATGAGAGGTAAATAACTGCCGAAAGGCACTTAAACTTGCATACAGACTCGTGTGTTATCCCGTTTTAGGAGTTTTCAGACACCTTGTGTTATTCCAACACTTCTGGCGGACGACTGGGAGGATGTTCACGAGGGAGAGAAACCCAACAAGCAAATTGATAATTTTAAGCGGAAAACAACCACTGCAAGTCGTTGTCAATAAAATTCAAAGTCACTGCTTGAAGAAGATTCGATAACCCACGCCGTAGATATTAAGATAGATATACAGCTTGAATATGAACTAGCAATAAAGATAGAACTTGTAAGGTATTAAACTAAAAAAAGTAGCTATCTATTTTCGCTACATACATGCAGCAAAGGAACAGACATGTAGTAGTATAAATACCATAGTATTCACCGGACTGCAAACCAAATTTTTTTTATGTGATAACTGAATTTATATATAACTTTTTTTTAGACGACATCTGATTCCTGTTGTTAGGCTGAGAGGTTTTCCGTCCCACAGCTCATGGTAAGCCTCACCCTAGTAGTTTCCCCTGAAACACGACCCGCCGGTCGGTTAACAACCAGTACCCAATTACTACTGAGTGAACAGAGACAAACAGCTAAGACTCACACCCAGACACTCCTCCCCGGCCAAGACTCGAACCAAGACAACTCATTGGCGAGGCGAGTGTGTTACCAGTGTGCTACGGTTTGTCTTATTAGCTAAAACAGCGCGTCAGATCTCACAAAGAACAATCTTCTTGAGATTCTTGAGGTTATCTTGAGATGATTTCAGGGCTTTAGTGTCCCCGCGGCCCGGTCCTCGACCAGGCCTCCACCCCAGGAAGCAGCCCGTGACAGCTGACTAACACCCAGGTACCTATTTTACTGCTAGGTAACAGGGGCATAGGATGAAAGAAACTCTGCCCATTGTTTCTTGCCGGCGCCCGGGATCGAACCCGGGACCACAGGATCACAAGTCCAGTGTGCTGTCCGCTCGACCGACCGGCTCCCTGAGTGAATATGAGTGTGAATATGAGTCCATCAAAGACAGTTGCGGGTGGTACACGAACGCCCCTAGCCAACGTTACCTGCTTCCGAAGAATGGTGAAGGAGAGCGCGTAAATAAAGAGGGACTCGTTGACTTGGTCCCTCACATTGAGTGCCAACTCCATCAGGTCGGTGGAAGTTCGAGCTCCTGAGTATAGATGTTACACGTTATGTTAGTACTACAATAATATATATATATATATATATATTGGACACCTCATGAATATTTTAAATGCGACTGATGTGAAATTTTTTTGCAATCAAAGAAGGAAGTAATCCAGACTTCTGTGGAATGGAATTATAATACTTCCCAAAAGGCTTAATGAAATACTATGACTGTTCAAGGGATGCACTTACATAAGTAAGCATAAGTACACTTACTCATGAAGATATCACAGAGACACCTGGCGGCCTGGCGGTGTGACTTGAGGAAGTAACAGAAGACCACCCCTCGAGGCACGGAGGTTGCCAGTCCCAGACTGTTCTTGTTGATCTCTGGACGTGAGCGGACCGTCACGGTGTTCCCGGGGCTCGTGCCGGCCCTGGTGCTTACTGTGTCCTGGTCAATACACACACATAGGTCATCTATCTGCTAGATTAAGGACCTGCCCGAAACGCTGCGCGTACTAGTGGCTTTACAAGAATGTAAATACTGTACTATCCAATGTATTCTCACAAACCCAATGTACCTTCTTGTATATATATAAATAAATAAATAAATAAATAAATAAATAAATAAATAATTAAATAAATAATTAAATAAATAAATAAATAAATAAATAAAAGTCTTTATGTGTACGTCTGATACCATACTACTTGTGTAAAGGAGGAAATGTATATGTTTATCTCTCAGAATGTTTGGTAATATGTTTATTGTTTGTGATGTGTGTCTATGTATGTATTAACACGATGTACTGAACGGGGTGAGAATAGCTTGAGCTACCTCATCCCTTTGTGTGTATTTTACCTCAATAAACTTATTTCAATTTCAATTTCTCACACACAAGCTTTCACGCTCACTGTAGAACTGACTGTGTTTGCCCAACACTCCGGCCACTACTGTGACTGACAGGGAGCAACATTTATTGATAAACAATTTTGCAATTGTTTATCTATAATTGCAAAACTGCACCTGATATATATATATATATATATATATATATATATATATATATATATATATATATATATATATATATATATATATATATATATATATATATGACAGTGTCAGACCACGAAAGAAGAAGTGAAACAGGAATTTCCTTAAGTACTTTCGTATTACATAATACATCTTCAGAAGGATTATTAAATACGAACGTACTTAAGGAAACTCCAGTTTCAATTTTTCTTTTCTGGTCTGACATTGTCACATTTTTCATCACGTGTTAATTTTCGTGATTTATACACACACACACACCTTGTTATAATTATGGATGGACCTATATAGATAGGTCCATCCATAATTATAACAAATAAACAAGTAGTTTTAGTTGGTAGAAACTTCACGAAAGACAGCTAATAAATGTCTCCATAAGTACAAAAATTGAACATGAAAAATTATGGGAATTGAGAAATAGATATACGCCGTACACCGGGGTCTATCCATCACTGGTTCACCACAAATGTAAATATATTTCCTTAAAATGGGTCCGGTTTCTCAATCCATTATATAATAAAATATATATAAATACTTTGAAATATATGACTTTGTAACCAATCTACTACCACCCCAAAGATTGGGCTTGGGGGTCTATAATAAACAAATAAACTAACTAAAGGTAGGAGGGTGCGTATATATATATATATATAGGCTAAAACAATTATATACCTTATACAATAATAGAGTAGGGGTGGTAGGAGAATATACTCAAGTTATGTTCAGAGAGTATCTGCAAAGTCTTCTTTGAATGCCTTTTATTCTCTACTCCCAGGCTATGGGTCCTACTTATGCCTTATATTTAGTCTATATCATGCAATCCCATTTAAACACAAAATGTGTCATCTTCCCTTTAACAGTACAGCATTTAACATTTTGTTTAACGTGTAAACAACAATCTCAAATTAGGTTTTAATGGGTTTTATTAACGAGTTAGAAAGAAGGAAGTTTGAAATTGTTAGTCACTTTTTTTGTATTTATTTATTTATATATATATATATATACAAGAGTTCTTACATTCTTGTACAGCCACCAGCACGCATAGCGTTTCAAGTAAGTCCTTAATCCTAATTTTCACACACACACAGGAAGCAGCCCGTAGCAGCTGTCTAACTCCCAGATACCTATTTACTGCTAGGTGAACAGGAGCTATTATTTATTTTCGCCTCATCCGAGGATCGAACCCAGACCTTTAGGACTACGAATCCCGAGCGTAGTCCATTCAGCTGGCATGCTCCCTTGTGTAAAGATCGTTTTATTCATTAATATGAGAGAGTCTGCAGCTGCTAGACTTAGGCGCTTTAACCAATATTTTAAGGTTAAGTTAAAATGTTCGGTGTTGTGTGTACTTACAGTTCCGGAAAGTTTATAGAAAACCGAGCTGTCTCCTCGCGGCATGTTCACCGGGTCGAACGGCCGCTCGAACAGATAAAGCAGCTGCTTTTGTGGGTCAGCCATTATTGCCCGTCTCGTCAACTTCTGGCTTACCTGGAAGCATTTATATATATAGTGATAGTAGAAATCTTTACATACTTAAAGTTTTGTGTTTATTAAAGGGAAAACAAGTATATATAGCACCAATTATATAGAGCAGATGCAGTAGTAGTCACCGCAGTCGATTACTCAACCGAAGCATCCGAGGTTCGATTACCGAGCAGGACGTATCCAAACAATGCCCGTCTCGTGATTTTCAGGGTGACGAAGGAGAGAGAGAGCAACGAGAGTACTAACCTGTATGAAAGGGTTACCCCAGGGCACTGAAGGACTCTGAGGGGCGTCTCGCCTCTTTATCCTCCCACACGCCACCAAACTTTCCCACTAACAGACTTTCCAAAAAATTCTTTTTTTTTTTTAATCCAACCAACTGAACGCATTTCTGCCATTTTTTGTGAAGAAATAATTACTGCATCATATTATTTTTGTATTATATGATCTCTTCAAATAGTTCAACAGAGGGATGCTGTAGAGTATATGCATGTGATATGAAATATATGGTAATAAGCGAGAGCTGTCCTTCACAGGATGCGCCCATGGAAAAGGAACCGGTGATATTGTCAACAAACATACCGGTGACCTTGGAATTTTCCAAGATGGGCTGCTGTAATTACCATTTAATATGTTAAACTCTATATATAGTTACACTTTTTAGTTCATCAGCTTCGTTCCACTTTAATGACCTCTTGTCTTATTGTTGCTTCTGTTGAACTGTTATCCTTCTCCTGTTACGAGTCTTTCTGTTGAACCGTTGCCCTACTTTTGGCAATTGTTGTCCTACAGATTCTTCATCAAGCATAACGTGACCACATACGAAACCTGTACATCTTTCCTCCGTCAAGGCGGCCTTGTTTACATTTATTAAGCAGTTTGCGAGCTCTGGAGCACTACGAGTTTTTTTTAATAATAATAACTTTGGGTTGTGAAGTTACGAAGTTCATAAACTACTCAATAGATGTACACAGACACCATAATTAAGGAAAGATGTTCAGATTTCACAAGTGGTTTGTGTAAATGCTTCATGAATCCTGGACTAGGCTGAAAGTCTAACAACGTCAAGAAATTATCGTACTAATGTGCTCTTTTCCTAACCTACCAGAGGACCCACGAACAGTAAACGGGTCAGTATATCAATTTCGCAAGCCGCGAGATTGTGGCTCGCGAAATACTGTATTTCAGTATTGAAATACCGAATTATGTATACTTTAATACGCCTGTATGATAGGCTATAAACTGGACGATATTATGGTTTGATAGTAGTGTGTGTAATGTCGTCCCGGCTTGTCCCATGTGTTGCTACTCTCACTAGTAAACACATTTCCTCTGCCTCATCACACTGTATTCTTGGTTATTCCATCCACGACCTGGTTTTTCATGTTATCACTATCATTCTAACTTATCTTTACATCTATTGTTTTAACACGTTATCATCCTCATTTTGTTGTTTTTTTATTCGATAACGCTGTCTGATTTTCCTGCTTGCAACGTCTTAATAAAATTTTGTTTTACTTATATTAATAAACACCATTAAAACTAACATCCCTTGTTCGTTCAACATCATTAATATTTCCTATGTTCCGACGCCATATTATCTGTTTTACTTAAAAACATAAGAATTAATCTGCTGAACGTCTATTGGTCCACACTAAGTAGGTCTTATTTATATTCACTCAAACACATGAACGTGTCCTTCTATCATTTGTGTGTTGGATGATTCGACTTTCAGTCTCGTTATTGTGACTTTCTCTGCACTGGGAATTATTTTTAATAGAAATATTACATATATACATATACATATACATATATATATATATATATATATATATATATATATATATATATATATATATATATATATATATATATATATATATATATATATATATATATATATTTATTACTGCATCATATTATTTTTGTATCATATGATCTCTTCAAATGATTCAACAGAGGGATGCTGTAGAGTATATGTATGTGATATGTGTATGTATATATATATATATATATATATATATATATATATATATATATATATATATATATATATATATATATGTATATGTATATGTATATGTATATGTGTATATATATATATATATATATGTATATATATATATATATATATATATATATATATATATATATATATATATATATATATATATATATATATATATATATATATATAAAATGATAAACCTGAATAGTACACAGGCCTCACTATACATATTTGAAAGTTCCAAATGCCCTTGCAGGGGCCAGAACCTCAGTCCGCGTGATGCTGAGGCGATAAACAAATTTATTTGTGTTTATCAGTTAAAAAATTACAAATACTTTCGATACACTGTAAGGCGAGACAAAGTACAGATGTGGCTGCACCACACCAAGTGTGGTACTTTACATCAAAACAACATGAATCTGATATGGAATCCCCTCGGAAGCCTTCCTTCCGCGTATTACACAATGGATTTACCAGTATTTTTTGTTTTTTGAGATATATATAAGAGTTGTTACATTCTTGTACAGCCACTAGTACACGTAGCGTTTCGGGCAGGTCCCTGGAATACGATCCCTGCCGCGAAGAATCGTTGTTACAACCAAGTACACATTTTACTGTTGCGTTAAACAGAGGCTACAGTTAAGGATTTGCGCCCAGTAAATCCTCCCCGGCCATTTGTCGTCTGCTAACGTCTCTAGTGGCCTCACTGGAGCCAGAATGAGGCTGAGATATCGATTACTTATGGTATTCCCCAACGTTGAGTATTCCAATAGTCCTTTGAATGTTCTAGCTCTTCGTTAACGATGGCTAGGATACACTCTAAAACACTATGTAGATGCACTCTAAAACACTGTGGTTGTGACTGCCCTGTTATCAATTATTTCAAACCAAATGGTGAAGTACTTTGAGCTCTGTAACTACTTCATATGCTCACGAATATTGGAAGATATTCTTGTGTTGTACCCAGAGTTTGCTACTGCAGGCTAATAGATTAATTTCGTGATCTCTCCTAATTCCATGTATGACTAACGATCCTGTGAGATGGGAATGTTAGATTAACCCATAACTAGCCTCTGATCCGGCACACAGAATAGGGAAGCAGCACATTCCTGTGTATATATAAATATATACAGGCATGTTAATACAAAAATTAAGAGCGAAGGGTTTCTCATCTTATCTGACGAATTTCCAGGTGTATTTTAAACTACTGCATGTTGTTGTTGTCCTTGTTTCGGCAGCTTCAGACGGTACACTATTCTACATGTTTACTACACTGGGATAATAATGTAAGTTTGTCAAGCTTAAGGTTGTTGCTTGTATGTCACATAGAACATCATGTTAGTGAGTTTAGTTCATATAATTATTATGCATCCAACACCCATCCTGTGAGCAGTGGTGTAAAGGCTACAGAGCATAATGGGCAGTTCCAAATCCAGTTGGAAAAAATCCCTAGAAAAATGGGGGAGGGGGGGGACACTTTTGACACACCTCTGGTTTCCTGTCTCCGTCGAGGCCACTAGGTAAATTCAGGTATTTAACTGAATTTACCTCAGGGCCATCATATATCGAGTGGCTGCGACGGAGACAGGAAGTCGGCGGCTTGTCAAAGGTCCCCACTTTTCATGAATTTTATTTTCTAATTAGATTTTGAACTGCAGTAATGTTTTTGCCTTAATGGGTTCGGCGAGTAGGCGGTTCCATGGGTCTATGGGTGAAAAAGCACCTCTATTTTATGTCCTGCCCTGTACTTGTTGATCTTAAAGCTGTTGCCCCATGAATATGTTACATTTGACCTATTAAAGAAGTGATCTGGATTAATATTCTCCAACTTGTTCAGTATTTTAATGGTTTCGATAAGATCAGCTCTGTCATGTCTGGTTTGCAGTGTTGTTAGTTCTGTGACCCTCAACCGTTCCTGGTATGAGAGAAGCCTTAGTTTTGGAATTATTTTTTCACTCAGCGTTATAATTTCTCCAAATCAGATATGTTTGTGGGGGGGGGAATACCAGAATTAGATGAATGAGGAGAATTACATAGGACCAAAAATGTAGTAACTTAATAATTACTGTAAATGATTAAAAAAAATGCAACCCAAATTAAGCTAAATCTTAGCTGAATGCAAGGTTCCTATGCTGCTGTAAGTCCACGCCTCAGTGTCCTCGATACTGGTAATGGACTTTAGCAGGTAGGGTCCTCAAGGCTGTTCCAGATCATTGTCTGCAAAACTACACAATACCTGCGGGTATTCCAACACATTTAGCTTGTAATTTTTACAAGTTTAAATTGATAAAAACAATTCTATGACTGCAAACACTGGTTCATGATCTAGGATCTGAATGATATACACAGTCTAGCCTAGCTCTGGCAATATTATAGCAGTTAATAATCAGACTGAGCCAGTACACACAAGGTATAATATAACAATAACAACAATAATGTATATGTAATGAGCAAAAGAAATATTATATACACACATGATGACTATATATTCATATATATATATATATATATATATATATGATGGATTCAGCAATATAAAAAGTTCTGTCACTGCATGAGTAAAGTCAGAACTTACTGATGATGACGCCTCGCTGCCTAACGACTCTCAATTTATATATATGGATGTATTATTGTAATAAAGCATGGTAAATGGCCAATCTACGCTCTAAAACAATTAATAACTTACCCTGAATTGAGAACCGAAGCCTATCTGACAGTAGCCAGATGATGTCTCTCTCTTGCTGAGACCAGACTGTATTCTAATGATGATATGGCAGCTTGATGTTGTTGACTTTGATGTCACAGCATTGCTGTAAGGGATTCTAGTTGCTTGCTCAGATATGGAGTGCACGTTGTTGCATCTCACTAGGTTGATGAGGCCTTGGTGGCGCCTCACTAGCCGGTGGACCTCCACACTCCTACTTTAGATAAATTGCACTATGAATTCCTCCCTATACACAGTTCAGTAACTCCTCCAGTATCCAGGGAACCACTATTGAAGGTTATAATTAGTGTGTGTGTAGATGTCTTGCTGAATATGTCTCCAGCACTTCACACGTGCTCACTCTTTGAATGTAAACACAAGATGTGTTCAGGTACTGGACCACTCTGCTGGTGGCGTCCCCTTCACAGTGGAAGTGCTGCCAATGATTATAGTTTGATTATTTTCATTATTTAGAATGATTATTGTGATAAAGTTATATCATAATATTAACACCTAGTCGATATAAAGATTATTGACATTACTTAATAGTACAATTTGTCCTTTATTAAGGATTTTGAAAATATGTCACTGGAATTTATTATTTTGTTCCAACAATATTTTTTTTTTATTATCAATTACTCCTGATAACTTCTAGATTCTTGATATTTCATGGACATAGTCACATGCATTGAGCCCAATAGAATAATTTACCAAAATGGTCATATAGGCTGGTAATGTAGATACCAATGATTCTTAAATCATCAGTAGAGATATGATTATGCTGTAAAATATAAATATGGTATGAAAATATTACATTCCACTCACTATATGGATATGGTGAGTGGAATTTTCCAGAATGTTCTTCTGAAGATGAGGTCTCCATATTTGGATACAGTAGTCCAAATTGGGGTTCACCAGAGATTTGTACAGTAAAATAACCACTTTCTTTTCCTTGAAGTAAAAGGTCCGTTTGTCTATTCCTAGGGGTTTGGTTGGATTTTTTTTTTGGGGGGAGGGGGCTGCAGGTCCCATAATTGTTGCGTAACTTTCAATTACTGGTGGATTCTGACTCCTAGGTTCTTTTCTTCATTAACCAGCTGCATGACTGTACTCACCCCATTAGGTGAGTACTGTGTAGTGGATATTTTATGCTGCCCATACGTATAATTCTTATTTTTAAACATATCACAGCTCTTTATACTCATGGGTTTTAGTTCCTCAGCCCATTATGTGCCTCTGTAACCTTTTCCACTACCGCCTACAGGATGGGCATGGGATGTATAATAATTAAGTGATCTAAACTAACTAATTAAGTATGCAGGAACTACATAAATATGAGAGATTGTCGGGGCACAGAGTCGGCAACTTTAGCCTCATAGTTTGTTTACATTTAGATCCATGTTGACAGGACAACATAATATTATAATTTTTTCTCTAGATTAAACAACGTTCCGAGTTTTTTTTTAAGAAATTTCGTTATAATTGTGTAACTAACATTTCAGTTTTAACATGTATTGCCTGTGTACTTCATTTGATAAAATTTAATATATAAATAGACCTATCGCAGCTGTCAATTCATTGTTTATTTACTTATTTATATACAAGAAGGTATATTGGGGGTTAACAGAGAACATAGAAATTAAGTTGATTTTACATTCTTGTAAAGCCACTAGCACACATAGCGTTTCGGGCAAAACTTAGGTAATTGTTTTGAAGTTATTGCTAATTGTTGTTTGAGCGGCTAAAATCAATATATTTTTGTCAAGTATCGCTCTCTTTTAAAATAATATAATAATATAAATTGTTATTAAACGAAATTATTAATTATAAATTCGAAATACCCTGGAAATAAACGATTCAACAACACTTACATATGAAATAATTTATAAATAACTCTCACCTGCCAGGTTTGAGCAAAATAAAGTTATCTCTGAGCTGACAAGAGCAATTCAATTCAATTTCTTTCTTTATTATGCTGACAAGAGCAATAATATATTTTGAAAATGTACGAGAGCACGTGCAGGGAAGCAGGCGGCGTCGTCTGTCCTGGGGAAGAAATTAAGGCAGCTGCGGCATGGTCGTCCAGTCTGGGTGGCCGCTCGACACCGCAGGTTCTTTCACTCCACATATCACCCTCCACCATGTGGCCCGAGGTCAGACAAGCCTGCGAGGAGAAGCGCTACGAGCTCGTCCTCACAGGGGAGGAGGTGAACAGTAGGATAGAGTCAGCCGAGGGCTTGGACCCGGCGGTGTATACTCTGACACAACTCAATTTCCTCGGGGTGTCGAGGTCGCCCTTGACCTGCTTGTCCTCGGAGATTGGGCAGCTCGTCAATCTTACTAATCTCATCTTTCAGGGCAACAAGCTACAGGCTCTGCCTGAAACTATTGGGAATCTTGAGAAACTGAAGGTTTTAGATGTTTCGTTAAATTGCCTTGAAAGTCTGCCGGATTCAATAGGAAACTTAACAAATTTGACAACTCTCATTGCAAGCAGCAATGAATTGTCTGCTCTTCCAAACTTAGAAAAATGCAGCAATCTTTCAATTTTGGATATAAGCAAAAATAAAATAGTAAGTTTTCATGATATTTGTCATGAAAATCTTGCACTTTTAGCAGATGTAAAGTTTTCGTGCAATCAGATTACTGAAGTTCCTCCGTCGATATCTGTGCTAACATCACTGAAAGTTCTTGATCTTGGCAGTAATAATCTTACAACTGTGCCTGGAGAACTTATCGACTGTTTAAAGCTCAAAGGTAAGTGTCATCTTGAAGGTTCAATAATTTAGCTGTGGTAGTGTAGTGGCATAAAGTCATAGACTATGAGTCACCAGATTAAGGCAATACCCATTGCCTCTTAACTAAGTGTACAGTGTGCATTGCATTAACTATGGTACAGTTAATACAATGCACACTGTATGGTGGTGTCGGAACAAATCGCCTCACTTGCGACTACCCGCATTAGTCTCGACTACCACGTGCAGAATTTATAGAAGTGATAGGTTAGGATTGGTTATGTTTTGTTACATAATAGCTAGGATAGGATGATCATTTTAAGTTCTGAATAATTTTCAATAGGGGGCAACTTGACCTGACACCAGTATGATATTCAGTCAACACATTTCTAGTTTGAAGCATTAACTCTTATCGTTCTCTAGTTGACTTGAAACATGTGCTGAAGTCTTGTAAATAAGAGGGTCTTAATGGGCAGAGTTTCTGCCACTCTGATGCCCCTGTTCACCTAAGAGTAAATAGGCACCTGGGAGTTAGACAGCTGCTAAGGGCTGCTTCTTGGAGATGTGTGACAAATAGGTCTAGTCGAGGACTGGGCTGCAGGGATGCTAAGCCCTGAAATTATCTCAATATAACCTCAATATAAGATACCCCAGTTTATTACCGTACCACACATTGCTGGTGCATTATAGTACTATTTACCTTAATTATTACACAAATAATGATTTCAGTCATATTGAGTATGTTGGGGTGGGTGGGGAACAAGGTCCAATTATTGTAATTTGAATAAAATCTAACTCATCATTCTGACCTAATTTAAATTGTCTGATTATTCTTCAGTACTATCTAACATAGGTAAAACAAAAAAAATGTGATATATATATATATGTATATATATATATGGGTATGTATATGTATATGTATAAATATATATATGTGTTTCAGATACACTAAGAAATCATACTAATAACATGATACTGTATATATCAAAGAGAAAATCAATTGGAGCTGGAGCATATGGTTATTGAACTACTGTACCTACTACAGAGTGCATGGGGGTTATATGTAATATTTTTGCTTCAGTAGAAACCTTCAGACTTCTGAAGTCTGGCAGTCCTTGTGGGGCAGTGGTAAGATACATCGGCCTGAGCTTCGTGAGTGATTTGGCCTGGGTTCGTATCCTGCCAACGAGGATTGACTAGGTGCCAATCCTTAACGGTACACCTCTGTTCACCCAGCAGTGAATGGGTACTTGGTTATTAAATGATTTGGAGGGTTTTATTCCAGGGATAAATAAGATCAAGGACCTGCCCAAAATGCTATGCTCGTTAGTGGCTTTACAAGAATGTAAGAACTCTTACATGTATAAATAAAATAAAACAGTTTTACAGTATAACTTACACCATGTCATGGTACAATAGTAAAGTGTACGGCTGGGAGAACCTTAATCACTAGTACGAATCATCTCATTACTCCAATTGATTTTCTCGTGTGATATGTTTAATATTAAATTAAGGGAAGGAAAGTATCAGAAGAAAGTACTAAGCTTTACAATTACAGTATATAGCATCGTAGGGGGGCCTCGTAGCCTGGTGGGGGGGCCTCGTAGCCTGGTGGATAGCACGCAGGACTCGTAATTCTGTGGCGCGGGTTCGATTCCCGCACGAGGCAGACACAAATGGGCAAAGTTTCTTTCACCCTGAATGCCCCTGTTACCTAGCAGTAAATAGGTACCTGGGTGTTAGTCAGCTGTCACGGGCTGCTTCCTGGGGGTGGAGGCCTGGTCGAGGACCGGGCCGCGGGGACACTAAAGCCCCGAAATCATCTCAAGATAACCTCAAGATAGCACCTGGAAGGGATCAGGATAACAATTTGTGATGGGATGGGGGGAAAGGAATGGTATCCAACCACTTGGATGGTCAGGGATTGAACGCCAACCTGCATGAAGCGAGGCGGTCGCTCTTCCATCCAGTGACGGTAGAGTGACGGCCTCTACCTATTTGTACATACAAAATTACTCTGGCTGTTAGCAAAATTATCTTTTTGACTTGGTAGGTCTAATAATGTGCTTTTTGCTGTTTGTACATACATGCATGCATACATACATACATAAATACATAAATACATACATACATACAATAGACATACATATAGACATACATATAGACATACATATAGACATGTACAGTATGTGTGTGTGTGCTTTATTCATGCACAATCTATTCGTGTGTACATTACTGTATTCCTTGTACTTTTTATTATTGACAGATATTAACTTGAAGGGAAATCCTCTCAATGACCGGCGCTTCCGAAAACTGGTTGAATCTGATCGTTGCCTTCCACGTCAGGTGATAGACTACATCAGGCAGCATTGTCCAAAATCTTCTCCAGATGGAACTAGTGGAGCACAAGGCAAGGGCAAGAAAGGAAAAGGGAGCAAAGGAAAAAAAGATGAGGTAATACTACTATAATTTGTAAAATGATTTTATTCTGTTTTAATATTTAATATTTAGTTCTCAGTATTGATGTGTATGGTTTTATTGTGTTAATGTTTTACTATTTGTTGGCAAAGTTTTCCCTGAGATATCTTGACAATTTATTGTACAGTATTGAAAGTTATGACACCTGTAGGATTCTTATTACAAAATATTGATATGGTTTTCACTATTTCTGTGCAATACCTTAATGTCTCGTTAATTGACTGAAACTTGGAACACTTACATATTATCAGAAAACTAAGCTTGTTGGGATTGAGCAATTTCATTCTCTTGAGTAATTTGAAAGTCTGGACATGAATGAGCTCTGTAACCCCTAAAAGTTAGTTATCTGGTATTTGGGACTTTAATTTCTGTACACAGTCGTATCAACTACATCTAGTTGGTCAGGCCATCATTATTGGCTTAAATCACTTTACTTTAGAATGCACAGTATTTACAAGATTTAGGTATCCCTGGAAGGCATATCTAGGTTTTCACATTCAGTATTTTTGTTTTGTTTTCCTATTACATTGTCCCCCAAGGTAAAATGTGCCTTGTTTAGTTTACAGACCAGGATTGTGAACAGTCAATTCACACAAGAGAATAGTTAAATTATAATGCCACAGGTGCAACAAGGCTAGGAGGTGTTGCATAATGAGCTGAACCTCACTTCCCTGTTGTCACTGATATGTAAGTTAGGCAAGATAACATTCTGGCAACATTTCCATAGGAAATTTTGTCATCATTTCATATGAGGGGTCACTTGAGTTCTTGCATTTATGTTTATATAAAGCAATACATTTGCAATTTTTTCTATGCTATGTTTTATGATTATATTTGGTGTGGAATTTAGTTATTTTGCTAATTTGTTCTATTGTGTTATGAAGACTGAAAAATATGGGATTTATGCACTGAGGCCTGCCCCTAGGACTTGTATCCTCATGCTAGGCTTTTGTGAACTTGCCTCTAGCTTGAAAAGTATCTGCAAATGGTCTTGTAATGGAAAATATGATGAGACTAACCCATGACTTACAGGAAACAGGATTACAGTGAAAGATAATTAGAGGGAATGCATTCGTACATGTCAGTGTTTACAGATGGTACAAAATTAGTGTTTACCTATTGAAATAAAAATGTGAGGAAGAACTTGTACTCAGAATGGGTAGCAACAAGGAAAGGGAATTGTAGGATTGGTTGATAGGTAAGCACGTCCACCATGTAATCATTGCACCCTTCTGTATTTGTTACGCCACTACTTTTCGTATCGTGAGAAGTGACGGTTTGGGGAAACCTCTTGATAAGTTATGATCAAATCATTTCTAGTGTTTTTTTTTTTTAGGGGGGATATGTTTTTTAAAATTAAATATAATAATTTGTATGCATTTTGAAAAGTCCTAATGCAAGTACTGTATTGTCTAATTTTTGTCTTCCACTTCAGGTTGATGTTTTGTTAGACGAGCTACAAGTGCTTAGTGTGAAGGAAACGTTTCCAGTAGTGCAAGTAGCTGCATCTGTGAAGGATATTCGGCCTTACATCGTTTGTTGCATACTTCAAGGGGTAGATTTAAGTGGAGACAATTTGAGGAAATTTATTTCTGCTCAGGTAAGCAAAACACTCCTGTTTAAGGCATTTTTCATTTAAATAATTTACATGAAAGTATTTTTTGTCAGCTTTCTGCCACTCATTATAGTGTTTCAGAAATACAGTACATTGTACCGAGTTATACCCTAACTTCCCTATAAATTGCATTATAGTACAGTGGAATCTTGAGTGATGATCGACTCTAGTTAGGAGTATTTCGAGTAACAAGCGAGCCACTCGCAGAAAATTTGTCTCGTAGCAAGGTTTTGCTCAATTAACAAGCAAACCATGGTGCTTCCTAGCGTTCCCGCTGGTTCTTGGACGCCTCCGACGACAGTGTTGTTGTTGTTTCGCAAGATGAGCTTTTCACATGATGAGCTCAGTGCTGGAACGGATTAAATTCGTTAATCAAGGCGCCACTGTATATAGTTTAAGATCCAATTAAATTTGTTTATAAAACTTTTTACATAACCTACAGCATAAGTATTTGAATGTTGAGTAATCCAAGAATTTAGAGATGACACTATCTCCAGCATTAACGAAATGTCCAAGTATGTAATGAGGATGACACGTGTATTATCCAAAGTCCTAGCTAAGTATCCCATGTTTACCTATTGTAGATCAGAAAAGCACTATCTTTAAGCTTGTATTTCTCAAAGTCTCTTGAACTTTGGCACTGTATTAACCATACAGAAAACACTGTAATTAAACTTGATGACTTGTAACTTGATGACCAATTTGAAGGAATTGAAAACTGTAAGTAGTTCACCAAAAATATAAACTAGTTAGCTTGAAGAACATTGGATTTGAGTTCCTAAACTCATTATGTGACTTTAACTTTTCTGCCACTGTCTAAACTATGAGTATGAGTTCTATATTAAAGTAATAAATAACCTCAGTTTGCTGTTCATCCACAGCTCATACTGTAACGACAGCATTGGCTCTTCAGGCTCCTTGATCAATAGTATAGTATTTATGCAGCAACTCTTGCTTCCTTACAGTTATGATTATTTAGGCTTTGTGATTAAATTCTCTTACTTATCCGGCAGCTTATCTTATTGTATATTACTGTATTAATTTTCTTATTCTTTTTTCTTAAAAGACAAAACTGCACGATGGTTTGTGTGAGAAGAGAATGGTCGCCACAATTGCAACGCATGACTTGGCAAAATTAACGGGCCCCATCAAATACATTGCTGAATCTCCAGAAGAAATTCGTATTCATCCATTGGTGAGGGGCAAAGAGGTATCAGCCAAGGAATTATATAAGGGACTGAAACAGGAAGCAGAGTTACAAAGAAAGCAGCAAAAGAAGAATTCTGTTCCAGGTCTATACAGGTGTGTATGCTGTAGTTGCATAATGTACTGAATTAGTACTAATTATCCAATGATAATTACTGTATTTATCACGCTAGCAAACTATCCAGTAATGCACGAGACATTTGGAAGATGGACAGAAGTGTGGTATGTAATGCAGTAAATTTCAGTAGTTAGGTACTGTATTCCTAGTAGTGAAATATCGGTACATAGTAGTTTTCATCACAAAATATATATACTGCATACTCTACATATATTTTTTTTGTTTTGTGTTCATTGGTTTCATTCATTACTCAAATACCTTTGTACAGTAACATCAGACTTATAACATTTATTATTGATCTTTGGCACATAAAGTAACTTTTAGTATTATAATGTGGAAAACAACACAAAGAATTATATATTATAAATGCATCTCATAGCACTCTATCTGCATTGGCTGCTCTTTCCAAGCTGTATGCTCTTGTGCTCCAGGTAGTGGCCACATTCTTCGTCATCTTGTTATCTTATCTTGTTATCTACCTGTTGTGTTGTGCGTGTTGGCAGGTTGTGTTGGCCCAGTCTTTCAATTCGGCATGGGCCCAGGCTCTTGTTTACGATACTGTTCTCTACTCTCCTCTTTCCTGAAGAGGCTTTGCAGTTTCTTTCCTCTGTGACCACTGCTTGTAGGCCTATCTTGGACCTCCTTTGTTCTCAGGTTTCGGTCTTGTTCTTGGAGGCAGTTGGGGCGTCACATGCTGTAGGTCGAACTAGGCCTTCTGTTGAGCCAGGTTCTGGGTCACATGCACTTCTAGCCGGTCCTTCTTCATCTGGTCGCCATTATGCTCACTCTTCATGGATGGCACTAGTTTCTTGTGGTTTGTGCTAGCCCTTTCCTAGTTTGTCCCTTTGGGGGGGGGAGGAGGTTGAACTCGCCCAGCTTGGCAGATCTTGATCGCATGATTTGTGAGCTTTTCGGGTCATTTCATGCAGCCTGTAGTGTAGTTGGTCAGTTCCTACCCCCCTCCGAGGGTTTGGGTCTTGGGTTCAGGTAGGCTTCTTCCTCTTCCCTGCATCGCGTCATCTTGGAGTAGATGGCTTCTGGCTTGGTCAAAACAACGGCATCTCTTTTGTGGGTTTTTCCCCACCCTTAACCGGTTCATAAATGGGAACCAGTTAAAGGCAGACCTCCACTCCATTCTTGACCTTTTGAGGCTGCACCGGTTCATCTCGTGCCCCATATTCTGAATGCCATTTTGTTCCAGGGTTCACCATAGGGGTCCAGAGGTCACATAGGATCTTCCTGTTAAAAAACCATACTGTGTCTCTTGTTATATCGTTTCTTTCTGAAGTGTACTACCTATTTGGTTTTAACTATTTTCCAATATTTTTACTATTACACTTGTCAGTGATACAGGTCTATAATTAAGAGGGTGCTGCAGCTTCCATGCTGCCACTTTTGTAGATAAGCCCCGAAATCATCTCAAGATAACCTCAAGATCTCAAGATATACGTCCTAAATCCTGTGGTTTCCCTCCTCCCTGTTAAGTTCCCATATGTTCTTCCTTCTCCATGGGTAGTTAGCTTTAGGGAGCTACAAGGGGGCTCTGCCCAGAAAGCCAACACTGAATGTAATAAAATGTCTATTTCTGTGTGAGTCCCGATGGCCTACAGGTAGTCAGAGGGGTCTTGTTTATGCATCTGCTCCAGACCTGGTAACTCAAGACCCCTGGAGGGGGTGAGCCCCTTACTCCAAAGGGTGGGGAAGATGGGGCAAATGATCTCATGCTAGTTTCTATCATGTTTAAATAGTTGGGAAGTTCAATAGGCAGATTGTGAGGCTCTGGTCTCGCTCCAACCCAGCAGTGGTTTGTTTCGACTTGTTGATTTTCTGGGTGCGTTCCCTGGGGAGGTGGAGAAATAAAAAATGACACCTCTTCCTGCGCCTTTTGTGAGGGGTTTGGTGGAGGGGGAGGAGAGGAACTATCAGGAGAAAGCGCTAAGCCATTATGCCTATATGGCACTTGGAACAGATCAGTATAAGAATTTGGTATGGGATGGGGAGAAAGAAATGGTGCCCAACCACTTGGACAGTCAGGGATTGAATGCCAACTTGCACGAAGCGAGACCGTCGCTCTACCTGCCAGCCCGATTGCTTGGGGAGTGAGAGCAGGACCTAGTTCTTGTTAGGCCTAAGAACTCGACAGCTGATGCAACCTGATGAATGGAAACCATCTCATTGTACATCTTCAAGGAGCCACAGAGCCTTGCAAGAAATCTGCATTTCATTACATTCATCACTGGGTTTTTATGAATGTAACTCCTGTACAGTAATGTGAAAGTTTGTGCAAGGTACTCCTTTCAGATTGATGATTGTAATTTAATTATTGACTTAAATTTTAACATTTTCATCCTATGTCAGTAGTTTTTAATTTATAAAAGTGTACACAAGGTAATTGGATGTTTATTATGAAAAATGTAGTGTCTTTAACATAATGACAATCATTTGACATGACTATGGCCTATAATGTCTGAAGTATTTTTGCAGATTTCTTCACTTAGTCGAGCAGTGGAGCATCTGGCCATGTCTTGTGGATGCAACTGGAAAGGTGGTGTCCCTTCCTCCAATTACCAATTCAGAAAACACTAAGGTAAAAAAAATATTTATTAGGTATCCCTGGTAAATATTCCTTAAGTAAAAATAATAAGTCCTGTATTTTGTGTGATGGTGTCTGGAAAGTCTCTGTTTGGAATTAAGCACTCGGTTAAGGTTGCTGGTTTTCAGCCAGTTGCAAGCAATCTGCAACCACCAGTACAAAAAAAAGTCAAATTGAATTTTGTTTGCAAAATGTTTTGAATTGTGAATTGAATTGTTTTGAATTTTGAAATGTGAATTTTGTTTTGAATGTTGTTTGCATGCATGCTAAAATGAAAATCATAGAAAATAAAAAATTTCCTTTTTGTTTACATCTAGATGTAGCATAATTAATATAGACTGACAAGTGTTGACACATTAAATGCGACATTATTTGTAAAAAAAAAAAAAAAAAAAAAAAGTGGCTGACGATTGGTGCCACCAGAGATGCAGCGATCTGCCACGAAAACAAAGTAGAGTACTTTCTCCAAATCAACTGAAATACAATACAGCACGCCATTGTTATCTTACACATTAATGTCGTGTTCAAATACTCCATGGTTGCTTAGAAAAAAAGCATTGGAGGGTCATGCTTCAATGCACTGTTTCATGTGCATGTATGATAATCACCTAGCATGTCTTGATGCCTTGTTCACTTTTAATTGTTTTGTAATGGCTTAGTGCTTTCTCCTGATAAGAATCTTGCTTACTTTTTAACTGTTTCATGGTATTTTTTCTTTGCACTGTCACCAAACTCTTAACCACCAAAGCTTTACTACAACTACTACTAAGGTTTTTGGAACAATGCTCTTGCTCCAGATAGTGCTTTGGGACTTAATTGGCAACCTGAGAGACCTGTAGTTAGCAGTGTTGGTTCTGATTGTGACTCATACAGAAGTTTAAACCATGCTGCCTTGGTCAGATTTGCACTCGTCGTGTTAGCTGATCATTCCGTGGTTCTGACACCTTCGCATGTTGATTGTTTTGGGCAGGAACTGTCTATTCCATTGGAATCTAGAGTGGCTTCTCAATCTTCCTCGGTTGCTTGAGCTAAATATGTCGAACCTTGGTGGGACTTTATTTCCAGTGCACACCATTCTTGTCAGGTGCTATGGTATCTTTGCTTGTGACCTGCTCATATCACAGTATTAAACAAAATTTGGCACCGCCAGCTACTGTGTGGCTTGGCTCTATCTTCCCTTTGTGCTACAGTTGTTCATTACCTGAACATGGGTGGGTTTTTTTTTTTTTTTTTTTGCACTAGGTCACTTCCATTTTGGGGTTGTACGCTAGCTTTTTAGGGGTGAATCTATTGGATATTTTTAATGTTCTTGTGAATGGTTTCTCTAGCTTCCATCCAAATTTTGAGAGTGGGCAATAGATTTGCCTTTGCAAGTTGTTTAGCTGTCCCCAAGTGAATCTCTGTGAGTTGGACTTAAAATCTTCAGTTCTGTCTTTATATAGCTCCATTTCTCATAGATAAAGCCTTCACTGAATGCATTTCAGGTGGATTGGAATGATTCAAGATTCCTTAATCTTTACTTACTTGTTTAAAAACTACTTTTTGTCCTCATTCCATTCCTGAGGCTATTCTTCCCTTTGAATCAATAGCCAGACTTGTCCGAATAGTTTGACTCCCTCCACTGATGCAGAAAATGTCTCGGTAATGTGGCTGAAAACTAAAACACCCAACCCAGAAATGTGAAAATAAAGGAATTGATAACATTTCGGTCCATCTTGGAGTCATGGATGGACCGAAACGTCACACCGTGAATTACTTAATTTCTGATTTATGGGTTGGGTCTCTCCACTGATATTCAAATTTGGGGTTTTTGTCTTGCGCCATTCCATATATGATGAAAAGATTGCTGATTTTTTAACATCACATTGTACTGTAGGGCAACAATATGAGGTGGCAAGGCATCATTTCTGCATTTGACTCGCCCTTCAAGTATCTTTGGCATTGGTCGTCTCTTCTTTCCAGATTTCTTTCTGATGACCAGTACCATCACCTTTTACTGTTTGCTTATGCAGTACAGTATACCTATGGCTAACCTCCAGGCCCAGACATTCTCGTTATTGAATGTTACTTACCATACTAGTGTGACATTTGTGCAATTGACTGCATTTATGGAATAGTACTGTACAGTGGCAGCTCCATAATTTGGAATGTAGCAGTCCAAACCTAATCCAGATTTGAGCGACATTCAGATTTCCAGACATTTCCCATTTAGGGCAATTTATTGCCAGATTTGGAAAGGTGGATCAAGGTTCGTACTGTTTGTTTACATATGTTCGTATGATTGTTCTGTGAGCATTGGTTTGTTTCACAATGCCTTGCCTTTCTGTATGGTTTGGCTTGATAGCAATGTAGATTGATTTCATATCCTTACTATTTCATCACCTTTGTGAGGGAGCCAGATTCTGGTCCTGTGCTAGCAGGAGGTAAATGCAAGTCATCAAGAAGCCTGACACGAAGTGGCATGTCATTACATTCAACACGTTATTTGTTGGAACCTTGAAAACCTGGATTACTTTGTTTCGGACACTAGCAGACTTTACATTCCTGACACTTTAAAAAAATAAAGGTAGAATAATGCACATTTGTGTACAAACAAGTAGAAATATATAAAGTAGTTTTTAAAAGTAAAATTATTAAAATATTACAAAACTTATAGTACATACAGATTGTATTAGTGTATATACTGTACATTTACTTCACTGTCATATTATTTTGTTTTCTAGGTAAAAGTAGTCAAAATTAAACAGATTTAGTCTACATTGGCTTGAAAATATAACAAAAATCCTTTACATTCACAGATAACACAAGAGACATCAAGTGTATTCGTCGAAGTGACGAGCAGTAAATCATTGCCAAAGGCTAAGGAAGTCATGGATGCATTGGTGCTTTCTGCCTTACAAATTGGAATCAGTCCTGAAAAAAGTGCTGAAGGCAAGATGGTGTTAATTGTTCAACAAGTTCGTGTCGAGGATGAAACTGGAGCACTGCGTGTCATATATCCCTCCCGTGCTGACCTAATTTTTGAAAATGAGAAAGTTAGAGTTGTTAGGGCTGAAAAGTAAACTTAATTTGTGGGTATCTTTTTGTTCCTAAAAAATATGTAATTTAGGTTTATTTTTAAAGTAAGAGTAATATTTAAATTTTATGTTTGTATCCATGATAGTTTAGCTTTTCAATTAGCAGAAATTTTTATTCCAATTTAATAAACTTGGAATTTGTTTTAGTAATTTTCTTGTTTTTTAATGTACGCACAAGTTCAGAAAAAATGTTAAATTTTGTACATAAAATTTAATCCTATGAACCACATTAGTACAGGAGAGTTTAAAAAATATATTTTTTCTATCCATAATGTTTTTACTGATGTCAATTTCATTTTGCTACTTTGTTATGTAAAAGTTAAACCGTACAAGGCATTTTCCTCTTTCAAGAGTCTGGATTGTTCAGCCATTACTGTAGTTCTATCTGCATTACCCAGACAAAATCTTAATATTTGTATAATTACAAATCATACCAGACTGGTATGATTGTGATCTCATAACTCATCACAATTAAAATGTAAAAAAATAAAAACTTTTTCTATACAGTAACCTAGTAGTCTCCAGTTTTTGCAAGATGAACAAATTTTGGAAAATTAAAACAAACCAAAATTATACTCAATCCCTACTTTGACTTTCCATGTCTACTTCAGCATAAACTACATGGTATTCGAGGGTACAGGAAGGCTGAGTTCGATGAAATTAGTAAATGCAGTAAATGTCTGTCTAACCTTATGGCTAGACAAATTAAGGGAAACCCCTAACTCTGGGTTTATAGTATACTAGGTGTGGTATCCAACATTTCCTGGGTCTCTCTCTCTCCCATATGTCTAATCTATCCATCTCGGTATTTATCTGTATCAATCCACTGATCTATTCATGTCTCTGCTTCAATATATAATTGTCTAATGTGTGGGTGGTTGCCAATGAAAGGATCTTTGTAGTATGGGGGGAAGAAAACAACTTGCCGAGGCTTGAGAAAACTTGGCAGCTGAGGAAGAATCGTCTGTTGTGAGTACGGGCAAATTGTGGACAGCAAGAAAGTGCTGATAATTTTCCAGATATCAGTGCACATTGCTATAAAGAAAAAAAATGGTTTTGAGCAGTTTGAAAAATATTAAGCCGTGTAGCTGGAGGGTAGTGCAAAAATTTGTTGGTCTGAATGTGACCCTGGCCTGCTGTTACCTTATTGAAGTCTGGTGACCCTAACCAGCCTATGTTCATCCTGTACCCCAGACCATTCCCTCTGCCAATTTGGGTGAGGATAGCCCCGTGTGGCCTCCAATTTCGAAGACGCGTGCATTCTTTCAGATACAAATGCCAACTAAGAACTTGTATGTACACAGTCATTAAAATTGAAGGATGCCTCCACAAAACTAGAAACTGTAAGAATACCACATTATTGCCTGTTAGATGAAACCCTGTTGTTAACCTGACCTATTGATCCTGGATATCTTGCCTAAAACAAATGTAGATCTGCATAGGTCTATTCCCAATCTTGTATGCAACCTGGGAATTCAAAAATTAGATCATCAACAGCTACTTTACCCACATGACTAGAAGCCACTAAACAGAAGTTCACAAGAAAACAAGTGGAATTGTCCAAAAGTAAAAGTCTCAAGATTATTGAGCAGCATCTTGATCTGAGGAAATTGCTATAAGTTTCTTGTCAAGTGCAATCCAACTAAATCTTATCTACAGTAGGTGCTTCAGTATCCTTAAGTAATTAATTATCAAAAGAAGGCACCAAACCAGGAAGGCTATGTAACATCACCAAATGTGCAGAGTAATCTTGTAAGTCGAGGTGCAGAATACTCTTTCCATTTCCAAGTGGTCTGAGGGGTAAAATGTTATACCTTTATTAAATTAAACTAAAATATGTACAGTACTTTGTTTTGCAGTACATACTTAAGTAGAGGGCTCATTCATTTACAAATTTTATTTACAAATTTTATTTATTTATTTAATATTTTACGTACAGCATTTAACAAGTATTGTACATGAAAATTATCACACGTTTATTTCAAGATAATATTAATCAAATTTATGATCATTATTTGATATTTTACTCATAAAACCATTATAGAAATCTTGAGCATTCATTGGCTTGCGCCCCTTTATTACAACTTTTCGAAAGCTTACCCACCCGTCCAAACACAGGACTCTCAGCACTTTCAATTTTTTATCAAATGCTACTGTTCCATGAAGGCATATTTTTACATTCTCAGCATTATGGTTTTCTGTTCTAGTGTTATATTCATTTAAACTCATCCCTGCAGTACTCATGATTTCATGTTTACTCGTCACTAAATGTTCCTCACTGTTTTTCATAATAATTTCTTTGATCAGTTCACTGCTATGAGCTTCACCTTCCTTGATATATTGTGGTTCTCTTTTATCTTCACGTTGTTGCTGTGCTTGTACATCTAACTGTGAATGTGACCATTCTTCTTGCATAACCATATCTCTAAGTTTGATTGGTGTACCATGCCATACTGTCCATAATGGGAAGTAGTCATCAAAGGCCCTGTACATGGCTTGGATTTTATGACATGTGAAGCAGTGCCAGTGAATCTTAGAAGAGGCCTCACTAATTTTAGGTGCTGAAAGGAAAAATTTAAAAAATCTTGCTTTTACCTTGGAAATAATGCAGCATTAAATAATAGTATATTCATTATATGCAACTTTTACTTACCCCTAGACATAAAATATCAAGCATTAACTACATTAATAATGATGAGGCAAGATACATTAAACACATTAAACATTAGACAGAATAATCAACTGTAGCGAAACGATTTACCTTTAGTAACCCCTTCTTCAGTTTGTGGTACGGCAGTTCGTAATTTCTCTGTTAGGTTCTCCAACACAGATATTAGCTCCTGGGCTCCAACATGAGCAAGATGTTTGGTTAATGCACCACTCTTTGTGTCCCAGGAAATGGGAACTGTAACTTTGCTCACCATCTTTCCCACATCAAATCTATTGGACATAAACAGGGTTCATTATAACAACATGGAACTGCATTGAATGTGAAAAGAAGGCCTAGATTATTTAAATTTCAGCTATTAAAGAAATTATGGCATGTAATATCTATATATCATCTTGAAAAGGAATCGATTATAAAAAGGTAAGTGAACGTCCTAACTTGTGTTTATTGAATGGTGCAAGTGTTGTACAAAAATTAAGTTGCTGCTCTATTATCCCATATCCAAATTAAATGCAACTTGTGTATCTGGCTTGAAAACATTGCAAAATCAATTGGATAGCCTCCAGAAACAGTGTTACAAATTATTAACACGAGGGTACAGGAGTAGAAGCCTTCCAACTCATGTTTACAGAGTAAGAGTCCCCCTCTCCCACAGCTCATTTTATAGTCTTACCTTATATATATTCTCCCAGAACACAATCTGTCAAATGTTTGCATCCCGGTCCCTAACTACAACTGGGTGCACAGTAGTAAACAATGAAGGTACACTGCCCAATTGTTCCACCCTTGTTGCTAACCACAATAAGTAGTTAATTATCAGGAAAATCACTAAGCCAGTGTGACTATATAGCGCATGGAAGGAACTTGAAGACAGGATAGGAGTTTGGATAAGAATTGGAAGGAACAATTTCCATCTAACTGGACCCTGAGGAATCAAATGCCAACCTTTACGTAGCGAGGTACTGAATGGTACCTGAATTCGGGAGCCGGTCGGCCAAGCGGACAGCACGCTGGACTTGTGATCCTGTGGTCCCGGGTTCGATCCCGGGTGCCGGTGAGAAACAATGAGCAGAGTTTCTTTCACCCCATGCCCCTGTTACCTAGCAGAAAAATAGGTACCAGAGTGTTAAGTCAGCTGTCACGGCTGCTTCCTGGGGGTGGAGGCCTGGTCGAGGACCAGGCCGCGGGGACACTAAAGCCCCGAAATCACCTCAAGATAACCTCAAGATGGTTCAAGTGGTTGGGCTGCCAACCACCGGGTGCAGACATACTGTACTGTGGACAATTAACAATGTCTGGCAATCCCTTCACCAGCTCCTACTCCTCCAGAAAGAAGTACAGTATTTCAATACCCTCGAAGATATATAATTACCGCATTTTCCAAGTTTACTGCTCTACTTGTATAACTTCCATGTCCCTTGAACTTCGCATAGAGAGTAGAATGTCAATTAAAATTGGGGTCTCGGCAGTCAGTCAGGTTCATTCTCGAGTCACAATCGGTAATTCTGGGTTCAAATCCTAGGCGGGACAGAAATAGCTGGGTGCACTTCCTATTACCTAATGCCCTGTTCAGCTAGCAGTAAATAGAGACCCAGGAGTTGATCAGCATGGTGCAGGGTTGTAATATGCTGACTAACCAATTGATTGATATTGATTGTTGCCACCAGAGGTGGCTAGTTTATTGTGCACCCCATACTCGTCTCGTGAGTGGTAGCACAAAAAAGGATTACTGAGGGCACAAAAAGTCTATCAGACTTCAACCGAGATTATTACATTAACAATTAGATCTATCCTACACACTTATATTTTAATGTCAGCTATCTTGAGATGATTTCGGGGCTTTTTAGTGTCCCCGCGGCCCGGTCCTCGACCAGGCCTCCACCCCCAGGAAGCAGCCCGTGACAGCTGACTAACACCAAGGTACCTATTTAACTGCTAGGTAACAGGGGCATAGGGTGAAAGAAACTCTGCCCATTGTTTCTCGCCGGCGCCTGGGATCGAACCCAGGACCACAGGATCACAAGTCCAGCGTGCTGTCCGCTCGGCCGACCGGCTCCCTGGTACGCTAGTTACAGCTAGTTACAGAGATTGTTCCAATTCAATAGCAATGTATTTACAGTCATTCATTATACATTAATGGTAGGCCATTTTGTTAATACATAATTATCTTGAGCTATGGAGATATTACAGGGTCATAGGAGAGCTGCTGTTTGTTATTATTAGTCTTCATAATACAGTACGCTACTTGCTTCCTAATCTCATAGGCTATTTATTTACTGCAAACAAAATATGGATACAGTGCAAGGATTTCAGATATGTTATCCTTAATAGTAAGATGATTTGATTGTTTTTATTGTTGCCCAAATTACTGACCATCCTAGGGTCAGTAATTTGACTGTATATACACTGGTTGCCTGTCTCCCAACACAATGAATTATTAAAATGCTTATATCTTAATTATTTAAAACAAAGAAAACAGTTATTATGAACTAATTTAGCATTACCTGTCTTACCTGCGAGGTTCAATTCTCATTATTGTTATTCCAGTTTCTCGGTCATTATTTAAAACAGCATGAATAGTCGGTGCTGCTCCTCTCCATCGTGGCAAGAGTGAACCATGAACATTGAGAATGCCCCTGTAAACAGTACAGCAACATCATTAGTTGCAGAAAATTTACCAATGGAATGTATTAACCATAATTGAACTTTCACTTTATAAAAGAAGAATGATGAGCACATTATACATTTGTTCAATTCTATTTATTATTATTTTGAAGGAAGCTATGTAAATTTTAATTTCCACATTGCTTCAATGAATTATAGCTATGTTCAATGATAATGCAATGAAGCTTTCATGAGGCATCATAAATACACTATTACAGAAATGTAAAGTACCTGTATGCTTAAAATATGAAACTATTTTGCACTTTTGAGATGGTATCCAACAAATTGAACTCAACTCAAACTTGGCTCTTCAATATGACTGGGTTAAAGAAAAATATTTGCCTTTCATGTTTGCAAGAGTGGCAAAAGAATGGATTGGGACGAGAGATCCTAATATTAATACCGTACGCTATACAGTTTTTATCACTGAATGCATAGGAAAATATACATATACTGTACAGCCGAAATAGAATAATAATATAAATTTTATTTATATAAAGCGCATTTGAAACCATGATACAGTGGATTTTTCGTAAGTACACACCAAAATATAGTGCTCTAATGGTGCACAAAACACAGGAGAGGCTACTGGAAGGAGCAGGCAAAATACAAGAAACCACCCAGTTCCATTCTGTAGACCATGTACAGTACTTTCATAAATGCCCAATTCTTTTTAATGCAATAGTGCTTCTCATTCTGGGTTCTGTAGTTTTTAGAGCAATTCCTTTTGCTTGATTTGCCCTCACTGCTCCCACTCTGATGTTGGTGATGCTTTGCAGTTACTCAAAAACTGGTTCAGCGAGTGCTATGTGTAAGGCATTCTATATTCTCTAGTGAGAATGACCAGGTTAAGCAAGCGAGCAGTGAGATAATGGCATATGCTGTATTTAAAGTATAAAGTACCTTATGTTGGACATTTAAAATATCTAGTCAGTTCAAAATATAGGAAATGTTCCAATGAAGGTTCCTTCTAGCAGTAAATGCAAGAGATAGCCTTATGTGATAAATTTTTAAGAGATTAGGAGGTAATTAAGAAGCAGCGAGTGACTTTTCCAAGTCTTGTGTATGTAGCATATAAAGTGAGCAGGGCAACAATTTTTAAATTTTGAATGCAAAATCTAAGCACTTTACACATTAAAATGAAAGTGATGGGATAATGCTGTGGCTTAGGTGCTTTAAGGTGTTAATTACTGTAGGTAATAAATGCATGCATGTGGCTCATCCCAGTTAGATGAGTTTGGAGCCGAATTAGTATTTTTGTAAACTGCCTTGTATAGACTTGTGGGGCCACTTATTAAACCACTTGTGATATAAAAAACTACAGTATATATGTACAGTTTATATATTGACCAGACCACACACTAGAAAGTGAAGGGATGACGACATTTCAGTCCGTCCTGGATCATTCTCAAGTCGATCAATCGACTTGACAATGGTCCAGGACGGACCGAAACATCGTCGTCCCTTCACTTTCTATTGTGTTATTGTGTGGTCTGGTCAACGCACTTCAACCACGTTATTGTGACTCATCGCCTGCATACAGTTTACATATTTGTGTATATATATATGTTTTCACGTAATGACCCTCCTCATGCAGGAGTAGTAACTACCTCTGCAGTAATCATCTATTGTATTGTATAAATTTAGGTTAAGACTCATTGCTATATTAATATTGTGTGGCATCTTGTGTAACACGATCATGTGGGATTGCTCAGAACTTTGTACCTCTACGGATGATGCCTTCACTAGTTTCATTGCCGGCTGATCATTGTGACGCAAACCCACCACTGCCACCAGGTGTCTAGACATCTGGAGGTGTTCTCATAGGTAACTCAAGCCCTGACAGTTAGTCAAGCTCGGTGCTCGTGGCAATAACACACTACCGCTCCTAGTAAAATTGCTTAAGTGTTCCAATAGGAGTTGTGGTGTTTTTGGTTACTATACTGTATAGCCCCTTGTATATTATATTTTTTTTTTTGTATCTGTGTCCAGGTCATGGAAGTTGAAATAAGTATTAACTTTGATTTTTTTCTCTTAAATATTATACAGTAATCTAAAGTGAACAGACAATTGTATTCAGGTATTAAAGTAACTTATTTTGTTTTATTAACCACTGTACTGCTGTGCTATTTTTGAAACATGAAAACATGTTTTTTAATGTTTTCATCCCTCTGTGTTTTGAAATGAAAATGGTTGAGTTTGGAAACATTTTAACATTAACTTTACCTAAACATTTATAAAAACAACAAAAAATGTCCTTAACAATTGCACTATGAAGATTTTGCCAGTTTTAATGCAAGTTTTTAATTTTGAATACAAGTTTTAAAAAAACTTGTATTTTTAAATTGTTTTTTCCTTTACACTCGTGCCTTAATTTTCACATTACAAAGGTCATGCGTTTATTTTTCATTTAAACCAACTAGGAACAAAGAATTGGTAATATAAACGTTTACTTACATTGGGAATGCTTTAATGACAGCAGCTGGGATAAGATGCCCAAATGAAGCTACAATACCAACATCATAAGTTCCATGTGGCACCGTAACAGGCCAGTCTTGAAGTGGGATACCTTCTTTCCGGCAATATTTTCGAACAGAGGGAATAATTTTCTTCATGGAAATCGATACAACATCCAATCGTCCCACAAGGCCACTGGAATGTAATCTCAATACTGTACTGTGTAATAATGATAATAATTCTCAAACTGGTAATTATAATATAAAAATTAAAATAATAATAATAGCACTTAATAATAATCCAGTCCCCTAATAAACAGACATGTTTCAATCACATGCAAAAAAATGAATGTAATGAAATGCACTTTTGTCATGTGCCAGCAGTAGCTGCCAAGTTTAACTCTACTATCAAGCCATCACTAGCACACCAGGACTCCAAGACCCATCCATCACTTTTCGGAAGTTAAGACCAGTATCTGGCCGACTCAAAACAATCCCAGGAATCAATGTAATTAGACCTTGCCCACAAAATAAAAAAAACCCACCAGAACCATAGGTGAAACAAAATCATTTCTGCCAGGTAAATACCCTAACTGTGATTTATCTGACCAACATCAGATGGCAGCCCAGGTTGGCTTCGGGTCTCAGCCAGCCTGATGCCCCTCCAACTCTGGAGCTACCTGTGCAAAACCCCCACAGAAAATGCAGGGAACAGAGTTACTAGGAACCCACCAGAAAAGGGCATTTCATTATATTCAATGTCTAATTTTTGGAAGGAATACTTTGGTAGCTCCCCCAAGATTGCTTACAATAGCTCCTCAATTAGGGTTGGCTAGTTTTTCTGGAAACAGAAAAAGAAGACGAGCTTCCCTGTGGATGGATAACAGCAGGAAAGTAGAGCTCAAGGAAAAGAATGGAAGCCAGGCACCAAATGCCCAAGTGTGGCAAGACAGAAGGACATCCACAAAGAAATGGCAGCTTGAATATAGCTGTGGGCAGGACTGATAAAACTGTCATCGCAGCAAACACCTGCACATCAGAAAATCTGGAACAAATAACCAGCTTGCTGGTTCAAAACATCACGTGGAAACCTGGGAAAGGCGTGCGTTGAAACAAGATGCATTTGAAACAGCAGCAACAGACAACGTATGTACATGTGGCCTTAAATCAAAGAATCCCTGAAACAGCCAGAGAAAGGGGTGAAGGCACATTCCTGCAACATCTGGATCTGTAGGTTGGTACAAGAATTCAGCCAACTATGAAGCACTTATTTTGATGAGAGGAACAATAAAAAACAGAAATGCACTTATACTGCAGCAGGTTTGGATACCCATGGACTTAGGAAATAAGCTTACAGGTTCCAGAAGAAACTGGAACTGCCCGAAACGCTTTGCGTAATAGTGGCTTTAGGCATTGTATGTACAGTACTAGCTCTATCTATAAATGTACTTTACCTGAATAAATATTTGTATTTGTAAGAGAGGAAATGTCAGCTTGGTGGAGAAATACTTGACAGACTACTGAAACATTTTATTTATTTATTTATTTATTTATTCATTTATATATACTGTACATATATACACGAAGGTATATTGGGAATGTGAGGATACATAGCATAAGTGATTACATTCTTGTAAAGCCATTAGTACTCGCAGCGTTTCGGGCAACATTATCTAACATAGTGTAGAATTACAAACCAAATAAGATTTCAACTAAGATTTAATGGCACAGAAATGAGCGTTAAGAGTTACAATTCATACTTCAATATTTCCCATGCTCTATGGGCTGATTTCACTGAGCAAAACTTTAGTTTCAATGTGTCATATGAAGGACAACTACCATGAGAGCCTGTCTGTAAAGAGAGTGAACCACATCTAGCATATTTCCCATGTTCAAACCTTGAAAACTAATTTTCTAATAAAAGGGCCTATATTTTACTGAAAGGAAACCTCTGCAACTGGAAATAAAAAAGAATCATAGAATTTGGTTTTATATATGCTCCATGGCTTTCCTAAGCCCCCCAACTTTTTCTCGTAATGTTGCCTCCACCTGTGCTCTCAGTCCCAACATCCTAAGCAACTCCACACATCCCATGCTTCTTGTTCGTTGAACTGAGTAAATCCTACATGAAAAATGTGTGCTCCATCCGGAGATTTCCCCAATCAAGGTTTGTTGAATCGAGGTTCCACTGTACAGTATTGTATTATATCACCTTGGAAAATTTAACTATGAAACTTGAGAACTCAAACTTAGCCTAAAGATTGTTTGAGACCTTTACAAGTCAAGCCTGGCCTCGGGCCGGGTTTGAGGAGTAGAACAACTCCCAGAACCCCATCAAGCAGGTGTCAAGCAGACCAAGACAAACACATTAGTGCTAGTACAAAACAGTTAATCTATACGCAAAACACACACTATAAATTGTCAGTGTGCGGAATTGTATACCATACAGTACTCATACAATGTCATACTATGCAACATAATCATTTCATAAGATGGGCATTATGCACAGGCTATATTTTTTCATTTGTATATAATTTTCAACATTTATATATACATATATTCACATTATATATACATATATTCACATTATATATACATTATACATTTATATATACATATTTCAACATTTTATTTCATAATTGGTCAAAATTCTGTACAACCACACTACAATATTTAGAGTCCCGGTAGTACAGTCGGGTTTGTTCTCGACGCACAATCAAGAATTCCGGTTCGAATCTTGGGTGGGACAAAAATGATTGGCCACATTTCCTTTCACCTAATGCCTCTCTTCACCTAGTAACAAGTAGTTACTCAAGAGTTAATCAGCTTGTTATGGGGTTGCATCCTGGGCGGGGTCAGCAATTCGACCCTGGGGGTTGGGGAGGGGACCCTTTGATAAATGCCAAACGTGTTTGAATACACTCTGGCTGCCTGTCCCCCGACACAATGAATTAATATTTATTTATTTATTTATTTATTTATATATATACACAAGAGTTCTTACATTCTTGTACAGCCACTAATATGCGTAGCGTTTCAGGCAAGTTCTTAATCCTATGTTCCCTGGAATATGACCCCGCAAAAAATTGTTTAACAACCAGGTACCCATTTTACTGTTGGGTACCTGGTTGTATCCAAATCCTTAACAGAGGCTACAGTTAAGGATTTGCGCCCAGTAAATCCTCCCCAGCAAGGATACGAACCCAGGACAAAGCGCTCGCGGAACGCCAGGCGAGTGTCTTAACCACTATACCACGGAGACTGCTCCGTGATGAATATGTAGAATACAGTAGAATATGATCTACTGTACACACATTTCACTTTATGAGGGATACAAGCAAGTAATAGTTTAAAAATACGGTTATAAAATTAGCAAAACTGTTAGCTAGCGTGATTTAGACAAACTGTTTAAGAGGTTTTGAAAATACAGTAGATTGGATAGATTAGATATATGGGCGAGAAGGGTGGGTTTAAATCTATACCCTTCTAGTATGAACCAATGGGCCTGCTGCATTGCTCCTTAACATAAAAATTAGGTTCAAAACATCATGAAAAATCCATCAGCAATAAACTAACCTGCATTCTATATCACATAGCTTAAATGCCAAGAGAACGAGTTGCAAATTATAACATATTACCATGACATAGTGATGATATTGCAGGGAATTAGTACCCATTGAACACCACGCTATATTCACCTCGTTTGCTGCTCCCGGTGGAGGGCACTTAAACTTTGCAGAGAAAAGTCATCAGTTCCAAAAAACATTATGTCCCAGGGTGGTGAAGACTTGGGGGTGTGTTGAGAGGGTCTCTCACCGGAGCGTAGGCACAAGTGTTTCTCACCGGAACGTAGGCCCAAGTGTTTCTCACCGGAACGTAGGCACGAGTGCTTCTCACCGGAACGTAGGCACGAGTGCTTCTCACCGGAGCGTAGGCACAAATGTCTCACCGAGACACCCGGCTCCCACAATCTTCCACGTTTAAACCAGAGAAGTGTTCCTAGTTTAAACTGCAAATTCATTCTGCCAATTATATTGGCTTTTCAGTTGCCATAGATGTGTCTTAATGAGCTGCAAGTGTGGTAACTTTAATATATTTCTGGCCCGAAGGAGGGTATTAACGACTCGGAGTATTAACAAAACAAGATTGTTGCCACAACTAGGCACTTCTGTCTGTACTGTAAGGCAAGGTAATTATTAGCAGACGGTGCTAAGCCACTAGGAATATATATAGTCTCCTGTACAGTGTGGTTGGCAAGAGGTAATTACACGTGTAATTAATGGCAAAACACAACCCGGCTGACAAGTGTTTCTCCACAACCCTTGGCCAGGTTGAGGTCTTCTTGATGGAGCATCATAATCTAAGTGTGTCTGCTCGTTGTTACCTATATTCACACATGGATATACGAGTCTTGTTGTTTCTTGCTTCATATTTCTCGTAAGATGTCAACAAGTAAGGTAGATGAGCTGGGAGGGCATCCCATCACTGCCCGCTCCTCATTGATCACAATACCTACACTGCTTCACTTCAGCCTCTCTGGTAAGACCACAACGCGTGAATAATCTTTCTTTCATGTACGGGCGGTTCTTACAGTTTCTGATGGGTATATAACTGTGTTCAGACGGTCCCGTCCCCGGCACGCCGTCAGGGCCCCGGGCGTCAGCTGGCACTGAGCTACACGGGGGGCAGAGTGGGGTTAATATCTCTGCTCAGGGGACTTACCGCCATCTTGAAGTACCTTCTCATAGCTTCAGCACACTATAATTCATTGTAAAAATGAATATATTTAATAATCATGAATAATTTTGTAAATTATATATTTACTTTTATTATTAATAAATGACTTGCCCAGAATATTTATTGACACAAACATAATAATATTTTCTGTCAATAAATATATTTGCCTGTTGGTATTCAAATGCCTTTTGGCAATACTACACTATTTTAGGAAACTATAGAGCTGACATAAGGGACGGGAGACATCTTCCGTCATGCAGGGTGCAGTCGCACCTCCACAGATCTCCAGTATCAGCTCTTGATACTGGTAATGGCTCAAAAGGGCCACCACTTACGGGCTATTCATGCCCGTGCCACCTTTTGGGTGGCTTAATCTTCATCAATCAATCAATCCCTGATAGCAATGACTTCAGACCATATGGTATGAAGGGAAGGGAACTATCAGGGGAGCGTACTAATCAGTATGACTATTTGGCACTTGGTCAGGATAAGGATTTGGGATGGGACGGGGGGGAAGGAATGGTGCCCAACCACTTGCACGGTCGGGGATTGAACGCCGACCTGCATGAAGCGAGACCGTTGCTCTACCGTCCAGCTCTAAAACTGTGAGCTCTAAAAACTCAGTTTAAAAAGAAGTTGAGCTAAAAACCGCCCAGCTCTAAAACGTGTGAGCTCTATAACTGCTTCATATTCCCTCACAACGATTCGAATATATTCACGTGCTCTACCCAGAGTTTGCTAGTACAGGCTAGTAGACTTAGACTTGCATCTCGATGTTTCTTTCTGATTCCATTTATGATTAACTATCTTGCGAGATGGGGGGTGTTATAGATGAGCTCATATTAGCTGTCTCTTGATCCATACTCCGCTCTCTTTCATTTAGAATAGGTCAACAGCACATTGTCGTGTGTACCTAAGCTTTTAACGAAAAAAAAGCACTTTTGGCAAGCCACCGGCTGCCTATAGTGGAATTTCCATAAATTTAGGTAAAAATCCAATTAAGGAGCCGCCTGCATCCGCGGAAGCTGTAAATGCCAAGACATAATTAATAATAATTATATAATTATTAATATAATAATTATAATTACATATAATTACTCCCTTTCAAAATCCACTTGGAAAAATTCCTCAGGAACAAAGGATTTGAAATCCTCAGCGGCCTTTGACAAGCCACTGATTATCTGTCTAAGTAGATTCCAATAGAGATATAGTGGCCCTCAGGTAAATTCAGGTAAAGTTGGTCTTCTTCGGTTCAAAAATGAACTAATCAATAGGGTCTGAAACAATTATATCCTAGCTTTTATTTAACTTATTTTTCTATTTTAGATTTTTCAACCATATGATTTTCGTGAGTACAAATAATTAAAGAAGTTATTTAAGTGCCATAATAAGGAAGATTTCATAAGGTATGAACGTGCAATGTTACGCGGGGCTATCAGCTATCGGGGCGCTCTCGTTGATACCAAATATTAATAAAATAAAATAAAATAACACAAATAAGTTATATTACCGTTAGTTAATTCTAATAAAGTTATATGAAACAATAACTATATTTGTCGAGCATAACACAAGAGTTTATACCAGCTCGCTCTCCAGTCTCTACTCTAGTTTGTTTACAAAAGTGGTGGTGTCAGCTGCGGACATTGGCACGCTTATTTAGTAAAATTTTTGCCGATTTGTAGGTTTGTTATCGTGTATTTTATTTTGTTATATTGATAGCCAAAATACAAGAAGTGTCATATTTAATTAATACAAGGTATTAATTAAATATAACCTTAGGTTACCGTCATGGTGGTCTGGATAGCAAGACAATGTTGATTTATTTATTTATTTATATACAAGAAGGTACATTGGGGTGAGGTTAAGAGAGTACATAGCAATGATGATTTTACATTCTTGTAAAGTTACTAGCACGCATAGCAATTTAAGGGCCACGATGGCATGTGCCCCAGTGTTCCCTTGAAGGGTAAAACGCAAAGCCTTATAACAATATTCACGTCGCCTGCTGGTGGAAACAAATATGGCTTCCGGCAAATAAACACATTGCAGGCAGAAGTATAGGGGGCCCCGAAGAGTCCTTCAAGGAGGCTGTCCCCCCCCCCTCCCCACCTCTCAAAGAAAACACTGGGCAGCCAAACAAAGTCGAGGTAGAGATGAAAAGTTCCCTCCTAAACTTGTACCCAAATGGGCAAATATGCAAAAATGTCTTCCAGTAACCTCTGGGAGAGCCGGAGCCAGCTGCCCACCATACTCCGAGGGTACACCAGGAGCTCGCCAAGGCCCTCCAATTCAAGCCACCTCTCGGCCAAGCTAGTGCTGGATACCATCTCTATCGAAGGATTAACCACAAAATGGAAAAATTTATAAACTTCCCTGTGACCTTAGGTGATAGTGTGTCAGACATCCTAACAATTTGGACCATTGAAAAGGAATGCCTCATGGCAGTTTTGAAACTCAATGGGTAAAATTGCATCACATGTTCTGGTGTCCTCAGGCAGAGGGCCCTCAGTCCAGACATCCACTTGTCGTTAAGGTTGAACCGGGAGCCCATAGGTGTATGATGATTCTTGTTGTCAGGGATAAGAACCCATTTCTTAGACTGACTGAGGTCTTCCTTAGGCCAACTACTGATCTTTCCCAAGATGCAACCCACAACAGTTGCCTAACTCTCGGATACCTATTTTAGTCCTAGGTAAACAGTGACATCAAGTGAAAAGAAACGTGCCCAACTGTTTCTGACCCACCCGGGGATTGAACCTGGGTCCCTCGATTGTGAGCCCTTCTAATGAGGATGTAAAAATCATTGCTGAGATATGGGAAAAGACTACTGTATTTAAGGGTGGATATTAGAAAGAATATTTAGAGGTAGATATTGGGAAGAATATTTAAAGGCATGTACTGTAAGTGGTAAGCTTTCCATGGAAGGTATGAGTAAAAGCGATATAAATGTGGAGATGTGTATATTTTAAGAAAATTTAAAGATAATCTTTAAATTATTTTTATTTACAGCTGTAAAGCAGAAACCAAGATGAGTGCATCTGATAGTGACAGTGAAACCTATGGACCACCTTTACGACCTAGTATGAAGACTGGCTCAGTGGAAAAGAACAGAGGTGGGTAAAAACTAATTTTATGGTTGGTGCATTATCTAAGTCATAATATGGGTATTATCTTGACATTTGTAATTTCAGCAGCAGCTAGAGTAGACCTTAAGTTCATGTGGGAATGTATTCATGGTAAACAGCATGCTACTTAAAGGAACAGCTTGTGTTTTTGTTTGAGTAAATGTAAATCGTAGATCTAGTCATAATGAAAAACAGTTGCAATTAACACAAATGCAAATGGTATGTGCATTTAATTAGCAGATATTCATTTATTTATTTCTGACTAAATTCAGTAAACTTGTGAAAACCTTTAGGGAATGGACTAGATTTAATTTAAAAAAAATGCCAGTTATATAAACTAGACTTACATTGAATTGTGAATTTAATTTTATATTACTCTATGTTAATTAAAAATTACTTACAGCCGAGGTAAAATCCCAATCAAATGATGAAAGTATGGATGAAGATAGTTTCCTGCCCGCTTTACCTCCACATTTATTAGGTAAAATAGGAGTGGGCAGCAACAACCAAAGTGCTAGTCTAAATGAGAAAAGATTATCACCAAATCTTCAGAAACAGAACCTACAAAGAATAAGTGATCATTCTCCCAACAAAGCAGTAAAACATGATCTGACACAGAAACAAGACTCCGAGTCTGATGATGATGATGATGATGAAGATGATATGTACGGACCAGCTTTACCTCCACATTTGTTAAATAAAAACCAAGAAAAACGTTCAGCACAGGACAACAGACGCATTGTGGGGCCAACACTTCCCAAAGGTTTTGTTCCTCCTAAAGTGCCTTATAGAGAGAATGATAAGGAAGAAAACAGTGACAGTGAAGACAACAATGATGGATCTGTGATAGGGCCAGTGCCACCCACTGAGGAATTTAATGAGGAAGAATACAGAGTCAGACAATTTGAACTCAGGGCACAGAGAATGAAAGACAGACTGGAAGGAAAAAATATAGTATGTTGCTAATGTGTAATTGTAGCTACTTAATATTAATTGTTGGTATAATTGGCTAATATGAATATACTGAAGATATATTTGTGTGTATTAATACAAAGTAAGTGCAATTCTTCATAAAAATGTTATTAAGATATTACCTCACCTACAATGTTCAACAGGACAATAAAACCCTAGTACGTGAATCATGGATGACAGAATTACCTGAAGACAAACCAAATTTCTGTGGTCTGAGTGCTCGTCAGTTTTTGCGTAAGACTCCACAAGCAAAAGGGGATCGCTCGGGGTGGACTGATACTCCTGCTGATAAAGCAAGAAAATCAGAAGTAAGACCTTTTGAACTTTTTCCATGTGTTTCTTGGGTAATAATTTTGAAGGCTTATAAATGCATGAGGAAGATTCTACGTGGTCTCCACTTCAAAGATGGAGGGATCCCAAGGCATAAATGATAATAATTTATTGCTTATGTTATACAAGTGTATCTTCATGTTTGCTACTGTATAATGAATTATCTTGTAGGTATCTTGTGATGTCTTGCTCTGTTATTATTAGCTTTGTCTCTTGTATTTGTGTAAGAAGGGGTTGTTTCTTGTATAATCCTAGCAAGACTTCTCAGCCCCTTCCAGGCAGCCACATAAAACGTTTAGGATAAACCCAGTTATAAAATAGTGGTGCTACAAGTATAAACATACCATTCAAACAGCAGTAAGTGTAAGAAATAAGATTAGAACAAGGATATAAATTTTATCAAGTCAAGGGAACTAGACAAATTCCTACAGTGTGTGTTTAATTAGTTGGGCTGTCGTCTCTGGGCCTCCATGACTCACGAGGCAATCTGTGTAGAAATTTTAAGAATTTAAATTTTTAAAGAGTATTTGAAAGATTTGTGAAAGGTTATACAGTTTGATTTGCTCATCACATTAACGAAGACTTTTGTATATTCTTGCTTCTCAGTATTCATAAGAGCAATGCCTAATATTGTTTCAAATATCTACTGTATATAAAAAAATTAAATATAGTTTTCCTTATTATATAGCATGCATTCTCTCTATGCACTTGTGTATCCACTCAGGTCCTGAGGGAACCATGGATGTGGCTGACTCCTTAGTCTAGTAGTAACTGATGAGTTGTGTTGTTTACACTGTGTTTCCTGTGTCGGTGCCCATTTTCTCTATCATGATGACCAGACCACACACTAGAATGTGAAGGGACGACAACGTTTCGGTCCGTCCTGGACCATTCTCAAGTCGATTGTGATGAGGAAGTAGAGACAGGCAATAAATAGGCACGAGAGATGAGGAGCAAAGTACAGTAAGGTAAAGTAGAGGGGCTAGTAGTAGGAACTGCAGAGGGCCTATTGGCCCATTCTCTCTCATATTCTTTGCATAAACACTCCCCCCTCCACACTACTAAGTGGCTCCCAGAACTGAAGGGCAAGAGCTACGAGGAGAGGTTAGAAGCATTAAATATGCCAAAACTAGAAGACAGAAGAAAAAGAGGTGATATGATCACTACATACAAAATAGTTACAGGAATTGATAAAATCGACAGGGAAGACTTCCTGAGACCTGGAATTTCAAGAACAAGAGGTCATAGATTTAAACTAGCTAAACACAGATGCCGAAGAAATATAAGAAAATTCACCTTCGCAAATAGAGTGGTAGACGGTTGGAACAAGTTAAGTGAGAAGGTGGTGGAGGCCAAGACCGTCAGTAGTTTCAAAGCGTTATATGACAAAGAGTGCTGGGAAGACGGGACACCACGAGCGTAGCTCTCATCCTGTAACTACACTTAGGTAATTACACTTAGGTAATTACACACACACACACACACACACACACACACACACACACACACACACACACACACACACACGCACGCACGCACGCACGCACGCACGCACGCACGCGCGCGAATGAAGCAAGAGTGGGTGGCATTGGTGGAACCCAGCTGCACATAGAGAAGGAAAGCCTCATGTCAGAAAGGTACATACGTCAGCTTCAGTTCACCCCCATCTTAGCCTCATTATCAGTGCACACAGCACCCACCCACTCATATCTACTTACAAATCACACACACACATCCTCATCAAGACCTTCTACAATACCACATGTCAAAACATTTCTGAAATATGTGACACCAGTGCACATAGCATCCACACATCCATTCCACTCACCCCAACATACCACCTAGGTATATACCCAAATCACAAATTTCAACCACCTACCAATGTAATAACCATCACCTGCTGCCCGCATCTGCCTCATCCTACCTGACTACCCCTCGCAGACAACCAACCCCACACTCCCTATTTTACTATCTCCACATACTTTGAACTATTCAGACAGAGGGAGGGAGGGTAGGTAGGGAAGGCATGTGTATTAAGAATACCTTTAAATATTATTTGAATTTAAGGTAGTCTATACATACCTGGAATAGGGGACTGGGATACTTTCCTCAAGTGACTGTAATTGAAATATATATTTTATCTGTAAATTGGACTTTATAAAAGGTGTGCAGTGCAGGGGTTAATGACATTCCCATGGTGCGACAAAAATGAATCGTTACAAAACAGTATTTGTTCTTTGTGTATTGTTCATTAGCACCCAGGAAGCATGAAAATCCAAGTAAAAAGTCTCTATCTCTTGGAGTTTAACCGTAGATGCCTGGAGAAGTTGCATTTTTTTTTTAATTAGGAGAGTTACCACATGGGAATAACTGTGTTAATTTGTTTTCAATATTTCACACTTTATTTATTTTGTTTTCTCACTCTAAGTTGTATCTATGTGTCAAAGATGGTGTTCATTATGTATAATTTTGAAAATATACATATGCTGTACACAGATATACTGTATATATGTGCATAAATTTATTCATACTAATATATAATATATAAGCCTAAATGTTATAATTAGACGTAGCACACATTTTGCCTGAAATATATAATGGTAATCACTCACTTGCTGCTGTGAACATTTCAGTGGCTCAAAGTATGGCTGCCCTACTCATTCCTAAAGTCATGGCCTTAGGAATGTTTCATAGGCCTTAGTAACTTAGAACACGCTACCAAGCCCATGAAAGGAAAGTAGGGGGACTTGGGATGTTTTTTCCAAGATGGGGTATGGTTATTGGAGATCTGAGGAAGCAAATGTGTGCCCCCTTATATACATGGGAGGTTCGAATCTTACGATATACTAACATAATCATATGTCGGCTGATGCACCACCACACCCCTTGATATGTCAGCTAGTGCAGTGGTAGGGTTAAAAGAATATATAATTAATATCTTTTAGTTTCTCTTTTTATAAATTTGTATTTTCTCATTTATAAATATCTTTTTCACATTGTTGTATTGATAATTTCAGACATGGTGTTGTGTTTTCTGTGAAAAGCAGGATGTTGTACACAGGTTAAGAAGAACCTCTCAATAGTTCTGCCCATAATTTAATGAAATTTACTTCCCAAAACACTGCATATTGTTTGCTTAAAAATATAATTTATGTTTAACAGCATAGTTATTAATGTATACAAATACAGAAGTTAAACTCAAAGGCAGTGAAGCATATGTCACACTATTTTGTTTTAGTTTATCTTCATACCATATTTTCTTTAACTTAACAAATAAAACTTTTGTATAGTATTTTTCAATCTACAAAATATATTTTATTATTGTACTGGGTTGGCTATACTATATAAAAAAATATTCCTGTTTGCTTTCAGTTTCTGCATCATTCAGTTGGGTATGCATTCTTGAAACATTTAAGTTCTGTATACAGCACCTCTCAAGTTTTTATAAGTACAGTATTTTATATTTAAAACGTAATGCAGGATATTTTTTTTTTTCAGATGGGTGTAGAAGGACAACAGGAACTGACCCCTGAGCTTATTGCAAGCAGTAAGCGTGATATAGAACTTTCTGAAAAAGTGAACGAGTACAACAAAAGTAAAAGAGCAAAGCCACTTATAGATTTACACCAGAAGAAAATGAAGGTATATTGTACACATCATTTTTGTTCTTGCATATAAGCTGCTGCACTAAATAGTTCTTATCTAGTTATTCTTGTGTATGGAGCACTATACACAAATAGTCTATGGAACTGAATGAATGAGAGTAATTTTTTGGGTGGGTGTGTTTGTATTGTATAAAATATCTCATTATGATCAGAACAGAAATATGAAAGCACCAACATCACCTTGTTAAAACTACAAATACAATATGATATACTAACATTTTTAGATTTCGTTATCAACACAAAATTCACTTTCATATAATGTCTTTGGTTCAAACATTATTTGACAATCTATTTGTTTTGTGGACTTCCTTACATCATCATCAACATTAACCTCTTTCCAACTCTCTCGGGATGGGGAGGCATTAGTTTGACCCCCCCCTAAAAAGAAACTATAGGAAAAGGTGAAAGCTTTCGTATATTATGTTATACTTATTGACTGTATTTTATATTCTATAGAAAATCAGCACCACCACCCAACAGCAAATTACATCAGCACCACAGTTTTCTAAAGACCAGGTGTACAGTGCTCAATGTAACTTGTCAAATACAAATGAAATGCATTCTCCCGCTTCTCAAACAGTTGCCGCCTAGCTACCTCAGTCAATCGTCATGTTGCCCAACTCTCAGATACACTCTTCTTCTTCAATGTATCCATTTGTTCAGTGTGAGCAACCCGTTTCTAATCGAATCATTCTTCCCAAAGATGTGTTTTATACTCTTCTTCAATGTATCCATTCGTTCAGTGTGAGCAACATGTTTCTATTCCAATCATTCTTCCCAAGGATGTGTTTTACCTTTCTTAATACTCAACATCTTCTATGACATTTTAATTCTTTATTCTATATGTTCCCAAAACATCATGCATGCTTCTGAGATTATCTACTTATACTGCTGTAATTTTTTTTTTTTTTTTTGCATTCATGCCACACTAGTGTGTGTGTGATGTATTCATAAGAGGCAATATCACTCCTTTGTTCAACCTTTTGTTTTGCTCTTTCTAACCAAAGTATTCAATACATCAGTCACTTTCCTTCCCTGACTCACTCTCTAGTTTCATTTTTTTTTTAGTTAAAAAAATATCATCTTTTATTGTGCAGCTTTCACATTTAACTAACTTTATAAACATGCTTTAAAAGTGCCTCAAAAGGTTAAGTGTAACTAATCTTTACCCTAGTGTATTTTTCACTAGAGTACTTTCATTACCTTAAGGCATTTTTATAATAAAATTAAATTTGTCAAACTAGGTAAGCTAAGTTCACTGGATAATGAGGTATATATTATTGCTTACCAGGAAACACAAGATGCATCTGGACCAAAGGAGAGACGTCCCTTCAGTCGAGACGACGACCTACACGTGAATAAATTTGATGATGCCCAAAAAAGCAACATCTTAAAGAAGGCCCGGAAGCTTAATGACAGATTTTCTTCTGGAGACAGAAAATTTTTGTAATTTTGTTTGTCCTTACCATTTACTGGTGGCAATTTATAATTATTAAATGTGCCCATCGTTTTTTTGGTAAAAATTACTATATTAAAACATGTCTTTCTGTTTGCCTCATAAACTGAAGAATTGTTTTAAGTTGTGCTTTACTTCTTATTGTTAGATTTAAAATAGATATGACAATTTATAATTTATTAAACAAAATCGAATTTAAAATGCTAAAATATATATGGTTTGATTGCATGATAATGAAGGTATTCTTGCTCCCCCAATGTCAGCTCATTTCATGCTGTAAATTTTTTTATATATTATTCCTTGCATAAGAAATTACACAATAGCAACTTGATTCCTATAATTACTTACAATGTACTGCTATGAGTGATACAGTACTATATCATTATTACCATAATGATAACCTTAAGATAACCAGTGCCAGAAATGCCAGTGTCCTTCACAGTACAGTACAGTACATTATTTTTACCATTGCATACATGAATGTGAGTATTTTTTGACTGCATAACATATATTGCAGATTATTCATATCCCTTTCATCATATTTAATTAATGTTTCATCAAAGTATGCTTGTTAATAATATAATTCACAGGTGTCATCACTAACAAAATCCTGTGCCACTAATAGCGACATAATCAAAATAAGACACATTACACAATCTTCGCCATTTCCTCATACAAGAGCTATTTGCAGTAGGTGGTGCTGCTGTGATCGCACCAACACCCCTGCTCTCAGCAGGACCAACAATTTTAGCAAAATCAAGACTATAACACTAGTATCATATTCTCTCATGAGAATGTATAGATTGTGGTTGCAAAACTTGCTCCTTTCACCAGCACTGTGGCTAGCAACAAAATCATGATCACTTAATAACTAAGAATGAATTATGAGAATGAGCCATCAGTAATAGGGGTAATGGACACCTTTCTCCAGACACCCACAGGCCTATAGAAATCAGGATCTCTGTAGTACAATTGGGTTTGTTTTCGACTCGCAATTGGGAATCGTGGGTGGGACAGAAATGGTTGGGTATTTTTCTTATTACCTAATGCCTCTGTTCACCTAGCAGTTAATAGGTACCTAGGAGTTAGCTTGTTGTGGGGTTGCATCCAAGGGAGGGTCGGTAGTTGACCATGGGGGTACTTTAATATTATCCTAATGTACATATGTACACAGGCTGTCACTGACAAAATGAATTATCTGGTACAGTTAGCCACGTGCCTTCCAAACCCCCTCGGAACTGACTGAACGGATAACCTGTTGTGTTCGGATAAGTGGTACATCATCCTGAAAAGCTACGGGAAAAAACTGACAATTTTGTTGCAGAAATTTGAGTATTTTGTTTATCATCACCAGTATAAGTTCTGATCCACTTCTTAACTTAAAGATTATAGTTGATGGAGCATTGTTATTTAGATAGAAAAGGTGGTGGTGGATGATGATAATGTTGAGTTGATTAGTGGAGATTAATGGTGATGAGGTAACCTCAGCAGACTGCCTTTCACCATGTACTCTAATGTACCTAATGCTATGGCAGAGTTTAAAGCTTCTGAACCATCCATTAGTGTATAAACAGTGCTCAATTGGCACTGTGTATGGTCACTGGACAAACTAGTTCCATCTTTACTGCACATCTTTATTCAGAATGCCCGCCCCACCAGTTATCCAAGCTTTTTATCCGAACTAGCCCAAATTAGATAACAGGCATTTTTTGGGAAAAAGGTGTTTGTAAAGCACTTGACAGACTGTATGTCAGATATAGTGGTTAATAATAAACTCTGGATGAGTAAAGTTGGGCAACAGTATGCCCAACTACTTCTTATGGACAGTGAGGCACAAGGCTTAAAACACACAAATGTACCTCCATCTCAAAATAAATTGTAACATGAAAGGTATCTAATGGAAACCTGTTAGAATAATTAATGTTTTAATATTTATTCTATGATTTAGTGCATAATTCTTAAGAAAATCAGTTACTTTTCTATCATCAAATTTTAGTTGCTGTGAGAGAAAGCTTGAATGGTTCCCAAGCCATAAATCATCACTCAGAAGCAAATTAATTTCATACCATAACAGTATAGTTACCAAGGAATAATTCGGTGAATGCAGTTAGTTCTTAGTCTCCGGACATGAGAAACGACAAAGAAAATGTCACAAAACAATACAAAAACAACTGAAGAATGTTGGCATATGAGTGCTGCTGCCATGTCTCAATACTCAATGACTCCTGAGGAATGATCCACCAGAAATAGAGGAAACAGGCACCTCTCTCCAGACACTCGCAGAGCCTATTAACCCAGAAGCCAGCTACTTAATATTACCTTATGCTAGTGTTTTACCAGTAGTATGGAAAGAAGGGGATGTAGAATATAGCCGAAAACATGGTTTTACTAGCTAAATTCCCTTACAAATGGGTAATGTCTTGCCATCTGTTGACAAGCGTCAGGGTGTATTGACACTTGGATGTGCGACAAAATTCCAACCAATTTTTTTTATTTAAATATAGTTTACCTGAGAGCCACTAACACTAGTGGCCTCGACAAGGACAGGAAGTTGGCGGCTTGTCGAAGGTCCCCCATTTGCCTTTATGATCTTTTTCAATTGTACTTTAAAAGTTATGAGAGTTTTGGCATTTACAGCTTCGGCGGGTAGGCTGTTCCATGGATTTATATCTACAATACCCAATATCAATGGGTATTGCATATATAGTATCTATTCCAGTATCACTGAATATAACATTTTGCAAAAAACCTATAAATATTTTTTTAGTCAACTGAGAACATTGATAGCTTTCTAGTGTTTGGAGACAAGCAACTTCATAACACTGGAAACATGTAAATCAAGGCAATAGAGAATGAGTAGATTGTATATATTCCATGATGTTAATCTAGTAAATAGCAACACCTCCAAAATCCAGGCAATTTCATTTCTAATTTGCTAACATTTAGGATTTCTGCACATTTGGCCTTTATCTAAACTATTTACGACCAAATAATTAGATTTTCTTATAGCAAATGTTACACGTTTCTTCATATTTAGACAATATATTCCATCTAATATAAAAAAAGATACTGTGTGTTTAGAAATAAACCATTTGGAATAATAAAAGTAAAGTGATAAATATATTCCTTTAATATACAGTACAGCAATATACAGCCATTATCACAAATGGGTTCTCAAATCAAAATAGTTTTCAAAAATATTTCCATTTATAATACAATACTGTACTAAAATTTTGCTTGTATATACTTTTGCAAATAAATTAATGAGAAATATATTATTAATGTTGTAAATTTATCCTAAAGGCTGATATATGGCACTTAAAAAAGTAAATTAAGTACTGTACATGTTCACACTAAATCCCTGAAATTATTTCCCGCTTACACAAATAAGAAAAATTAAACAAAAATAAGCTAATGCAAAGATAATGTGGAGGTTGACAAAAATGTGTACATTACCACCACATGCTGCTGCAGGGTTAGTGTGGCCAATGAAAATAAATTAGATAATGAAGATACCCTCTTTACTTTCAACCCAGTGGTGGTGCTAACTGGGACAACCAAGACAACCTGTTTTAATCCGTCATCCTCTCGGGCCAAAATAGCCGTGCAAGAGACGGCAAGCAACAGTGGGGAATAAAGCACATCCGACGTGGAAAATTAGAAATTATGAAGGCTGGCGTAGACCCGAGAGCTTGAGACTACCAAGTGTGCTGCATTACCTGTATAAGCCTAAGGAAGTGAAGTAAATAATACTTGTACTTTCCCTTCATAAAATGTGCATAACAACCAAAATTTGTGAACTTTCATACTCGATTTTTACTCTGTGAAAAGTGCAGCTTATTGAGTATATTAATATCAGTGTAGATAATACACCCTTCTGCTGAAAATTAATGGATATACTGTATTGTATAATTGTACTGAGTATTTAACACATTCACATGCCCGGCTATCTTGAGTTATCTTGAGATGATTTTGGGGCTTAGCGTCCCCGCGGCCCGGTCCTCGACCAGGGCTCCTTTTTGTTACACTCCCGCCAGGAAGCAGCCCGTAGCAGCTGTCTAACTCCCAGGTACCTATTTACTGCTAAGTAACAGGGACATCAGGGTGAAAGAAACATTTTGCCTATTTGTCTCCGCCTCCACCGGGGATCAAACCCGGAACCTCAGGACTACGAATCCGAAGCGCTGTCCACCCAGCTGTCAGGCTACAGTTAAATGGTTATTTAACTTTAAAGACGCTAAAGTATCACAAACTAATTTGAGAAATGTATATGTTTATCAATCAGAATATATTGATTGATTGTGATGTATGTGTGTTACATTATATATATATATATATATATATATATATATATATATATATATATATATATATATATATATATATATATATATATATATATATATATATATATATATATATATATATATATATATTATATATATTATATATATATATATATATATATATATATATAATATATATATATATATATATATATATATATATATATATATATATATATATATATATATATATATATATATATATATATGTCGTACCTAATAGCCAGAACGCACTTCTCAGCCTACTATTCAAGGCCCGATTTGCCTAATAAGCCAAGTTTTCATGAATTAATGTTTTTTCGTCTACCTAACCTACCTAACCTAACCTAACCTAGCTTTTTTTGGCTACCTAACCTAACCTTACCTATAAATATAGGTTAGGTTAGGTTAGGTAGGGTTGGTTAGGTTCGGTCATATATCTACGTTAATTTTAACTCCAATAAAAAAAAATTGACCTCATACATAGAGAAAAGGGTTGCTTTATCATTTCATAAGAAAAAAATTATAGTAAATATATTAATTCAGGAAAACTTGGCTTATTAGGCAAATCGGGCCTTGAATAGTTGGCTGAGAAGTGAGTTCTGGCTACTAGGTACGACATATATATATATAATATATATATATATATATATATATATATATATATAATATATATATATATATATATTTATATATATATATATATATATTATATATATATATATATATATATATATATATATATATATATATATATATATATGTATATACATACACATACACACACATACATACATACACAGTATATATACAGTACTGTATATATATGAACACAGTACTGAACGGGGTGAGAATAGCTTGAGCTACCTCATCCCTTTTTGTATAATTTATACCTCAATAAACTTATTTTAATTTCAACTAATTTAGCCAAAACAGAGAATACTATATCTTGTAAAAGCAAATAAGAAATACCTTTCATACCTTCATACTACCTGAAGATTCTACACTGAAGTGTATGGGGGTGAGAAGGTCAGCAAGTGATACAAGTAAAATGCCAGACGATGAAAAGCGACAAAGAAAATACTCTGTGGATACAAAATCAACAAAACAGAGAACATAAGAACAACAAGAACATAAGAACAAAGGTAACTGCAGAAGGCCTATTGGCCCATACGAGGGCCAACCTGCCAAACACACACCGAAACTACGACGTTGGTACAACGTTCGAACAAGTTTTAACACTTCCTAACCAGTTATAACAACCGATATATTATGTTGTAACAACGTTCCAATACGTCATAAACACGTTAAGCCAAGATGTAACAACTTCATTACAAGTTGTAACAAGCGGAAAATAGAGACAGTTTCGGTTTGTGTTTCCAGGGAATATTGGCCCAATATGAGGCTCGTATTGGCCCATACGAGAAGCAGAGGTGAAGTAAGCTACATTAGTACTGTGTAGGGAAGTGAAGAATGGTATATATGGGCAATTTGAAGAGCAAAACTAATGAGGTTTGAAACGTTGCAGCTGATGGAAACATTATAATAAAGAAAAACTTGCAAGTTTTGACAAAGTGCAGTGCAACAAAGAAATATGGATACAAGAAATTATCTAAAGAAGGCACTAAGCCGGGAAGACTATATAAGGCATATGGATAAGAAAATAAAAATTTAAAGAGGTATTGCCCAGTAGGATATACAGTATTAACATTTATTTTATTAATGAGGCCTGGGAAAATTTATCATTATATACAACTAGTGGGAAAGGAATACAGTACTTTATATATTTTGTGTAAATTAGGGGGGGAGCATTTTTTTTTAAAGAATTTATACATCTATTGGTACCTTCCTTTTTATAAATAGCTTATCTAATTCCTTTTCTAGAAAAACATTGGTTCCTCTGCAGCCAGCAACTACTTGAGCTGCCCAATGAAAGTATTCTTCTACTCTCTTTTGTGTCCAATTCTCAGGCATGACTCTATCCAAGTCACGCAAGTTGTACAACTTATCGGCTAGTTTAACGAGCTTAGCCTCATTGGATGCAGTGGCTGCCTTTACAATTTGAAGTCTTTTCCTTTCTTGTTTGTCAAGGGTCTTGTTATCTGTAACCTAAGGTGAAGAGTAATACAATAAATTACTGGGCATTTGAAGTTAACAATAATTATAGACAATCTCACATGCATTCTTTTACTACTGTTATACTACATTATAATGTACAGTAGCCTCAACACAACAATTGCTTATCAATTATCCTAGTGTATCCATTGTTTTATTGCATTTCACTGTAGCTATTTCTGAACACTTATTAGTGCAAATGGCAGAATAAATTTGCATCTATTTTGATACCAAAATCAAATGGAAATATAATATCAAACCTTGCTGTATTTGTTCTTGTTCATTGATACCACAAGTCCTTACTAGTGAAAATAGCTTGATAATCTTTATATTTAATTTGTTGCGTCGAGCACTAACTGAATCTGAATCCTTTCAATGGATTACATTTTTTAGTGGACCAGGTTTCACTTAAGCAGGAAATCACTGTATATAGAATAAAAATGTAATCATTTACCATTTTAATCCATGTGGATGCTATACAGGCACAAGGCCTAGCCCAGTTTTGCCCCTAGTAATGGACATTAATACTTTGCCTTTCCATTCAAATGTTCAAGGCACTACGGGCTCACCATAGCCCGTGCTACTTGGAACTCTGTTCCAGGTAGCGAATCTTTAACAACAACAACAACCATTCAACTTTCCCATATGCTTATGATTTTGTGACAGAAAACCAATTAAAGAAGTATTATATACCATTTGTCCTGTAAGCAGTAAATAAATGCCAGAATGCTAGCGTGGTTAAATTAGGCTTAGTTAGTTTTGTACTTACTGTTATACAAAAATTAGGAAAGGCAACTCCTCGAATGAAGCCACACTTTTGCTTAAGAAATACAATTTTGTATTATGCAACTATGGTCAAAATCATACTAATATCTTTTATCCATTTTTGCATGCAATAAAATGAGGACAAGTTAATGCCTACAGGGGTTTTCTTAATAGTCACATGTCAGCATTCTTCCTTTCAAACAAACTCTGCGTCAGTTAAATAATGAGTAAGTTTCCGAGAAATAGGGCAAATATCCTCTATGACAAAAATTTATGAAACGGTATACAGCATTGTATTAATAAATTTATATGTAACTGGTGTCATCACTTAGGAATATTTGTTAATATTGGCAAACGGCAAAAGAATACAAATATTCCATCACCACGCTGCCACAGTAGGGATCTCAAACAGGGTATTGTGAAATGCAAGCTGACTCCAGAAAGAGGAACCCTTGCCACAGTCAGAGCAAAATAAAATGCAAAGACACCCAATGTGGCTGGCAAACAATCATGATGCCATAACAAAAACATAGCTACAGCCCCCCCAACCCCTAGTAGAACATAAGTTCCAGGGAAAGCCAACCACTTAACTGAGAGATGCCGATGAGGACCCTACAGAGGCTACAGGTTTTGGAAGGGCTATACCAGGCAGGTGGCAGGCTGCCTGAAATCTCATGTGACCTGAGATTCACCTATCTGGTGAAAGTTGGGCACATCAGGATCAAGATATTTACCCAGAAGCAACAATCATTTGGTTTATTTCCCTCAGGGTGCCTCTGTTCCCTCAAGCAGTTGTTTGTTTTGTCGTGCATATAGTAGGATTTTTTCACCTTTTTTTGCTTGATTCCTGACCCTCCCCTCCCCTCACCTCAAAGTGATCCTGATTCTGGTAGTAGCAACGACAGTATCAGCAATTGCACAAGAGTAAACTTTAGCCCTACACTATGTTCAAGTTTACTGTATACTAATACTACTTTGTGTATTACTGGTTTTTCCAGTAAGCTGTGGTTGTTGCCTGGGTGTGTGGATGGATAGGTGGGATTTCTTTTATGGGTGTGTATATGTAGAAATTGGAGCTAGATGTGTAAAAATAATACAGTTTACACCGTACTCAAAGATACAGAATCTATTAGGGTTATGACAGACTAATGATCATGGGGTTGGTTGAAGGTTTGTTTTAGACACTCCTGGAGGCTGACTTCCACCAATGTTAGACAATAATGCCCCCAGTTAGGAAGAATATCAAATGGAAAAAAGGAAGAGGGGCAGCTAGCAGGTTGCACGAAAGGGTGGGTGTTCATAGTATTCATCATCTCTTATGTCCAGATGTGAGATGTTGGTGTAGTATGAGCATGAAAAATGAAGAATTAAAGATGCAGTAATGGACATTCTGATGATAATGGACATTCACAGAGTATGAATTTTGTTTAATTTGATGTAACAATGTGGAGTACAAATGTAATACATATCAATAGTATTGATAATGCTTGATCATAGTGCATAGATATAACTAATTAATTTTGAATATTCAAGTATAGTTCAAGGCACAGAGAGAGAAAGCCAAGATGATGAACAAGCACGGTGAGTGAACAGGGTTTAAGACAATATGGAATCAACTCAGAGAAAATGTTACACAGTTTGTAAATAACAAGGGAAATACTTAACACCTGGTTGTGAGGCAGTATGGAACTTCTGTGCATGTACTGCAGAAGTGAGACTGTATTGGTTCAACATGACGCTGCCAACACATCCTCCACAAATGATAGCAACTATTGGTGTAATATACAAAAATGGTCTAATGAAGAAAAAACCCTCTAAATTTTGTACAATTAACTTTATAGAGGGCACAAGAAAGAAAACAACTAAATCTAAACTTTTCTAAACCTAGCATAACACACATGTATTAGATTAGGCCTAAGAAGGCATATTTTAGACCTAACATTGCTTATTTAGGTCTAGGTCAAGTCAGGTTGAATAGTTGCCGTTCCAAATTTTGGCATGTCGTTTTGTGGTATTCCAACAATACAAAAAATCTTTTGGAGTACAAGTCCATTTTGTATATTTCACCAAAAATTGCTATAAATACTATCAATTTTGGTTGATGGGTTGAATGTTGCAGAATGCTTATGTAGAGTAAAAGATGTGACAAATGGATGAATGGGGGTTTCTCTCTTTACATCATTATTCTTTCTTTCCAACTTGTTCTTCTATTTTCTTTTGGACTGATCCATCCCTATTTAAATAATAATTCATTGTGTCAGGGGACAGGAAGCCAGAGTGTACTCATACACAGTAGACTTATACCGAGGCCCCTCCCTCGGTCAGAGTCAGTCTGGCCGAGCGGACAGCACGCTGGACTTGTGATCCTGTGGTCCCGGGGGTCGATCCCAGGAGCCAGCGAGAAACAATGGGCAGTTTCTTTCACCCTATGCCCCTGTTACCTAGCAGTAAAATAGGTACCTGGGTGTTAGTCAGCTGTCACGGGCTGCTGCCTGGGGGTGGAGGTCTGGTTGAGGACCGGGCCGCGGGGACACTAAAAACCCTGAAATCATCTCAAGATAACTCAAGATAACTTCCCCTCCAAGACTGAATTACTGACCCCACCCAGGTTGCAACCCCACAACAAGCTGACTAACTCCTGAGTACCTACTCACTGCTAGGTAAACAGCGCATTATGTGAAAGGAAATGTGCCCAACTATTTCTGTCCTGCCCGCGATTCGAACCCGGAATTCTCGATTTTGCGTCGAGAACGAACCCGACTGTACTACCGGGACCGGGACTGTTTGATGCAAGCGGGAATTGGAAAAATTGTAATTATGATGACCACTTTCCTAACACCACACACGTCTCTGATTTTCTTTTTCTACTGCTCGTAACTCTTTGATTTTTTACATTCATACAACAATAACCTTGCACTTGTGTATAAAAATAGGCACTAACATCCCTTCATTAAAGCCTATATTAGCATTTCTTCCATCACAAACTTTTCTTCTGCCAATCATAGATCCCAGGGACCAGATTCACGAAGCAGTTAAGCAAGCACTTACGAACCTGTACATCTTTCCTCAATCTTTGACAGCTTTGTTTACAATTACTGAACAGTTAATGCGCTCAGAAGCACCAGGAGGCTGTGTATAACAATAACAACAGTTGATTGGAAAGTTTTCATACTTGTAAACTGTTTAATAAATGTAACCAAAGACTGAGGAAAGATGCACACGTTCGTAAGTACTTGCGTAACTGCTTCGTGAATCTAGCTCCCTGGTATTTAAAAGTATCAACCACTTCAAGCTCTTCTTCATTCAAACTAATTTTCCACAGAATTTCTTCCACTCTCCTACCTTAACTTTTGTCCACATTTACCTTCATCAATCTTCTCTCAAACACATCATTAAAAATTTCAACTATGGGACCCGACAGCTGAGTGGACAGTGCTTCAGATTCGTAGTCCTGAGGTTCCAGGTTCTATCCCTGGTGGAGGCGGAAACAAATGGGCAGAGTTTTTTCACCCTGATGCTCCTATTCACCTAGCAGTAAATAGGTACCTGGGAATTACACAGCTGATACGGGCTGTTTCCTGGGGGTGTGTAACAAAAAGGAGGCCTGACTGAGGACCGGGCCGTGGGGACGCTAAACCCCGAAATCATCTCAAGATGACCTCAAGAAGATATGCTGTTGCATAAATAAGTCTCCATGTGCAGGCGATGAGTCACAATAACGTGGCTGAAGTATGTTGACCAGACCACACACTAGAAGTTGAAGGGACGACGACGTTTCGGTCCGTCGTGGACCATTCTCAAGTCGATTGTGATGAAGAGGTAGGGACAGGCAATAAATAGGCAAGAGAGAGCTGAGGAGGAAAGTAAGGTGTAGGGGATAGTAGTAATAATGAGAACTGCAGAAGGCCTATTGGCTCATACGAGGCAGCCCCTATTATAACCACCGAAGGAGATAGTAATAGGAATAAGAAGAGGATAGCAAGGGAGCGTAGGAGAAGACAATGAACAGAAAAAGGGAGAAGAGAGAAAGAAAAGTAAAGAGAAAGAAAGATAAATGGAAGGGGTAAGCTTATGTTAAGTCACGTTTGTTAGAAAGATTAGAGCATTTGAGTATATACTGTGAAATCTCTGTATACTGTATACTCTTCTCCCTTTTTCTGTTCATTGTCTTCTCCTACACTTCCTTGCTATCCTCTTCTTATTCCTATTACTATCTCCTTCGGTGGTTATAATAGGAGCTGCCTCGTATGGGCCAATAGGCCTTCTGCAGTTCTCATTATTACTACTATCCCCTACACCTTACTTTCCTCCTCAGCTCTCTCTTGCCTGTTTATTGCCTGTCCCTATCTCTTCATCACAATCGACTTGAGAATGGTCCAGGACGGACCGAAACGTCGTCGTCCCTTCAACTTCTAGTGTGTGGTCTGGTCAACAATAAGTCTCCATCACTGTTGAAAGGGCATTATCATATGCATACATTAAAGTATTATGACAAATAAATTCTAATCCTAAAACAAGTAACAATTCTTCCCCACAGACCTCTGCAACAATGCCAGCTACCTCAGGCCCAAATTCATTAAGAATTTCTTCAAGAGTAGTTTGAGTGTCTTCAACTGTATCATGTAGAAGAGCAGCTTGCAGGACATCTAAATTTTCCACCCCTCCCTCCACTAGAAGATAAGCTACACCTGAAACGAAAGAAAAAAATGAGATTCACACAAAATGTATCGCTAAATGTAACATGAGGGCAATGTAACAAATCAGACATGGCTTGACTGCTTGACTGTGACTGAGAAAGCAAACCATCCTTCTGTTTAAATAGTACCTATTGTGATGATCGTCAGTAATCATAATTCGTACGTTCTTAGCTTTTAGATAGTAGTATACTGACTTCTAAGGAATTCTTTTAAAATAAATAAAATTAAAACACAAACTTAAATATTCTTAGGCCTAGTATTGCACACATATGTACTATATTAGGTCTCAGATATAGTGTATTAGGCTTAGGGAGGTTAGGATAGGTTAGTTTAATTTGTCAAAGCAACAAGTAAAATACAGTATCGTTTTCCGGTTTGTCCAATTCAATAGTTCAGATTTCTATGTTCTAATTTCATTGTATGTCGGTACATATATATATATACTATGGTCCTCATCGTTACTACTGTATAAATAGTACTAACTACCAAAACAGGAGGATTAGCTGTGAGTAAGGCATTCCCTGGCTGCCTTATCTCAGAATTAGAAGAGGTGCATGCATAACTTAATGCATAAATACATAGGATATAACAAGTTTGAACATTGTAAAGATGATAATGGTACTTGATGGAGGCATGTGGAAGTGGTGGTGTTTTACGCCATCTTGAAAAATTTGCACCGCTTTCTCGGGAGCATTTCAATAATCGACCGAGCAATACATTACTGTATACCCTAACCTATGAGTACATAGGACAAGTTTGGTTTGCATGTTGTAAAGAGCAGGGAGGAAAATGATTGAGGTGTACAGATTGATGAAATGGTGTAACAAGGGTATGTTAATAGGGTGCTAAATGTAACAACACAGAATGAAACACGATGTGAGTGATGGGTGGGTCCAGACTTAGAAAAAACCAGGGTGGGTATTAGTTTGAAAGTGGGGTTGTTGATTTATGGAATATACATTTTAGCAAATGAATGTGTGTGCGTGTCATATTGCACATAATAGCAAACCCAAAGGAATTTTATGGATACATAAGAAACAAAAGATATTTCTCTAAGACTATGGGAACAATATCAGTACAAAATTGTGACAGCAAGAAAATAAAATGAGTTAATTGCCCTGTATTTACCTTGAGAAAATTAAAATAACATTTCTTTAACATCAGCATTGCTAAATACTAGTAATTAACAAAACATCTCTCTGACTTATTACAATCTCTGAACTGGATTTACTCTTAGAACTAAATAAGGCAAACATCTGGTCTTAAACTTTTATCTAAGAATATTAAGGGAAGTTTAAAATTAAATCATGATGCCTTGGATCATACAGAACTTTTAAATCACTTGAAACAGGAACAGTACCACAGGAGTGAAAACTTATCAATGTTACATGATTTGTATACTGTACTTAGAAAGGGAAATAAGAATTGTAATTATCTTCCAATCAGCTTAACATTGGTAGTTGATAAAATCATGGGTACAAGATTTGTAGACAATAGACCAGAGTAGCATAATATTTATAGTCGTCATTTAGGTGTGAATTTCTTATAAATCGTCCATGGTTGACAAAATGTCTAGTTCCTTTACAGTCTTTTTAATGTATTCGATGAAAGCAAGACAGAAGATATTATAGGGTATATCTGGACATTCAGAAAGCCTTTGTTGAAGTTCTTCATTGAAAAACCACTTTTAAAAAGTAAGGCAAATGGAATAGTTGACAATGAAATTGTTTGGAAAACTGGCTATGCAAATACATGCTAGATGTTAAAATCAATTTCACAGGGAAAGTCTGGAACCAGTTTAACTTTTATATACAGTATATGACATTATGACATCGATAATGGATTATGCTGTATGATGTAAAAATTTGCCGATGACATTAAAGAAATGATCTGGATCAATATCCTTAAAACTGTTCAGTAATTTAAGTTTCCATGAGATTAGCCGTATCATGTATGGTTTTCAGTGTTATTAATCTTGTGGATCTCAACTATTCGTGAATTAAAGTTGACTTAGTTCTGAGATTATTTTTGTTGCCCAGTGTTGAACTTTCTCCAAAGCAGATATGTCTGCTTTATATATGTCTTTCTGAAGATGAGGTCTCCATGCTTGAATACAATAAATCCAAATGGAAGCATACCAGAGATTTTCACAGTTGAATAACTACCTTGTTCTCTTTGAAGTCAAAGATTCATTTGACTATTTATATGGTGTGGTTTGCTTTTTTTTTACTGCAGCTGTGACTTGTGCAACTTTTAGTGATTGGAGGATTCTGACAACCAAGGTTCTTTTCTTCATCAATCTGTTGCAAGGTACTGTAATGTTGTTGGCTTGGTAGTTTTTATGTCTACTGTTATGCAAAGCATTTGCCAGCCTTCTAACCAGTTGTGGGGGTTCTTGTAGATCTCTCTACAATTCCTTTGTAATCATCTGCAATACATTAAATACAGGTCCATGCAACACTGCACTATATTTGATACATGATAAAACATTACCACTGCCTAGTTTGTATAAACCCAGTTAGACCTTTCTAATTTATAAACATATTGCATGCAAACAGCATGTCTAATGGGCTTAAATCTAGCATGTTGACCAGACCACACACTAGAAGGTGAAGGGATGACGACGTTTCGGTCCGTCCTGGACCATTCTCAAGTCGATTCGTGCAACTTTTGCAACCGACTTAAAATGATATGAAATTCTGCCTGCAACAGAGGCACCTTTCTTGTGCTACCAAACATTACGTGTTGACAATTTTAGGCAGCTGTAAATGCATTCTCTAAATTTTGTCACACACACAAAAAAAATTATTCTGTAAACCATATAGGATCCATATACTATACAGTACTGGTAAAAGCTAATTGGATATATGTACTAGTACTAATCAAATGCTAGGTTAAATTTGGATTTATTTAGACAATTCTCAAAATGCTGTACTATAGAAAGCACTGCTCTTACCAAATACAGAGCACTTTCAAAACATTACAAAACAAGTCTCTATGCCTATAGGTTTTTCCATGATAGGCCAAGTTGCATAAGCACAGGAAATGGTGAGCAGCTGCCTCTAACTTACAACCAGAGTAAACTAGTGGTTGTGAATCGGCAATCAAGGTGGGGGGAAAGTGTGTGACGCACATCACTCAGTCAGGGTAGTCTACCCTGACACGAGGTAAACAAGAGATACCTTATGTAAGGAAAAGCCCAAACCTTCTCCTGAATTTACCCGAGGGTCACTACACTTGTGGCTCTCATTATTACTCCACTCATCACTAGTGGCTCTCATTTCTCCTGCCTCGGAACTGAACCCATACTCTTACTCCACAATATTTTTTAGTAGTTTGCTTCCTTGTCGACTCACAATCGGGAATCCCCGGTTCGATTCCCGGGCAGGACATTAATGGCTAGACAAGTTTCCTTTCACCTAATGCCTCTGTTTGCTTAGCAATAAATAAGTAACCAGGCGTTAGGTGCCTCTTGTGTTTTTGCATCCTAGGGAAGGGCAGTAGTTCAACCTTGGGGGGGGGGGTCTGTCGATATAACCCTAAAATAAATATATATATATGTATATATACAGGCTTCTTGTCCCTGACAAAACGAAATGCCGGCCGGAGCGGGGGGGGGGGGTCTTACCAATCGGGTGATTGATGTACGGGGTTCGTTCGGGGTCTTTCCGCTTTTGGTCTTTATGTTTGACAGCTGCAAAGTTCACACACTTGATGATGGCCGCAGTCGGTGAGGTGGCAGGAGAGCTGCTAGCCATGGTTGAGGAGGGAGAGAGAGAGAGCCAGGCCTAAACACAATGTTGTTGTTGTTGTGAGTCGAGGGGAGCAGCAGAGGTGCGGGCTGCGCCTCAGCCAGGGACGGGCTCCTGCTGGCCCCCCCTTCCTCACCTGCCCCTGCTCCTTCCTCGGCATCTCTTCACCTGCCATACACTACACCTTTCACCTGCAAATTGACAGTCAGGAAAGACAAAACTGTGGAAAGCGTAAGATGGTTCAAGAAGGTGCGGTGTACGCATGTGTGTGAGATGTTACCATGGTGATAATCCCGTGTCTTTAGTCTAAAAAAATGGGCGTCGTTGCTTAAATTTGAATTTATACTCTAAACTGTATTAAATAACAAATTGTTTAGTATTTCAGGACTTAGAGAATATTTAGAGAGGAGGTTGTGGTCAATAGTAGCTCGGTTGAGCAGTTGAGGGGGGAGGGGAGACAGGCTCATGGCGGACGTCAGTTTGAGTCGATACCTTGTTTGATTCGTATCTTCATCCCGATGACCGCTTTAAGGCGCATAGGATGCCGACTTTCCTCCTTCTACTCCTCGGACTAACGGCAGGATGCGTCAGGACCCAGGATAGTAGTGAGGGAATCCCCGCAGCGGTCGCCTCTCCCCTGAAGAAAGGTAAGATGGGCAACCTCGCAGCCTCAGCATCCATGGTGGTTCATCTCCAGGTACGCCGAGGCTTTCCTCCCTCCACAAACAACACTTGTTGCCATTTTACCTGCCTTACCCCAGCCGCTGCGTCATATATCACTAAACCACCCGCTATATGGAAGCCATTTCCTGTTACAAAAGGTCCGGTTTGGGTGTATGATCAATAAGAAGTTGCTCAAAAATCCTCGCTTTCCATTACTCTATAGTTCGGAAGCGAGGCTTATCTCCGCCAGAGCATCATATATGGCCACTGTCTCACTACCATCTTTCAGTGTGTCTACGGATATCCAAGACCAGTAGCCATACACTACAGCAAGGAGAGACAGGTCTGAATGGGCATTAAATTAAAATGGAGTAATGGATGTCCGGAGGTTTAAAGTGAGTCAATGGTCGGGATGTGTTTCAGTAATAACCTGAATCAGTGTGCTGGTTTTAATACCCTACCTGAGTGGACACGATCGGAACATGTGGTCACGGAAACCATGTAGGGGGTGATATGGGGCCCCATACACCCCCCCTCTTCACCCCCCTTGGGCGTACCTTTACACCCATTATATTGCGGCCATAATAATTTTTTTTTAAAGATAATTAGTTTATTATGCATCCCATATAGTCGTATATAATGCACTCGTGAGCTAGAGAGGTATGAGAATTTGAGTCGTTATGAAATAAGCGTAACATCACCGTTAATGATATACAAGTATACTTGTATACATATATACTCATACATGAGTTATTATGACAAGAAACAGAGCACTAGGATTATCGTAGTGAAAGGCCCACAGTGTAGCGTTGACTAGCCTGCAGGAGATGCAACTAGTTTTAGTGCTATTAGCCTAGTGTGTTAGCCTGGACGCTGACCATAGGTTAATAGGACTAGCCAGGAACTATTTAGCGTAGTTTGAATATATCCTGTAGGCACGCTAAGTGGTTTAACTATCCAGTAGTTAAATATGCCCAGTTATAATATGTGGCTAGGCTGTAAGGGCGCCTGTAACAGGGGGTGACTAGCCACGAGGCTTTCATATCAAAGTTTTAATGTAACTAACCAAGAAGATGGGGGGGGGGTAGAAGTAGCCTAAGCTACTCTATCCCTTTGAGATGTATTTTTTCTTGTCTCGATAAACATACTTGAACTTGGACCTAGATCATCTTGCGTGGTGTAACTAAAGTCTGGAAGATTACGTATCGGTGTGAGGATAACCTAGAGGCTTGTATATATTAGTATAATTAACCTGAAGTTTAAAGTACTTAGTGTAACTAACCTGGAGGTATAAATTACTTGGTATAACTAACTAGAGATTCACATAGCATAGTGTGACTTGCTTAGATATTCACCTTACGTGGAGGGTAACCTAAATATTCCTTCACCATACATGGAGGGTAACCTAAATATTCCTTCACCATACATGGAGGGTAACCTAAATATTCCTTCACCTCACGTGGAGGGTAACCTAAATATTCCTTCACCATACATGGAGGGTAACCTAAATATTCCTTCACCATACATGGAGGGTAACCTAAATATTCCTTCACCATACATGGAGGGTAACCTAAATATTCCTTCACCATACATGGAGGGTAACCTAAATATTCCTTCACCATACATGGAGGGTAACCTAAATATTCCTTCACCATACATGGAGGGTAACCTAAATATTCCTTCACCATACATGGAGGGTAACCTAAATATTCCTTCACCATACATGGAGGGTAACCTAAATATTCCTTCACCATACATGGAGGGTAACCTAAATATTCCTTCATCATACATGGAGGGTAACCTAAATATTCCTTCACCTTACATGGAGGGTAACCTAAATATTCCTTCACCATACATGGAGGGTAACCTAAATATTCCTTCACCATACATGGAGGGTAACCTAAATATTCCTTCACCATACATGGAGGGTAACCTAAATATTCCTTCACCATACATGGAGGGTAACCTAAATATTCCTTCACCATACATGGAGGGTAACCTAAATATTCCTTCACCATACATGGAGGGTAACCTAAATATTCCTTCACCATACATGGAGGGTAACCTAAATATTCCTTCACCATACATGGAGGGTAACCTAAATATTCCTTCACCATACATGGAGGGTAACCTAAATATTCCTTCACCATACATGGAGGGTAACCTAAATATTCCTTCACCATACATGGAGGGTAACCTAAATATTCCTTCACCATACATGGAGGGTAACCTAAATATTCCTTCACCATACATGGAGGGTAACCTAAATATTCCTTCACCATACATGGAGGGTAACCTAAATATTCCTTCACCTCACGTGGAGGGTAACCTAAATATTCCTTCACCATACATGGAGGGTAACCTAAATATTCCTTCACCATACATGGAGGGTAACCTAAATATTCCTTCACCATACATGGAGGGTAACCTAAATATTCCTTCACCTTACATGGAGGGTAACCTAAATATTCCTTCACCATACATGGAGGGTAACCTAAATATTCCTTCACCATACATGGAGGGTAACCTAAATATTCCTTCACCATACATGGAGGGTAACCTAAATATTCCTTCACCATACATGGAGGATAACCTAAAGATCCCTTCACCATACATGGAGGATAACCTAAAGGTCCCTTCACCAAGCATATCGTAACTAACTAGGAGGTTCCTCCTGTCCTACAGGCCCTTCTAGTATTGAGGCACTTTTTTGGAGTGTGCCTAATTCAATAAAATTTCCTAATTCCTAATAATTAATTTCCTAATTTAGTGAAATTAGTTTAAATTTTCACCTAATGGCTCTTGGCTAACCTGGAGGCTCAACCAGCTTGATGTGACTCAGGTATTAGGTCATTTACCTGAATTTACCTGTTAGCTGCCATCTTTAGTTGCCTCGACGAGGACCAACACTTAACAAGGTTTGTTAAGTGTTGTTCAAGTTCAAGTTCAAGTATGTTTATTGAGATAAGAAAGAAATACATCTCAAAGGGATAGAGTAGCTTAGGCTATTTCTACCCCCCTAAGTAGACTCGGAACAGCTACTTGGAAAAAGTTCCAAGTAGCACGGGCTATGGTGAGCCCGTAACTTACCTGGCACAGGAGCGGGGCAAGTAGCACGGGCTATGGTGAGTCCGTCCTTGATTACTCCGTACTTAAGTGTTGTTAACAACACTTCACAATCAATAACAACAACATGGGTTCAGAGACGGTAAATCATGCCTCACAGGTTTAATAGAATTCTATGACCAGGCAACAAAAATTAGGCAAGAAAGAGAAGGGTGGGCAGACTGCATTTTCTTGGAGTGTCAGAAAGCCTTTGACACAGTACCACATAAAAGGTTGTTAAAAAAGTTGGAGCAACAGGCAGGAGTAAAAGGGAAGGTGATCCAGTGGATAAGGGAGTATTTAAGCAACAGGAAACAGCGAGAAACTGTGAGGGGAGAGACATCAGAGTGGCGAGATGTCACCATAGGCGGAGTCCCACAGGGCTCTGTATTTGGGCCCATCCTGTTTCTAATATAAGTAAACGATCTTTCGGAGGGTATAGACTCGTTCCTGTTAATGTTTACTGATGATGTAAAAATTATGAGAAGAATCAAGACGGATAAAGATAAACAGAAACTACAGGATGACCTGGACAAACTCGAGGAATGGTCTAGAAAATGGCTGCTAAAGTTCAACTCAGGAAAGTGTAAAGTAATGAAATTAGGCGAAGGGAGCAGAAGGCTGAACACAAGGTACCATCTGGGAGGTGAAATCCTGCAAGAGTCAAATAGAGAGAAAGATCTGGGGGTTGATATCACACCGAACTTGTCCCCAAAGACCCACATCAAAAGGATATCATCAGCGGCATATGCTAGACTGGCCAACATAAGAACTGCCTTTAGAAACTTGTGTAAGGAATCGTTCAGGACCCTGTATACCATTTATGTCAGACCAATCCTGTAATATACAGCTCCAGCCTGCAGTCCATACCAAGTTAAACACAAGACAAAGAGAAGATTCAGCGGTATGCCACCAGGCTCGTCCCGGAACTGAGAGGAATGAGCTACGAGGAAAGGCTAAAGGAGTTGAACCTCACGTCCCTGGAAAACGGATGAGTAAGGTGAGACATGATAACCACCTATAAAATTCTCAGGGAATTGACAGGGTGGACAAAGACAAACTTCAGCACGGGTGGAACACGAACAAGGGGACACAGGTGGAAACTTAATTAGTACCCAGATGAGCCACAGAGACGTTAGAAAGCATTTTTTCAGTGTCAGAGTAGTTAATAAATGGAATGCATTAGGCAGTTATGTGGTGGAGGCTGACTCCATACACAGTTTCAAATACAGGTATGATAGATCCCAGTAGGCTCAGGAATCTGTACACCAGTTGACTGACAGTTGAGAGGCGGGATCAAAGAGACAAAGCTCAATTCCCGCAAGCACAACTAGGTGAGTACAACAATCGAGAATTCCGGGTTCGAATCCCGGATGCAACAGAAATGGTTGGGCACGTTTCCTTTCATCTAATGCCTCTGTTCACCTAACAGGACGTAGGCATTCAGGAGTTAGCCTGTTGTGGGGTTGCATCCTGGGCGGGGTCAGTAATTCGACCCTAAGGTTGGGGGGGGGGGGAGGGACTTTGATAAAAGTCTAACGTGTATGAGAAGCCACTCTGGCTTCCTGTCCCCCGACACAGTGAATTATACGATTGTCTCAAAAATCCCCGTGCGGTTTCCGTGGCACAGTGGTAAGACACTCGCCTGGCTTTGTGGGAGCGCTTTGTCCTGGGTTTGTATCTTGGCCGAATCCGCCGAATTTATAATGCTTCCCCGGAAGAGTTATACGGATTTATAACAGCAAATCCTTAACTGTAGCCTCTGTTTACCCAACAGTAACATGGTTAAACGATTTGGCAGGGTCGTATTCCGGGGAATATTAAGATTAAGGACTTGCCCGGAACGCTATGCGTCCTAGTGGCTGTACAAGAATGTAAG